TAGACCCCATAGGGGACACTAAGCAAATTTAGACCTTTTTGGTGGGGCAAATCTAGACCCTATGTAGTGGGACACTAAGCGGATGTGGACCCTATCTAGTGGGACACTAAGCAATTTAGACCCGATAAGCAATGTAGACCCTTATATAGTGGGACCGAAGCAAATTCAGACCTTCCCTCGTGGGATATTTTGGTCCCAAATACTGGGACACTGCGAAAATTGGGCCCCAAGATCGTAGGACACTTCGCCTATTTAGACCCTACAAGGTGAGACACTAGCAAATTTAAGCCCTACATAGTGGGACTGGTCTAAACTTGCTCGGTTTCGCTCTTTAGTGTCTAAATTTGCGTAGTGACCCAACTATATAGCATCTGAATTCGCTTACTCTCCTACGATTTCGGGTCTACATGTGCTCAGTGTGCCACGACGTAGGGCCTTAATTTGCCTAGAGGGGGGCTTATATGTGCTTAACGTCCCACTTTAGAGGGCCTAAACTCGCTACAGGGTCTAAATTGCTTAGCGTCCCACTGTATAGGGTCTAAGCTTGCTGCGTGTCCCAATTTACTTTGAGTCCCACGATACAGGGTGCGCATTTTTTGTTTAGTGTCCCACAGGGGTTACATCTGCTTTGTGTCAAACTAGATAGGGTCAGCAAATTTAGGACCCCAGATAGCGCTCAACGCCCCCCCATATGGTCAGGGCTTCAAAGTCAATTGAACCGAACCTGCCTTCTTTGTGAAGCACAGCGCTGACCGCACGCAGCAGTTGAAGATGCTGAGATACCTTGGACGATTGATACCGGGGACAGGTTGTGGTTGTTTTGAGGATCATTTGGAGGTTGTGGATATGTTGGGGTTGTAACTGGAACATCCCCCGCCCACAGGGCTCTTGGGTTCAGGAGATCTTGCTGTGGAAAACTGATCCTTGAAGCTCAGGGCGTCGGGAGCTGTGGAAAACCTCAAAGGTACTTCGTGTGTGTGTGTGTGTGTGCGCGCGTGCGTGCTCCTCCTCGAGATCCCAAGCTACCCATCTAGGAATTCTTTTTCAATAAGTGCTCTTCGTGCTCTGTTCAAAAAATTGAGCCCAAGAGCACCAGACACCTCAGCATTGCTCGGTCCGCCAGGGAGTCGGTGTAGCGGATGGCCAGGGGCCGATAGATCCTCAGAGACCACTGAGAAGCTTCCCAGAATTTAGAGCCCTTAGGGTTTGTTTGGGGAACCATGACCTCCCTTCGAGTCATCCGAGTCATCCGAGGCGTGGCAACTGCACTACTCTTTAGAGCGAGCATTCTCTGAAGCGCGGCTCAGGCGCTTCAAGACCACCCAGGTCGCGAAGATGAGCTTCGCAAAGATCCACCCCAGTGCCTTGCCGGACATCTGAAGTCTGAGGGCGTAGTTAGGTCTGTAGGGGAATTTTACCACGGTTTCATTTGGAAGGGTGCGCTTCTTGCGCTGGGAGCCAACCATCTGCTTGGCGAAGCTCCAGCAATTCTCAGCCAACCCGAAAAGCCGAAAAGCCGTCCGGGGCGCGCTAAGCTCAGCAGTGCCCTGAAGCTCAATGGTCAAGTTCAGCTCGGCTGGCACATGTAGCCCTCTCAAGTTCTCAAAAGCAACCTGCTAACAAAATTTACCTTACAACAAGGCAGCGCGTGCGTGAAACGAAGTGAAGCATCTCCAGGGCCCTAATGGCTGCCAGGCCTGCCAAGCCAGACGAGTGAACTTCCGGAACATGTCTCTATTCTGTCAGGGCTCAGAGCAGCACATTGCAATGTACATGTTTCATTGATTCATTTCAAGTCGGAAAATGCAGGGATTAGGGTTAGGGCTGAGGGCTTAGGGCTGAGGGTTTGGGGTTTAGGGCTTAGGGTTTGGGGGTTGGGGGTTGGGGGTTAGGGTGACTGCGCTTTATATGCTGGCATTTTGTGCGCTGAGATCACTGACCCCAGGCTGCCACCAAGGGGAGGCCTTGCAGGCCCTTAATCCCCATGCATAGGCCTTCTCGAGCTTCAGCTGCTTGAGGCCGCCAGGGCAGGAGAACCTGCACCATGTTTTTGGGGCGCTGGAGCTTGCCTTGCAGCTTGCAGTGGGGCTTCGGGTGAGGCTCCGATATCCCTCCAAAAAGGCCCGTAAAGGAACCCCACCCCAAGAAGGCGCTTAATGCCCTTCCGAGGGGCTGGATCATCGCGCGCCGTGCTCGCCACAGCACTCTGAAGTCCCTCAACAGGGCCTGCGCCCAGCGTTGGCCGAGTTGGGAATGCCGCACATCGAACACCAGGCTTCTGCACAGCTCAGGATGCTTCAAGCACAAGGGTTATTTTGGGATGCTCCTGCACCAGGTCTTCTGGCGCCACGTCATGCGTAATCAGCCGGCTGCCTGGGGCGGGTTCGAAGAATTCGGTGGTGCAAGGCGGGTTTGAGGGCATCGCTTCGGGCTTAAGTAGAATGTTGAAAGCCAAAAAATGCCCTCAACACGCGCTGCCCCGGTGCTCCGAAGTAAAGCCCCGAACACTGACTCCTGAAACCTCAAACCTGATCTCGCGCCCTCAGCCGAGCAGCCCAGTTGGTATCCTGACCAGTAGGGGGGGAATGCACAACACCCAGCAGTCCAAAAAAGGCTTCCCTCAACCCCTCCGCAACCCGGTCCTACAGTGTTCGCAACCAGCACAATCGTCAGACCGCCCCCGATGACCACGCCGCACTCCAGGAGCTTCGCAACCTCGTTTCGGCCCTCCCTCCCGGTTTAGGGTTTCGGGTTTCGGGTTTAGGGTTTAGGGTTTATTTCCGAAGCCGAGCCCCTGAAGCTCGATGACCTGTGTGGAGTTCAACCCCGTTGTGGGCAGCAAACCGCAAGAGAAGCCCTGATACAGTCTCGTCGTGCTTGCAACTCCAACCCTCTGAACCCTCAGATTCGCGAGAGGAGCGTGCAGCACGTAAAGCCTGTAAGATCCTGCAAGCAAGAAGCTGGCCGAAAAAAGAAAGCTCCGTACCCCCAGCTCTACCAGCACATTGCCAGCCAGGCGACGGCCGAGCCCTCGGCCCAAGCGTAGCACACGTAGAGGCAGGCCTCTCTGTCTTCTCCAGTAAAAACTGGGGGAAAGGCGCAGCAGACACTCCAAGCTCGAGCTCCCGTTTTTGGAGATCCAACTCAAACAAGCTTCTTGGAAGGCCAAACAAAACAGAACACAAATCTGGGTCGGCCACCGTCATGTACTCCTTCGCGAAGTAAAATCTCCGTTCCCAGAAAAAGCCGTCCGCGCCGAGGTAGGCCGGCGCGAATTCTGGGGCGGGGAGGGGCCAGGTGGTCTCTTCGTTGTGTGTGCATTTTTTGCTTTTCATTTTTGTTTTTGTTTTTTTTCTCTTATCTCTTTTTTTTTTTGGGGGGGGTGGGGGGTGGCACTACCGACTCAAGCGGCTCAATTGGGCGCCTGTGGAAGAAACAGCCGAAGCCTGTTAATTTTGAGTTTTTTTGTTGAGGAGGGGGCGGGGATGGATTTAGAGGGGCCTCTACATACTTTCCATGGCCTATGCAGGGTTTTGATTCGAGGGAAGGTTGGAGGTTTGGGGCTTTTTGTTGGGGCTCAGGGCCCATGGAGGCCTCTTTACAACCCTCAGTTGATGAACAATCCGCCCCTGACAGCCGAGGATCTGAACGGCGCTGGAAGGTGGCTGCTCGCGCTGCTGATGTTCAGCAGCGACGAGGAGTTGAAGTCCTTTGCGCACCAGCTTCAAAAAAACCACGCCCCTTTCATCGATGGGCGCAGGGAACGCAGGACAGGGGATTGATGATGAAAAGAGCTCTGAAATGGCTCCGGGGATGCCTTTTCTTGACTCTTCAGAACGAAGACTCCTGAAGCCTCAGCAGGGCTCTTAGGGTCCTTAAGGGGCTTAGAAGTGGTTACAACTACGCATTTTTGTTGTAATAGCTACGCTTTCAATTGGGTTATAAGTAGCCTGAACCTCCAAGTGCAGGGTCTGCAAGTCGAGACGAGATGCATCCGTGGGTAAGTTCATCGCGAAGGATGGGACCGTCTCGTTGGCGTAGTAGCCTCAGAGAAGGTTCGGGCTTGGGATGTTCCCCCATGTACAAACAGTCCGAAATAGGGACTCTAGTACCCCCTGTTATGATCCCTATTAGCTGTCCTTGATTGGGATTCTCGTACCCCCTACGGGAACATCCCAAGATAGGGTGCTAAAATTGGTGGGGCCCACCCCGAAAAAGGCGAAGAGCACTGTTGGCATGACGTCTGTCTCGGGATGTTTTGCTTCAGGCCCCTGAAGCCTTGCGTTAAGCAGAGAGCACGCTGGAACATCCATCCTTCTGTCCTTATTCAGATAATGAGATCTGTTCGGCCTTGCTGAATCAAAGCTGCCTCTCCTGGCCAGGCAGCATCTGGAAAACTGGGAGGGCGGTATCCGCCGCATATACTGGCCTGCGGCAGAGTGTAAATGCTTGGCGTTCGGCGCCATGTTCGATTTGGCTTCAGGTTCCGGCTTGCAGCTGAGGCACCCCAAGAGGCATCCAAGTAGGAGAGCAAATCGTGCTTGACAGTGGTGTCGTAATCGATCCTGCGGCGAGCTTCTTCCGTCTTGAATGTCTCCGATAAAACGCTCGATCCAAAGCCTCCCCTGAAAAAATGCCAAAGACAAGAACACGCCCTTGGAAGCCTTATCTGCCTGCGGAGAGAAACCCACAGTGAGCACCCTGCACCTTGCGCCCCATGCTGTCAAGGCCCTGAACTTGGGATGTTCCCCCTTATACAGTCCTTCATAGGGATTCCAGTACCATTAGGATCCTTTTTCGAAGAACTGTTGGTACACGGGGGGGACATCCCAACCCTGAACCAAAAACCAGTCGAGGCCAAGTGTCTGGGCTCGATCGAGCTTTTCCTGGAGGCTCCTCAGGAGTCACAAGCTTCCCACCCAGCACCAATCAACTTCCCATCTAAATTTTTGGGGCACGGTTTTGCGCCTTGAGTTCTCCTCTAAAGCCCAAAAAGCAGCTTAAAACCCTCTGAGGCCATGTAGACCCCACGAGACCGAACTCCCACATGCATGGTCTTCCATGCAGCAAAACATTGCGAGATTGGCACCACCAAGTACGTGAACTTCACAAGTGTCCCCCAACCATCTAGTCCAGGATGCAAAGTACGACCTGCCAAATTTGAGTGAAGCAGGGTGCGTTTAGTGCAGAACCCTTTGAAGCCATGAGTCCCGTTGCAAAACTATGCTTTGCACCCATTAATTAAATACACCTCAACGTTTAAGCCGTGCCTTCCAAACCCAAATGGCGGACAAATGTAGAGGACCTTGCCAGGCTTCGGTTGCGAATTCATCGGGCTAAGCTGGCATCCCCGCGTGTCTGTGCTTCGCCACGTTCGACCAGCTCCGGTCCCTGCAGCTGGATCCCGGTTTGGGGACACAGAGTGCTCCTTGTCATGGAGTCTCTCCCAAACGTTTTTTGCCAACAGGGCTGGCGAGCTGAAGTCGAAGAAGGTCGTGGCGTCGAAGGAAAGGTCAAAGGTGTCCGAAAGCCGCCCGGCGAAGGCAATGCTGGAGAGGGAATCTAGCCCGCATTCTGCCCAGGATGCCTCCATCTCCACATGGCTACCCAACATGACATCCTGTAAGCAGTCCCTAAACAAAGCATGAACTGCATCTCTCCCATGGCCTCTGCTCAAACTCCGTGGCCGTTCGGAAATCGTCGCTCCCTGGGTCGGCTGCCAAGCAAACCGGGCGCGATGGAATGGGGCAGCCTCATTCACCGCACGTTTGCGTGGAAGGCTTGAAGAAGGTTCGACTGCAGCTGATATAGGTTTGTCCCACATCCTGAAAGGACTCCGTGCCCGCAAAGTCCTCAACGGGTTGATGGCAATAGCGCCGCTACAGTGCCGCAGTGGCCGGCAAATGACAGCGAGTCTGGAACGGCCAGCGCACATGACTACGCAGCACCCCTCGGCTTTGCCAGTAGCCGCGCCACCTCCAAACATGCCGAAGCTTGAGCTCACGGCAACACCACAGTCTAAAATCACACTGTTCTGATCTGCTGCACAACGGCGAAGAGCGTCAGCAAGTGTCAGGTGCCTGCTGCGCACTGCAACCGCAATGTGAAGGCTGCATCTTGCACCAAGAGGCACCACCGGGTCCAGCTTGCGATCCGATTGCAAACAGTTTCGCAAGAGGCTTCTTGTCCTGTTCGTCACGACAAACGTTACACTCCTGCGAGAGGTCCGCTGCTGACATGCTGCTGGTGTCACCGCACGGCGCGCATTCAACTCGGCTTCCAGCTGACATTCCGGCACCTTCAAGCCAGTGTCAGTACTTCTGCTGGAGGACAAACAAAAAGCCTGGCACGCATCCACACCAGCGTCAAAACGCTCAGCATTAGTGCATGCTCCAGTACTGTCCCGCTGCCATGCAACCATGACCGCTTTTCGAACAGTAAAAATTCCTACGTCCGTGTCGGACGAGGAAGTCTTCTCCAAGTGCATGTGCTGTCCGGGGGCACTCACCCGGACCTGCATGCAACAGTGCCGCGCTGAAAAGCTATGTCGTCGTGCCGTGGCTAGCTTCTGCAGCCAGTTCCAAACACCAGGTTGAGTACGAGCTGTCTGCCATTGCAGACTTGTCGCCGCCACCACCACAGTAGATGTGATGCTTCGACGAAGTGGTCGCTGCGGACACGCTGCTGGTCTTCCCACGTGGTGTACATCCAACCCACGCAGCTCTCCCCACCCATAGATCTTGTACTTCACGTTTCCACACGTGAAGCCCAAGTTGGTGGAAGCAAGTATTCTTGAGTCTGAGTACAAACAACGATCGCGGCATGCATCTATGCGAGCAGCAGGAACTCGCGGTGTTGACAAGGCATGCTTTGTGGTGACGCAACAACGGGGATCCATTGTTCCTGCTCGCCGGTTCACACCGGGGCTGGAAAGAAGCATGGAAGGGGCGCGGGTGGCAAGTCCTCTGCGGCAGGAGAAATGTTGCTGTCGACGACATGCCGAAGGCGTGAATTCAAAGCCAGGCCTCGAGCTTTGTTGTCGTGCAGCCGCGAACACTCTCAATGGTTCTAACAGCCCCACGTCCGTGTCGGACAGGGTCTGCCTCAAATGCAATTGCTGTTCGGGACGCTCTGCCGGCACCCGCGCGCGACACCGCCGCACTGGGAAGCAAAAGCGTTGTGCGACCGCTGCAGATGTGATGCTGCCGCGACAAGGTCGCTGCCGACAAGCTGCTGGCGTTCGGATACGGTGCACATCCAACCCATCCAGCTCTGCCCACTTGTACATCTTGTACTTCACGTGGCCGTACGCAAAGCCCAAGTCGGTGGCAGCGAATATTCTTGGCAACCAGAGACCCGGGCAAGCATCTGTGCGAGCAGCAGGACGTCGCCTTGTTGGCAAGGGATGCTTTGAATGGACACACACCCCAGTATCGTCCGTCAGCAAGCGGACTGAACCAGCCGTCTGCATGCTTCCTGCGTGCTCCAGACCAATGCGAACCTGTGACTCACCTGCATCTTGCAGCCGGCACTGCCTCTTCAACAGGAGCCTTGATGCCAAGGCGTAGCTTCTGGTTGGCCACGGCCTGTGGACGAGCACGATGGTGTTTCGCTCAGCTCTTGCCATGGACGTCAGATGGCTGTTGAGGAACAGCGATGGCACATGTGGATACAATGGCACACATGCAGGGGCAGAGGAAGCTGTAACCACAAGATGCTCCTCTGAGCGGAGACTTGCCACACAAAGCGCAGGTGCAGCATGCTTTATTCCCAGCCTTACACTGAGAATATGGACCCATGTCACCTGTTGCGTTGCATCTCCAGCAACGGGTTGGTGAAGAAGATCGCCCTTGCAAGCCATCTCCGTGGGTAAAGGTTGGTGAAGAGGATCGCTCTTACAAGCCACTTCCGTTGATAAAGCCCGTTGACCGCAGCCAGCAAGCATCGGACGCCTCTTGCAGTCCTACCGCATGAAGCCTGACATTTGAGAAATCGGCCCAGGTGGGGAAAACAGTGTCCGAGCCGAAATCAGCTCAGTATGTTCAGCACATACACTGATCCAAAGACAAGGTTGGCGTGAGCATGGTCTGCAACTTCTCTGCCACATCCACAACTGCACCGATCTCCTGCACTCAGAATCCTAGGATCCTGCGGAACCTGACTGCAAGACTCACCTTCAAAACCGAGGCGCCATTGGAAGAGAAATCCCCGGAGCTTGCGGTAAGGCGGGTCCCTGACAGCATTGGGGGGGGGTCGGGCTTTGCACTGCTCTGTGCATTGTGGGGCTCATCATGGCCCAATTCTTCAGGAGCTGAGCTACGTCAGCTGGCTTGGCACTTCTGAAGGGGACAACTGACACGGTTTTGTACCACCAGCCGTCAGCCCAAGACTCGGGCCACAGGGGGAAAAGTTGGAGAGTACAGGTGGGGTCTGCCAACGCTTGAGGTTTGAGGACTTTGACAGCCCAAGCACCCCCAGTGCGAGTCATCGAGTGCGGCAGCAACTTCGCCATCCACCTGCTCCATGAAGAAGCACCTCTGCTGAGGCAGCAGTGCTCTGTCTCTCTTGCTCCAAATCACCATAGAGCCCTCTAACGAACCTGAGAACACTAGCCGCCTTCTATGCACCTTCTTCTATCTGAATCGCAAACCAGGAGATACTCTTCATACTCTCATCCCACAAGGCGCCTTCTTGCCAGATGTTCTCTAAGTTAGGGTCCCTTTTCTGGGTGTACGGCACCATTAAAATTCAGGAGCACAAAAGGACCCGAACCTTAGAGAACTCGCCAGAGAACTAACCATATCACCCTAAACCCTTACCCCTAAACCCCTAAACCCCTAAACCCAAAACCCGTAAACCCTTCGTCTCATGGTGTGTGTGAGAGAGTTTCTCCCAGCGCCGGGGGACGTCTTGGACTCTTGGGACACCAGCGTGGCGCCTGGGATGATCTCCTCCTCCAATACCACCCTGAGCGGAGTGTTCAGGGGCGCCACATGGAGGCTTCCAAAATTAGGCGTACCTTATTGGGGTCCTTGTTACAGGGGATCCTACTATTTGGGGATCTTTTTTGGGGGGGTCCCTTTTTTTCGTAAACCCCCAATGAGGGCAGGAAACAGCAAACCATGGCAAACCCAAGGCAGCAATGAATCCGCGGCCGGGTCTCTGCGTGATGAAGAGGAAGCCGCCCAAGAAGTACAAGCCTCCGGCTCCAGATTGCAAGAAAGGGGGGGGGGGGAGGGCAACACTTTGAACCCTAAACCCTAAACCCTGAATCCTGAACCCTAAATTAGGGGGGAAGAAGGGGGGGATAAGACTTGAAGCCTCAGCCTGGGTTCCCTAATGTTCCCTCCGTGCCCACAACTTCATCCCCCAACTGGGCCTAGCGGTTGAAGGATGAAGCCGCGGTGCTGCCAGCTCTTTCGGTCCACAAAGCGCCTGATCACGGGTTTAGGGTTTAGGGTTCAGGGTGTAGGGTTTTGGGTTTTGGGTTTAGGACCCCCCCTCATCACGTGGAGGGTCCCGCCTGTTGGCAGGGCCCACAGAGCGACCCCCCCCCACCCCCCCACCCCCCCCACCCCCCTTTAACCTTGCAACCCCCCAACCTCCCTCTTTCCTCCTTTCCTGTCCTGGGGCAGGCCCGGGTGCCGAGGCGGCGCGCGCAAGCGTTTACAACTTTACATCATCCGCAAACACACGCTTTTGGGTTACCTCCACCCTCCCAAACACCGTCCCGTCCTCAGAAGCCCCGCAAGCTCAACTGCATTTCCACACATCCGAAAGTCTCGATTGCTTTCGAAACCCAGCGCTAAAACCATAAGGTCGACACAACACCGACACCGTTCTAACATCAACGTCCGGAGCACCTGCCCTGCCAGAAGTTCTTGACGGTGTCGCGCTCCTGGCGAGGGCGACGGAGCAACGCATCGACAGTTGGAGGGAGGAGATGTGCTTGGTATACATGCCAACTCTTGAGCGGATATGGGACGTCGTTAAGGCTCATCCTGTAGAGAAGGCTGAAGCAAAGGCAGTCGGAAAGCCCTTGGGCCACATGGACACCCGAAGCCGAAGCCGGTTTGCGAAGCCGCTTTGCGAGGCCGAGTGCGGGCAAGCGTCGTCACTTCTGTTGTGGATCAAGGCAGAGATCACCGTCAGAACTCCTTGGAAGGCTACCAAAAAAAGACGACAAAACCAGCACTGCGATTCGTCTGGTGATGCTCGCTCTCGTACTGTTGATGCTGTGTTCGAACTTAGGATGTTTTGGCGATGTCTTTGGGCGCTTGAAGCCTCAGAAAAAGCTGATTGCTCACAGAGGCTCCCAGGAATCCCAAGCTGTAGAACCCCACCTTCCAGAAAGTGTCGGCGAGGACAAGCAACCTGTTTTGCTGAGGAATGGGAGTTTATATGGGGTTTGTGATGTGACTTCAGCGCAGCTGTGTGCCCCGCGTAAAAGAGCGTCCTAAACGTCCAAAAAACCACCTCCAAGCCCCCCAAAAAAACTCTCGAGCCCCCGACTCACCAATCTTGTCCCATTTTTTCCCCATCCCCCCCCCCCCCCCAATATCCTCGTCGTCGGCTCCATCTTCTTGAACATGAAGAGGGTGACGAGCATGGTGAGGATCCCTTGTGAGGGGGAGCCCGGCTCTTAGGGGGCTGAGAGCTCTCAACATGCTGAGTGCTCTGTTTCTAAGTTTATTGATTGTGTCTGATGAAGCACTCTGTAGCAGCTATAGCAGGCTGCTTTCCGGGGTGCACAAACAAGCTTGAACGCGACAAGAAAGCGGCTTGGTCCAAAACCAGCCCGGGACCGAATTGAAGCACGAGCACTAAGAGCACTAAGCACAAAAGCCGGCCACATCAAAAGCCGAGCTTCCGAGCAGCGCCAGGGAAAGGATTCCCCAAAACAAGGCCGCCACCACCTCACCGAGGCTCACGGCTTTTCTCAGCGCTCACACAAGGTGACACTTAGGGGGGGGGGGGAGGGAACGAGGGTCGAAACCTATCAAAAAGGAGTTTCTTCCTGTTCAGTCTTCAAGAGGGCTCTCTTTTCGCATCGGCCAAGCCACGATTCGCCAGAAGACGCCGCACTTGTCCTGGCCAAAAAACGGGACTCAGGAGAGGACGCCCTGTGAGACCCCTTAGAGCGGCCCCTTATAGGGTTGATTATGGGGATTATTGGTCCTAAGTTCTCAAGTTCTCATGTGATTGATCACAGGTCTCAGGCTGCCAGAGAGATGCCCCCAACAGTCAAGCGATGAAAAAATGAAAGCAACAAAGAACAGCAAAAAAACAAGCAGAGAGAGAGAGAGGCCTTGGGCTTCGTGTCCGCTTCCATTTGAAGGCCTGAGTCGTGCGGGAGCTTGCTGTGGCAAAGCTGGGGTCTTTCGAGCATCGGATCTCTGGTACCTCTGCGCATCGGAGGTTTTAGCTCGAAGGGTGCCAGCAAGTGGCGGAGGAGCCAGTGGGCAAGAGGGATACAGAAGCTTCCCAGGAAGCTGAAGTTAGACGCTGTCGTCCATGGAGGCACGGCCGGTCATCAGATGCTTCTCCGGCGAGTTGCCGTGTGAGTTTAGTTGGGCTCGAAACGTGTGGCTTCCGGCTTCCCAAAAGATTCGCTTAGTCTGGTGCTTCTTGGACTGGAGAGGGAGGGCCTTGGGTTGGGATCAAAGGTCTGTTCGTCTGTTCGGTGTTGAGGCTCACGTGGCTTGGGGCTTCACGTGGCATGTGGCTTGGGCAGTACTGCCAACGAAGGAGGAAAGAAACGTGACACACCCCACATCCGAGTTTCGAAATGAGATGTCAAGTTGGAGCTGAGCCCAAAAAAACCATCCTGCCCTCAGCCCCACAGATTGCACACGAGCTGCACAGAGCTTTGAGACCCTGGCTTGGACAGGCTGTTGAAGCCTACCTGGAGATAAACCTCAAGCCCATCTTTGGGGCGCGCGGACCCCCCTTTTTGGGAGGCGGCTGGGGGGCGCACATTGGCGACCGCCAAGTTTGGTGGCTTCAAGTCTGAGCTTTCATCGTTTTCAGCAGCGTTGAAGGAGACCCTGTTACATTCTGTTGCCTTATGCCCTACATGTGTTGCGCGTTGTGCTACAATCAGTGCTACATCCTGACCTTCACTATGCGCATTACGACGCCGGGTCAGTCCGGGCTTGGCGGTATCCTGCCCGCGTTCCGCAGAAGAGGTGCAAGTCGCCCTGAGCCCCCAGGGAACGCGCGAGAGAGAGAGAGGCACTCAAAAACACAGGAAGCAGAATTCATCTTACTTAGTTCGGGCTTTCCAGGGAGACAGCATGATGGAAGACCTTCAGTCACTCAACCCCGGAAGCCACCAGAAAACCTGGAGTGTAGTGCAGACACTTGCTACCTCTTCATCGTACTCCAAGAAGGGGCAGGCATCGTCGTCCTAAACGAAAGGCCGCCGTGGTTGGTTCGAACTGCCCACAACACTCTGTATAATCTAACTGGGGCTTCGCCGCCTTCATGAAAATAGAAAACCCCAGACCACGAACCACCCCAACCCGTTTACGAACACCCCAAGACCCCTCTTGCCCAGGATCGCCAAAAAACCCAAAAAAACCCAAACTGCAAGGACGTCACGGGCCAAAGCCTGTCCTGACTCTCACGCTCGTCGTCGTGGGCCAGCCACGCCAGGAAATGTTCGCGCGTCAGGTAACTCTTTACCTGGGGCGGCGCATGTGCTGGGAGAGCGACCGAAGCTCAAGCCCTGCAGAGATGAACATGAACCCAGAGCCTCCGCGCTGTAGGCAAGCCCCAGGTAGGCGAAGATGTCCTCGAGACCGGCACAGCGTAGACTTCTCGTGTCTGGGATGTTGCGGGCCAACCGGTTTGGGATGTATGGTTTTGGGCCGACTGCCAGCGGCAATGTGGAACAGGGGCCACTCATGATCCCAGACAAACAAGATGGCCAAAGCTCTGGCGTTCTCTGCACTCGCCAACTTTGAAGCTTGAAGCACCACCCACAACTCCAAGCTCCAACACTGAACCGCTGGTGTGGAGGCCTTGGGGTAAAGAACAAGAAAAAAGCCCTCTCAAACTCAAGACAAAAGCCGAGCCCTTGAATTCAGTCGGTCGGTCCTAATCGGTACACCCAGGACATCTCCGTAGGGTTAAGCCGTGCAAGGTAACTTGCACCCCAAGACTAAGACCCGTCATCTTTGGGGCCCAGGAGCCAAGACAACTCTGCACTTGACACGAGGAGCATGCATGCGTGACCGAGGCGGTCGCGCCAAAAGCGGTGTAGGGCTTAGGGCACGGAATGCACGGGACGTGGGTGAGAGAGTGCGCTTTGTCACGTTGGGTGACCCCGGCGCGGCAGGGGGGCAGACGCCGGCCAAGGCGCACTCGTCGCCAGTCAAAGCCCCGCCGCTGCCACCGCCCCAGGCGCCCGTCGCCTTCCCCAATGCGGCCGAGGCGGCCCTGGCGGCGGAGTTTGGCTTCACATCGGCGCCAGCGTGGTTGCAGCATCGTCGGGTCGAGCTGGGCCAGGATGGCTTTGCCACAGTGCCCAGGCCGGCGCGCCCCGACGACCACAGGCCGCGCGCCACGTCGCCTGGTCGTCTGGAGCAGATCCAGCGCCAGATCGACGCCGAGCTGGCGGCAGACCCGCCGATGGCCGCGCGGCCCAAGAAGGTGCCGCCCCCGCTGCCGACGACCCCGACGAAGTCGGCGCCGACCAGCTTCTCGGCCAAGGCGCCGCCGCCGCCGCCGCTGTCCCCGGCGGACGAGGAGATCGACAGACTCCACGTCGCGGCGGCCGAAACTTTGGTGGAACAGCCACCTCAACGCTAATCCTCCTTCCCCTGAATGTAGGACCTGCCACTGTGTCAGGTTGCTTGGGTGGATAAGATAAGAATAATCCAACCCCAGCAGATCTCCTCTTCGTCGGCCTTGGACAAGGGTGCAGCGCCCAAGGTTGGTGAGAGCTCTTTGGGGACTTCTGGGAGGGAGCTGCAGGGCCCTCGGGGGGGGGGGGGGGAAAGCGCAAGGCTTCGAAGCTTTTGTGCGCACAGCATTGAATGGACAGGGCATCATGGTTTTAGGACTTCAGGGTACTCTTCGGGTGTAGAGGGTTTTTGGATTCTTCAGGTTTGCGGCCCTTACGGCTTAGGGCATAGGGCAAACAACTTTTAACTGGAGCGGCTCCCTTGCACGCGGCAACAATCCGCAACATCACCAAACCCTCAGCGCACACCGCCAAGAATGTCCTCAATTCTGACACGCCTTTTGAAGCCTCAACCCCCCAACACCTAGACTGAGGTTCATGCTAATCCCGACTCCAGCTGGCCGGATACAGGCTACCCCCAGCTAAGACTTTCCCCATGAGCACCAAGACAAAAATCACGAACACTCACGAAAACCCTGCAAAAGAGCCCCGAGAAAGAACGCCCCCACTCCCCCACTCTCCCACTCCCGGCTGCCTTCGGCTCGTCGTGATTCTGAATCAGGTCGGCCGGGTCAACGGCAACCGGCCCCAGGGGCCGGGAACTCGGAGTTCCAAAGAGCGCAGGGGGAGAGTGGGAGAGAAGAGGAGGAAGGGGAGGGGGGGAGGGAAGTCTAAGAGGAGTCTATATGTGTCACTGTAAGCTAAGGCTTTCGACCTGCAAACGCAGCTAACATCACAGATGAAACAACCCGAAGCTCTCAACTCCCTAAAGTCCCCCCAGAGGGGGGCAGCGGGCTCTCAAAGCCGCAGCCTTCAAAGATGCTTTTGGCGCAGCGAGCCGTCTTTGTAAGGAAACTTCGAGACTTCCCACCTTCAAACATCTTTGAAGGAAAGGCGGCCCCCTAAACCCCAAACCCTAAACCCTAAGCTATTAAGGTCGTTCGGGCGCTGACTGAAATTCCGAGCGTCTTCAAGGGAGCTTGCTGCGTTCCTTCTTGCCCGCTCTTCCTTGTTGGTTTAGGGGTTGGGGTTGAGGCACGATGACGGCTGAGGGGTCTGGGCGTGGCTGGACACGGGAGCTTCGGATGTCAGAACTCTGCAATCACCCTAAACCAGAAACCCTAAACCTAAACCCTAAACCCTAAACCCTAAACCAAACAAATCAACCCTTAAATCGGCGCTTCGCCGCCCAAGACATTGGGATGTTCCCCCTGATACCACCAGTCCTTTAAGGGATTACAGGTACGATAATCCCTTAAGGACTGCTAGTAGAAGGGGGGAACATCCCGAAGCAAGACAGTTGAACTTCAGCTGCGAGCCCTGCACTCCACCCAGCAGACGAAGGCCTGTGCACACGTCCCCGGTAAAACCGACGTCCCATTCAAACCCTAAAGTAATCCCTGTAAGGCCTAAACCCTAAACCCTAAACCCTCAACCCTCAACCCCAAACCCTAAACCCTAAACCCTAAACCCCCCACCCAACAAAAAAAAACAAAAGACGATTGGCTCAAAACGGAGCCGAGCCGCATCTTCGGAGTGGGCCCCTCTTCGGCCCTGTACGCTCCTTCAGCTTGGGCAGCTCCCGAAAAGGACGGGCTTGAATTAGAATGGCTTAGGGTTTAGGGTTCAGGGCTTAGGGAAGTTTAGGGTTTAGGGAAAGTTTAGCGGCCTCCCAATGAGGAAGAATGTGGAAGAATCAAGGCTCGGTTCAGTGAGTCTTGGAAGGCTTCGGCGTTTGTTGGGGGGACTCTCGCAGAAGAGCAGGGGGGAGGCAGGGGCCCTATGTTCGAGGCATATCGAACCTCCGGGAGTGGCTGGCGATCCGTGTCTGAGGCGCTCTGAGGTAGCTCAGGCTCGGGCCCTGCATCTTCTTCAGGAGCTTGTCGTCCCACTGTAGGGCCTCTGCTTAAGAGGTTCTGTAGGACTGCACTTGAGGGGGGGTTGCCTTTTGCGGATTGAGGGCTTTGGGGGGACGCCGGGGATCGGATGAAAGGGTGTGCGCCTCGTCGAACTCGACCATCACTCGGGTCCCTGGCGTTTTTGGCTTCAGAGATATGGGGGCACGCGGACATCCCCCCCCCCCCCGCCCCAAACATATCGAGGTTTCGTGCTGGGTGTTGGACAAAACGGGGGCTTTGAGGCCAGGAAGCAGCCAAAGTCCCTCAAAGGGCACCTCTCCATTCCGCACCGTGCTCCGTCTTTTTGATGGTCCTTGCTGGAATCTTCAGCAGCAAAACACGGACGGCAACCAGTTCGGAGAGCTTAGGCTACACAGAGTGTCGTCAAGTTCGAATGGTGTGTACAACTAGGCAACACTACGTCAACAGGCCACTTGGAAGCGCCAGCAAGGCCTCTCTCATGGAAGTTATGTCCACAAAGCATTCCTGGGTCTCTACCAAGCTTCACAGCAGAGCTCTCTCTACCCCTATACCTTGCGTGACCAGGGAAAGAGAGGAGATTGCAACACATGGCCGGAGAAGGCCATGTGATTCATATGATGCTAAAAGAAAATCAACCTCGCCTTCAGATCCCAGGTCCCTGAGGCGACACGAAGCTCCCGAAAGCGAGATGACGCCCAGGCGCCCCTTTGCACCGAACGCCACGCAGAAGCCAAAGTCCTCGCCCTCCTCCGGTGCTCTTTGAGCAGATCCAAGTTCTGTCAAAATCCCTTGAGATGGAATGTATGGTTCTCCGCTTTGGTTGTGGGCCGGGTCGCTGTTGTCATACGGCCCACTATTCTGGTCGCTAAAGTCTGGGTCTCGAGCTCGGGGTGGTTCGAGGGGCGTCGTTTGTCAGCTTTGGGCTGCCAGCTCTAGAACTCCACAGCCGCGCTCCATTGGGATCTTCCGCGCAGCTTGGACACAGAGGTCTTCAGAATTTGCCAGCTCCTGCCAAGAACACAGGAAACAACACGCCCAACAGCACGGTTTTTTTTTGCGTTTTGTCCAGAAGGGATGTTGGAGACATGTCAACTCCGACAGGCTCGTTCAAGAAAAAAGCCCGCAAGCCTTGCTGCTCAACTGCCCATCCCCAGCATCCTCAACCCGGCCATCTCAGCCAAAATAGGGGCTCCCTTGTGGAATTCCCCCATATTCGCCCTTTGTCCGCCCATGACCTGCCTCCTTGCCAATCCTCCGGATGTAGTCGAAGAGCAGCCTCGCCACCTCCGCTCTCCCGAGCTTTTCGGGGGGGTTCTTCAGATCTAGGTCCAGCAAATGCCCTGCGTGACCTATGTGGCTTCGAGGTCAGGCATATCGATGCAGTTGGGTTTTGAGGGCCTGGGCCCCCAAGAACCGAACTCTCAGCACTTCGTCTAGGAGCCCCTCGGTGCCAATCTCACCCCCCGCCTGGTGGCTGGGGACCTTCAACCACTCGTAGAGGTCGTAGCCTTGACGACTTGCACGGCATCTTGCTCATGGTATTGGCCCGAAACAGGCAACGGCATAAAATCCCTTCAAAGGAGCAAACGCAGGAACACCAAAGCCCACCACTTCTGGAAGATGGAAATCCTGAAAACACCACTTGAACATACCATGAAAATACTGAATCTCTTCCGGGCGCTGGCCATGCTCCCGGACTCCAACCCCATTCCTGGCAGCTGACGAAATCGCATTCTGCTACCCATCTTGTCCGCTGGAGGAGCCTGTCCTCAAAAGAAAGGCCTGGGCCTGAACCTTACACCCGAAACAGCCCTAAACCCTACACCTGTGAACTCCAGCACAGGACGAGGGTGGAGGCATACCGGGGTGCACAACAGGGCTTCCCCCACCTGCAGCTTGGAGATCGCCCGGAGGTGCACCAGGAGCTTCACCTCCTGGGATCTGAAAGCACTCCGGAAAATCTCAAAACATAGCCCGTTTACGCCCCGCGTCTCTGCGCCCGCCCGCAAGCGCGCCCGAAACCGGCCGAGGGAAATGCCGCTTTCGCTTCTCTGACAGCTCGCGCATATCAGCGTGTCTGAATCCTACAGTTTTCCCAAGCAAAGGGGGTCCTGAGGTTTTCGGGGTAAGAAGGACTAGATGACTAGATCGGCACTGCCCGGGCCCTGCATTTATCTCCACGTCTCTACATGCGAAAGTGTCGTCCTGCGAAAAAGTGTCATCGCTTTTGGACGTCTGGGCTCCCGAATACGCAACTGTCGTCGCTTTTGCCAAAAGCAAAAAAATGGTTTGCATAATAACTTTGAGGAAAAAAACAGCCGGAGCGTCCTTGTGGCTAAATGCCCAGGTAAACAACTCCTATGTTTCCCCGTCAACCTCGCTGTACACTGCTCACCCTCTGCAGCGCGTGACACAGCCGTAGCTGCGTGGGGCTAACAAGCGCACTCACACACGTTACTTTTGCCAGTACCCTAGCGAATATTCTCTTCCATGCCCTGTTCAGCCAGCCCATGTTCTTAAACCCCACAGAGCAGCAACACCTTTTCCCCCTAACGGTTTGAGGCATGATGAGTTGTCCTACCCCCTTCTCTCTCTGTTTGTCTTTTTGCCAGTCTGTCGACACCACCGGGCTCCTCCTTGCATGACCACGGCCCTCGCATTCGTCTTCGGCGTGTCCGCGTCCACGCGTGCCATTGGAGCGTCTCAGGACGTGACTCAGGGTCTATCGAAGCTTCAGGGGTTTAGGATATGGCCATATTTCCCATGGACACCATGGAGCTGTCATGTAGGTTCCGGGCCTATAGGAGGCTATGGCAGGCTTGAGGCACTCGACAAGTTCAGACGTTCTCCGCAGACCTTTGATAGACTCCAAGCCCCGATTTTGAACTCAGCAAGCCCTACATTCGGATCTTTCTGTTCGCAATCTTCGCTCGCAAAGCCGCCGACTCTGCATCTTCCCAACTCCGACAGCCAACACCCACGGGAAGACCCAAGTCCAAAGTCCCGCAGGCTGGAATTCTCAGCCTCGACCGTTCTTAATGTTCCTAAGATGTACACTCTTAGGCTGCGGCAGAAGCCGTCGTCCTCGCCCTCCCGCCAGCACTTCTGAGTAAAGCAGAAGATCGACCTCGAGATCATTTCGAGGTCCGACATTATTGTCTCGGGGGACACCTTTGGGGGTAGAAACGGGGAGCCGAATCTGGGGGAACAAGGTCTTCGCTTTAGAGGGCCAGCGCGGGAAAATGACTCAGCATCTGCCCAACACCCCCGAGTCGGAAATCCAGAGACCTCATAAGGCAACTGTCAATGCCTCAAAACAAAAACCACACATCCACAGCCCGACGCATCGACACTCCTGAGCGAACACTCTTTCTCTGGACACGCGACCGAAGGCCGCTGTTGAAGATGCTCCTGAGAGGGGCCGAGTCCGGGGGCTTCCCCAAGCCGCCTGCTTTGTGAGGGGGCAGCCTCCCTCAACAACCTTTGGAACTTTGTGAACAAATAATAAATGAAAGCAAGGCACCCCAACAACTCCTCAAGCAAAAGCCTCAAGGGAAGAAAGCACTCACCCTATTTTGTCACATCTCTGTCTCAGGAAGAAGCCCAAGGCTCAGGTAGAGAATGCATCGCAGCAGGCCGCGGTCAGACAGGGTTCCTTTTCAGAGGGCTTGCTGGTAGCGCATGGGGCTGGCTCAGGAGAGCCTCTCCACAAGTGAGAGGACCTAGCAATATTTTGGATCAGATCCCTTTTAGGGTTTAGGGGATCACGTGAGGTTGGCCCAACGGTTACCCACTCGGTCTCTGCATCTCGGCTACTAAAAGGTCCAGACCGTTTGCGAATCCCGGGGACATTTCTTGCGATAAAGAGAAGCCCTGGAGCTCGAAAAGACAACCGGACCTCTGTAGTGTGGAGGACCTGATGAACAAAATCACGCTAAGAAGTCCTGTGTAGCGGACCGCCAGGCGACGGTAGATGCTCCTCGGAACTTGGGAGAGGGAACACGTCGAAGGAGGACACATCGCAAAGCTAATGTGACCTTCAGCCTGAGAAGCCGCCCTTTTGTGCGGAAGGGTGCGTTGACAGGCTCCCGTTAGGGTTTATCAAATGGTTTCGAGCTTCGCACTAAAGCAAGAGGCCCTGACCCTGCTGTCAAGGCCCTCCGCATCCTTTTCGAAAGCCCCTTTGCAATCAGGTCTCGTACCGCAGATGAAATATGCAACGAGCTTCAGGATGTTCAGGAAGAGTCCCTCACTGGGACTTCACTCACACTGAGGGCTTCATGGAGCCGCTTGAATCTCCAGGGTGCGTGTTCGTGGGAAGGGCCTTCAAGAAGCAGCCTTCGGGTTTTTACAGCTGAGAAGGAGTGCTGGGACTCGAGCTGATTTCTTGATTCGACTTAGAGGTATTGTTGGCCAACACCGGGCAAGCAGCTTGGGTGGCTGTCGCTGGGGCTTCTTTCGACGCTTCTTTCGACAACTCCAAGCCAGAGTGTGCTCTCGGGCATGTTCAGCTTACTCGAACACTGAGGCTCCTGAAAGTTGCTGCCCGTAGGCTGCCTGTGTAGGGCTGAGGTCTCTCGGGGATTGCGAGTACGTAGTACCTTTGGGGTGAACCACGCTGCCAACATCTTTCTGCCTCAACCCACCCAAAGGTATGCGCAAGTTTCTGTATCACCACATGATCACATGGGCTTCGATCAGACCTGCTTCAACCTCACCCTGCCCTTCACTCATGGCCTTCCATGCGAGCTTGGTGAAGAGCACGAAAGCTCGCCTGTGAACTGAGGAGGTACTTCTGCTGATGCTGATGGGCCTGCTGGGTTACACTATATTTCACGGAGCTGCATTATTCTAACTCTTCCTCCGTCTGGAACAAGTGAACCCACCCTTCCCCACGCCTGCCGAATTCGCTGACCGCAGGACCGCACCCCAACACGCCTTACAAATTCGCAAAAAACACCAGCCGGGCAGGAGAAGACATAAAAAGACGACCTGAGAAAGAAGACTGCTTAGCATTGCTTAGCACAAGTTGGGGGGCATCTTGGCATCCTTCGGGTCATAGGACTCCCCCTGAGCCCCTGAGCCCTAACTCAAGCGCACGGGGGAGCACAGCCTAAGAGGTACTTACTCTCTGTATATGTACACTCCAAAAGAGTGTTTTTGGCTTTGCCCTCCGCCTGCTCCGCAATCCTTTTCCTGCTTGACCCAAGGCTTCAAAAGAATTCTTCTTCACCGAGAGTTCAAGAGCTCGGGTTTTTGACCTTTGGTCGCTTTACTTGGTCTGGGCAACTTGACCCTGCGGACTGAAACCCCCAGGTGCGCCGCTCATTGGACTTCAAACCCAACCCACTCAACTTCTCCAAGCCGGAATCCTCTACAATCCACATGCCTCGGCTGTAGCCCAGCTCATGCTGCTCGCTTTCCCGTAATGAAGTGATAGGGTCATGGTCTAGAGTGGTTTGTCAAGCCTGAACAGAACCAAAGTTAGTCCAAGATCCCTGTTTACTTGAATTGGCTTTATGTTTGTAAACTATCTGAAGCACCACCCTGTTTTGTTTTACCTGCAGCCCAGCTTGTGCTCAAATCGTTCGCTTTTGCCTGGCCCTGCCAGGTCGCCGACAAACCGTCAAACCCTGAAACAAGGAAAGGGCCGAACACGCAGTGACCGGCCTCTGCGTCTCGCTCTGGGGGTAGGGACCCCTGGTCCTGGGCTATTCAGGGCCAGGTAGACAATATGTGTTGTAGAAATTTGTAGAATGCTAGAAATAAGTTGAAATAAGTCTAGAAATGTCTAGAACATTAAGATATTAGCAGGGCCGCAGGCTGTTTTGAGTCCGGGGCTGGAAGCCTACAGCCTCGGGTCTGAATGTTATGGCGGAGGCGCGGTTTGGGGCCCACATGCACCTAGGACCTGATGCTTCGAGAGTTTTGGAGGGGAGTTGGGGTTCAGCAGCTAAGACAGGGGCGGGATTCCAAGCCCATCTTATGCCCATAAAGGGGCCAGGGAACCCTTTGAAGCACTCCACGAGTGGGCATATCACAGCCCAAGGATCCGGCAGGTGAGCGAGTCCAGCAAGCGCCATCTCGCGCGGAAGAGCACGCGCACGTCTCGCAGCAGAACCTCAGGAGGGGGGGGCTTCTTCGGGTTCTTGGGGAGCCTGAAAAAGTTTGAGAAAGTTTTGAGGGGGAGGCTCGTGCAAGAAACGCAAAGCTAAGCTCCAATGCGGGCAATTTTCTCGACTTCGACCTGGAGACCCTTCCCCCTCCCCGCCCGCCCTTGTCCGAGGCGCGTGGATGAGTTCGTCTGGAAAGGTGTCATGAGTGATGAAATTGTTTCCTGAGGCAGGTTTTTGTTGGCTTGGGCTTGTGGATCTGACGGATTCAGAATCTGAAGTCTCTGATGCCATCAGCCAAAGCGGGCCACGGTCAAAGCGCGTTTCGGGTCCGCCCGATCGTGAACGGGGGTGTGCGTTTCAGGTCCGCCGTGCGTGGCCGCGGAGGTGCGTTTCAGGCTCTGCTGGAATGCGTTTCGTACAGGCCGAGGTGCGTTTCAGGTCCGGCACCACCAGAAAGCCACAAGTCCGAAGCCCCTGAAGCCACCCGCTACAAGCCATGTCAGGCCGCGTTCAGGTTTATAGGGTTTATTGTATTTATAAGGTCCAGGACTTATAGGGTTTAGGATTTAGGGGTTTAGGCTTGAGTGTGCTCACGAACGAAGGTGAGGCATCAAGGCGACACTGAAAGCTCTCCAAACACCCCTAGCCTTTCATGCTACCATAGGCTTCAGAACGAGGTTTTCGGTTTAGGGTTTAGGGTTTAGGGTTTAGGGTTTAGGGTTTAGGGTTTAGGGTTTAGGGTTTAGGGTTTAGGGTTTAGGGTTTAGGGTTTAGGGTTTAGGGTTTAGGGTTTAGGGTTTACGGTTTAGGGTTGAGGGTTCAAGGTTTAGGGTTTAGGGTTTAGGGAACGGTCCAGAAAGAACGGGCTCACGTGGGAAGTCTCGGCAGCTCAAATATCCGTGAGATGAAGGCTTCAGACTCTGTGCGCGGTGGTTAGGGTTTAGGGTACTTGGGTTTAGGGTTTAAGGTTTTAGGACTTAGGGTTTATGCGAACTGTCATGTGGACACTCCTGAAGCAGTCAGCTTGAGGGATTTTGTTTTGCGGGGGCGGCCCTATGCAGGGTGGAAGCGCGTTTCCCCCCCCCCCCCACCCCCTAAGATCGCTAATGTCCAGAAACCCTACAATGCCCTACAACCCAAACCCTAAACCCTAAGCCCTAAGCCCTAAACCCTAAGCCCTAAACCCTAAACCCTAAACCCTAAACCCAAAACCGTAAACCCTAAACCCTAAACCCTAACCCTAAACCCGAAACCCTAAACCCTAAACCCTAAACCCTAAACCCTAAACCTTAAACCCTAAACCCTAAACCCTAAACCCTAAAACCCTAAACCCTAGACCCTCAACCGAAAACCCTAAACCGTAAACCCTAAACCCTAAACCCTAAACCCTAAACTCAAAACCCTAAACCCTAAACCCGAAACCCTAAACCCGAAACCCTAAAACCTAAACCCCAAACCCTAAAGCCTAAACCCTAAACCCTAAACCCCCTAAACCTTAAAACCTAAACCCTAAACCCTAAACCCTAAACCCTAAACCCTAAGCCCTAAACCCTAAACCGTAAACCCTAAACCGTAAACCCTAAACCGTAAACCCTAAACCCTAAACCCTAAACCCCAAACCCGAAACCCTAAACCCGAAACCCTACACCCTAAAACCTAAACCCCAAACCCTCAACCCTAAACCATAAGCACTGCGCCTGAAATGCACCATGTGTGCGTCTGAAATGCCCCCGGTGTGGTTCTGAATTGTCTCCCGTCTGGTTCCCGAACACCGGGCCTGAAATTCGTACCTGAAACGACCCTAGCTGCGTCAGAACCGTACAACACTCAGCGGGCCACGGCCCTGCAAGAGAAATCCCGGAAGCTGGAAGCTCTAGAGCTGACGACGCAGACAACCTCAGTGGGACCTCCCTTCTCACGGTTTGCTGATGCCAAGCTGCCGACGTAGTTGCCTGGCCGCTTGGGGCGACGCTGGGCTTCACAGATCCGAGCAGAGTGGCTCTTGCTTGCTGTGGCAACAAAAAAAAGATTCCATTGCTAGCTTCGGCTAAGGGAGCTCTCGGGCGTCAAAGCCACGGAGCTCCGGGATCTATGGGCCTCATTGCCGCCCAGATGGCAAGTTTTCGCTGGCCAGGAGTGCACTTGAAAAGTCCGATATCGACCGGATTCCTACTCCATAAAGCTCCCTGCTGTCCTCAAAATCTACCCCAACTGCGGTTTCCTCGGCCTTTCAACTGGCATCCCTGTGCTTCCCAGAGCGCCTACGGCGTTCGCGACGAGCACGATCGTGAGACCGCCCCCGATCACCATGCCCAACTCCAGCAGATTCTCAACCTTGCGCCCATGGTGCATGACAGGTGAGGCATGGAGTTTGCGTGCTCCACATAAACCCAGTCCCACGATACCTAAACCCTGAACCCAGAACCCTGGAGCTTGCGGTTTGCAGGGTTTAGAATTTGCTGCTGGGTTTTCGGGGGCTGCAGCCGCGCGGCCGCGGACCCCTCGCCCCACTCGTAGCACTCGTAGTGGCATGCCTTAGGGCTCCCAGTCTCTTTACAAGCGTGAGAGCATTACAAGCACCCAATGCGTGTTGACACCGACACCTACATTACTTCAAAGCTGTCCTACACCGGAACTCCAAGGGCCTCCAAGGATTGTTGGGTCAAAAGGCTTGAAGCACTTCGAACTCCTGAGCCCAGCCTCACCCACAACCCCAACTGAATTGTCTCAAAGTCGCCGTGCGGTAGTCCTTGGCAAAGTACCTTAAATTCGAGGCTTCCGGTGGTTTGCAGGATGCTTCGGTGCAGAAAGCCTGTGCTCCGCGTCTGCAACAAAAAAAAGCTCCGACCTTTACAGAAGCCCTGGTCCTGTGGTGGCAGGGTCCAAACCTGCCTAGGAAGATAGCTTCACAGATCTCTCGAACCATCAGCCCCGCCGGTAAGCACTAAGATGCAGGTCAGGGGCAAGCTCCGATTCCACGGCGGGCCATCGGCCCCCAAAAAGGCAGGAGCGAATCCTCAAAAGGGAGGCAAGAGAACCTTACAACCTCTCTACAGCATAGGGACAGCCTTTTTTGGCTTCTTAAGGCCCCACTCTCTCTGTCTCAATTCTCTCGGCCCCCAAGTGTCGGATGTTCTCCGGCTTCTTGGTGGAGTTCATGAGCGTCACCGGGCTGAAGTCCTTCTGTCAAAGACACGCAAACACAGGTGGGCTTGGGTGGCTTGACTTGGGGCCTCTTCCGAGGCGTGGCTTTTGATCCCTGCTGGTGCCCTCTTGCAGGCGATCCCTTTAAAGAGAGAGAAGGGGGCACCCGAATGCGGCTTCAGCCACCTTCGACTCCATGCTCGTGCAGCAAAAAAAGAGAGCGCGGAGTCGGAGCTCTCCTTCTTCGGAAGGTTCAGCGCCAGGGCGGGAAGTGTTTCGTCCGCCATGAAGCCTGAGGAAGCTGCCCTGGTCACATGCTCTAAGCTGCCAAAGCTGCTTGACCTTGCAAAATACTGGCTCAACACCCCCATGCCATTGCATCCCAAACTCGGCCCGAGTCCCAACAGGTCTCTTCACTCAACTTAACGGAACTTCACGGAACTTCGGATCAAGCCGCACTCTGAAGGCGGCGCGCGCCTGATCCACTGACCTCGGCTGCTGGGCTTCGACATGGGAGAGGGCCGACTCAGGAGTTCCGGAAGAACAGACTGCTCGTGACTTCGCATTAAGCGAACCCTTGTGCACCCTCAAGCAAGAGAGAGGCTCTGTGGCGTATTTCGACTGGGCTACAAGGTGACGAGAGGTGAAGGGTTTCTGCCAAGACCGTTACCAAGTGATACCTTCTACGGCGACCGTGCAGGCAGCGACGCGGTTTGGAGCTTCAGGTTTCGGGCAATTCGGCACCATGCCACCCCACAAGGAGTTCCAATACTTCATCCAGGTCGTAGTGAACCTGACTTCGTACTTGATCCTTGGCAGAGCAGGCGCTTTGGCTCCCTCTCTCCTACACGAAGCATGCTATGAATCGTTTGGACTACAGATGGCCAGTCCGTACTTGTACACCAGAAGAAGCGCAAGCTAGACACGGTGCGGGTAGCTTCTACCAACGTCCCCAGCGCTGGAGCCGGCAGGAAATGACAACTTTTGTGAGTCGACAAAAAGCTGGCTTTCATGAGGGGGAATAAACTCGATCGAAGCAACTCTAAGCCAAGCCCTGCCTTGAAAACGAACCTGTTGCAAAATTTGGGTTCTAGGTTTTCGGGTTTCAGGGTTCCAGGTTTCCCAGGTTTTTCATGGAGCCTAACAAGTCAAAAAATGCCACGGCGCCCTGCCGCGTTGAGTTTGCACTCGCGGCTGAGGAGGCAGGAGGAGGAGGCCCCCCAGGGCGTGGCCAGGGACGAGGCATTCGGAGCAGTCCTCAGGCACACTGGATCTTCGGGCTTCCCGGTGTTTTGTTGGCATCTAATATAGGGTCCTTACAAATTCGAATAGGGTGTGGGGGTTATTGCAGTATTTATAGGACCATGATAGGGGTACTTTGGCGTGACCAAGGAGCCCCCGATGGAGATGGTCGAGGCTTGCTGCGACCTCTAAAGGGTTCGGAGGGTGCCCTGGAGGGGGGGGGGGGTGTTGTGGTCAAGGCACTCCTGTCAGGGCTTCTCGTATGCATCACTCTTTTTTGGAGAGGGTTTCGGGCACCTTATGGCCGGTCTAGGGGTGACAGGTTGACTCTTGGGCTCCTGGGAATTCCCCAACACACACTCCTCTTGGGGCTTGGGGCCTGCAACCCCGCCACAGCTGTTAGAGTTGTTAGGGTTGATCACGGCGTATCCAGTCACCCCAACCACACCGGCCTACTCCATTCTCGTGGCTCGAGAGGGCCCATCTCTTCAGTGGCAAATTTGAACAACTCGGAGATTCACTCTACAGTCCAAGAAACTGCCTATGCCCACAAGAGACGGTCATAACCGGCGTGCCTGCCAGTCAACCTGCTCCAGGAAGAAGCATCGTCTGCAGGGCGCGGCACACATGAAATCCTGGAACGCCCTCCAATTCAAGCTTTGACACCAAAGACCGCAGCAGATCACAACCGGTTTTCTGCCTTCAAATTCAGGTTGTGACATCAGGCAAAACCAAAGGACAAAGCCCGAACCGTCACCTGGCATCGGACTCGGACTTCATGACCTCCTCCCCACACAAGATCTGCTCTTTCAGGAGGACCCTTATATCAAGGCTGAGGGCGCGCATCAAAAGTGCCATTTCCTGGCTAGTTGTCGACCTCCACCTGCCTGCTGCCACCCTTTTGATGCTGCTCGTCAATGCTGCTCCCTACCTGCCACTGCAGCCTTCCGGTTCGGGATTCAGGCATCTGCATCCTGGCCCACCGCCCCAACACAACCGGCCCCTGACCTCCAACTCTGTATGACTCTAACTGGATCTCCGAGCACGTCTGCCACAAATCCGCAAATATCAGCAACAAAGACGGCGTGCCTCAAATCCCAACAAGGTCTATGCAGACACCGCTCAAAAAACAGCAAAAACATAAATGCAATCGAGCGGCTGTGTCACGAAGAGAAAGGCCCCGAGGAAGTACAAACCTACGGGCATGTGGGGCGTGCGGGGCCACGTTCCACGAGAAGTTGAACCGAACGAACAACATCGAAAAGCACCACTGGCCCACACAAACCCTGAACCCCAAAACCCCAAAACCCCAAACCCCAAAACCCCGACACCCCTAATCCCCTAAACCCCGAAACCCCTACAAAACAGAAAAAAGCTTCAGGCCCAGCCCAAGGGGCCCAGGGGTTGAAGGATGAACCCTCGAGGCTGCCAGCTCTTGATGTCCACGATCGAGTACCTTAGGACTCAAAGGGGGTTTTTGGTAGGGCTCCGGACTGGCTTCTGGGGGGACGTCTTCTGGCACCTTCATGTAGGGTTTAGGGTTTAGGGTAAAAACCCAAAAGGTGGTGCCCTTCCAGGGGACTGGAACTGCCAGAAGCGCTGGATCATGTCCACGTCGTGGTCGTGGACAAAGGCCGAGATGACTGTGAGGACTCCTACGCGGCGGCAGGCCCCCCGCGGCTTTCTAGGCGGTTTAGGTTTACGGTTTACGGTTGCTTCGGGGCCTTTGAGGGCTTTTGAAGGTTTAGGACAAGTTTGACTTGAGAGAACAGGATTGCGAGTTGGGAAGACGATGCACCTTGACATCAAAGCTCGAGCCTCTTGAATTGCCCCCCATGTCTGCCCAAGGTTGCTTTTTGCGGCCTTGAGGGTGCAGAAGCGTACAGGAACGGCGTCCTGGAATCCTTGCAGGAGAAATCACCATTCCCCGCTCTCCCAAGACCTAAACATCCTGCAGGTCCCCAACCGGCCGTCCTATGAAGCCGAAGATGTAGAAGCCGACTTTCCAGAAAGTGTCCACGAACACCAGGAGCCTTCAGTTAGGTTCATGGACTGGCTTAGAAGACTTCGCCTAGGCTTCTGCTGTCCGGCATTCTAAGGCAAAGGAATCAAGAGGTTCCCCCCTTGAGCATCTAGGGATTTGGGATGCTTCTTGGCATGGGCGGTGCTGCTTTCTAAGTCGTGTTCGTCAATCTTCTTGTCTTCAGTCTAGCGCGATGACAGTCCAAAGAATACGACCGAACAAGAGGACTAGTGATCGTGAACCGATGTGATGTCCACAAGTGAAGGCAGGGCTGAGAAACCGGGGAGCCTGAGACCTCAAGAGACCAGGATCAAGGAGCATGGTCTCATTTCCCGCACAACTCAAGCTTGCGGGCTCTTGCTGGCAGTGCACCAAGAGCCTGGAGGACGCAGGAACTCTGATCAAGATTGGCCCTCTGATTGCCGCTGCCATAGCGTGCTGCCATAGCGTACTCTCGAAAACGAGGCTTCCCCCAGAAACTGCAGGGAAATGACAGGGATGTCAGGGTCCGAGACAAGACTTTTTGCTGCTCCACGTCCCTACACATTGGAACGCAACACTAAACGCCCCTAAAGGCCCTATAAACTCCTCCCTTTTTGCGGGCAGTGCGCCGGGTGGTCCATTCCAGGTGGTTGAACACGATCAGGGCCACAAGCATGGCCACCACCCCTGAGTGCAACTACATATACCGAAGAACTTGGAAGGGATAAAACGCGAGGCATCGTGTGAAGGGGGTACTTTCTTCGCCGTTTTTTTTTTTTTTTTTTTTTTTTTTTTTTTTTGGGGGGGGGGGGGCATGTTGAAGGTCAAGTTTATGGCTAGGACAGGGAAAGCTTCGCATTTCGGAGCTTCGGACCTTGGGGTTGTGTGAAACTTGTTGAACCACATTGGCGTTTCATCTCCTTGAGCAGGTGGAGATTTCGGGACTCAAGAAAGATGCGTGGGTTGCTCTAGGAAGCCCTGAGCCAAAAGAGTTGTCGATTCTGCAGGGACCGCATTCACAAGGACAAGTACAAACTGGAGATTTTGCACCGGGTATTCGGGCAGGCTCGAGCTTGCATCACGAGGACCAAGAGTCTCTTGAAGGTGAGCTGCTGATCGTTCTAGGCATTGTATTCTTGAGGTTGCGCTGTTGAGGTTGAGGCGGCTTGCTACACTGAAGATTCAGATGTCATGTAGCTGGGCAAGCTGGCAAAAAAACTGGTTGTTTGGGGCTTTCTGTTCTCCTAGGGTCTCGAAGGTTCACGACATGCACGGCTCCTCGATCCGGCTCACATTTTCCGAGCCACAGCTCGGGGCATGCAAAGCAATGTAACTCCGGGATCAGGACCTTCATAAACGCACAAACGCGCCAATAGCTGTAGTTGCAGTCGGAGATCCCAGGCTAGCCACTGCCAAAGCCACGGCGAATGAGAACTCGACCTGAGCCGCACAGTGGGGTTTTTGCGGTGTTGGGAGGCATCCAGGAGTTCCAGAGAAGCCCTTTTTGCCCTTGTAATCCTACCAAAATCACGTTAACACAAATGATGCTCAAAGGCTCAATCATTTTTTTGAGGACCCACAGGGGTTTGGAATCTTTCTCAGTAACTGCGAGGAACTCCGTAGCAAGACAGTGAGTGGTTCTGGTGCAAGGTGCCTAGGGCCTTGGCAGGTTTGAGTATCACTGCTTGTTGGGTGCTAGCCCCAACCACCTGTCCTTGGCCAAATCACGAGGGTCGAGCAGCAGCAGTTGCAGCAGGCGAAGTAGCTGACCTGCTTGTCAAGCGGAAAGCACATGGTCTACCTTCGTCGACATGAGATCGCCGCGACGCGAAAGAAAAATCTACTGCTGCAGCTTGTCAGGGAAGTGTCCACTTCAAAGTCGCTTTATGCAAAGCAACTACTCATCGGGACTGTCCAAAATTTCGAAGCTGAGTTAGAATACACACGCCCAGAAGGCAAATGTTCAAGCCCTTTGACCCAAGACACACATTCACAACATGAAAGAAAAATGACAAAGCTGACATGAACTAAGACCCTGCCGTGAACAAACTAATGGATGCGCCTCGGCTGGTTTGTCTCCATCATGCTCTGAATAATCCCGATTTGGGCTCCATGAGGCCAGTGCATTTTGGAAGACCAACACGGCAATCCTCTCACTTCGGGGGCTCCCATGAACATCTCCTGCAGCTGTCGCTGGAAAGCCCTGGTCTCCCGATGTCGACTCGAAACAAACCGCAAATAGATGATCACGAAGACAGGGCAGGGCAAGGGGCACCTTGTACGGCTTGGCTCTGGTGGCCTCTGGCACCTCTGCCTCGGAGAATCGCAGAAGGGAAACTGTACCGGGCCCGAGAAGTGCGGCCCGGCTCCCGTGGCTTCTCGCAGAGGCTTTGGAAGCTTAGAGGAGATAACACTGAGGAAGCTGACAAACAACGCGGCTCGGAAGACAACCAACAACCCCTGAATGTGGTCCGACATGTCGGACCAAGGTTCCCCATCCATGTGATTGACGCTCCAACCTTACGAACAGCAACAACCTTCGAGTAGCACCGCACCTCGGCAGACGCTGCCATGGACAGAGCTCCCGTGGCCGGCAGCAGCTGCCGCAGAACAAGCGATCACGCTCGAAGCCGGCAGGCTGCATTCGGCTCTGGGTTGAACGTCATAACGTCGGGATAGGGCAACAAAAGTGTTGTCTAAAGCAGTCTTCCGACTACCCTGGCTGCTTACGCTGATCACTGAATTTGGCGACTTCTGCACGTAAGCTGCCACAGACGCTGTGATATGCAAATCCCAGGCTGAGCACCAACATGCATGCAGTTTGGTTGGGCGACATTGCATCTTTCATGGCCTTTCACAGTTGCTCTTCACTCGCAAGCCCTTTGGGATTGGACTTCTGCATGGGCTGCAGACTTCAGGCTCCTTAACCTGTGCTCGCTGTAGAGGTTTCGGTCATCTGAAGCCAAGAGGGTTTAGAGTCCAGGGTTTAGAGGAGGGGGTTACAGTCAAGGCTCATGGGCAAGCGCATGCAAGAAGGGAATCAAATACCAAGATATGTCGGCATATATCGACATTACAAGCTTTCAGCACAGGGGGACGTCAAAGCGAATCGCTTCAGAATTACTGGGGAGGAGCTTGAGCACCTCACCTCACACTTCTGCACACATGTAGCAAGTTTGCTCAGGTCTGCTTCTACCATAAGAAGGATGCTCATCTTTTTCATTCTTCAGGAAAACAGGAACACACATCCCCAGACAAACTCCTGCTTTGAAGAGTGTACAACATTGGGGGTGTATTTCTGCCCGGTGGACAAAGCCTAAACAACATCAGCCGCAAAGTGCAGCAGAACTTGGCTGGACCAAGCGAAGGCATGCGCAGGCTCAAGCACACCAGGAGACACTTACGAAGCAGACAAGGCGGAGGTCTATATGCACACTATGGTACAAGATGCGAAGAGCAGTTTGGCAGACCCAAGCGGAGGCCAAGATTTCTGACGTAGATGTGTAAGACAAGAGCCGCCGGCTAAGATTCCGCAACAAAGAACCAGGATTTCCAGAATGCTTGATTTTGAAAGCCATGGCCAATCCTCAGCTAGCCTTGGACTGAATTGCTCTGAAAGGCTAGATCCCAGACTAGTGAAAGGATACCATTTCCTGTTTAAAAGGGGCCTGTTATGGAGCCCAACTCCTAAACAAGTGTTCAAGGAAGATGCCGAATGAAAGAGGCAACATTCTTAAAAGGAACTGGATGGAAGCCCCTTGTCGCCGCCCACGCCCAGTCAACTGTAGTGAAACCACAGGAATGCGAGCAGACGCATTGTGCACACACGCACACACGCGCACACACACACACACACATACACACACACACACACACACACACACACACACACACATGTAATGCACTTGCAATCAGGAGGAACACCAAATGGCTTTTGAGAAACTGCCATATCTGAGACTATAAGCAATGTCTTGTTCCTGCAGTTTACAGCACACATGTGTATTCGTAGTTCTCTCACTAATCCTCCCTTGCAAAAGCTGGGCAGACCTTTTGCCGACCAGCCAGCGATGCCCGGAGGATCGATGAAAGAGACGCAAGTCGACTGTCACGCCTTAAGCGTGGCAAGGGAAGCTACAGTTGCTGTGGGCGTGCCCCTTCTTGAGAAGTGGCAAGCCCGAAAACGCATACCTAGTCCACATGTTTTTCTTACAACGCCACTGTGTGGCTCAGCTCGACGAGCCTGCCGAGGCTCACGGCCGTTAACCCACGCTCACGCAGCTGACATAACAGAGTTTGAAGGCCAACCCAACACCACTCGCGAAAGCCACGCTCCGGCATGTGGATTACGATGATGGAGCCGTGCTGTGCTGTTTTGCCTAGAAACTTACCAATAAAGTCACCATCCTGGATAACTGGGCAGCACGCGTATGTATCACTCATCACATTAGTCAAGCCTTTTCGCTTGAGGATGCCAGACATGGCAGCATTCAGCCTGCCATGCGGAGCGCGAAACCACCGGACGCCCTCTTCAACGCCAGCGCTCCGCTGCAAGCTGGTGATGCGGCTGGAGCACTCATCAACCGCATCCTCAAAATCTTCCAGAGGCCAGTTCATGTAGCTCTTGTCTATAAGGCAATGGTTGCCCAGCTCATGGCCATCTTTCAGGAGGTCAGCCAAAGCGTCCTCATTACCTGCGATGAACTTGCCCAGGAGCATGAAGGTTGCCTGGGCACCATGCTGCTTTAAGAGGGATCGAACCTGAGGCAGCATAGAGTTCTTGGGACTCAGCCGACAGGGCGCGTCGTCAATCGTCAGCGCCACGTAGTTACGAACGCCGGGGTGCGCATCGACATCAAAGTACCAAAGGGAGTCTGAAGATGCAAATGATCCGAAGAAACTGATGGAGCTTCTGAACGCGATTTTGTCCCATACCAGCTGCAGAGCTCCTGGAACGCCTGGGAACCGCTCAGGCGGAATGAAGGGAACATCCCCATGCTCCATGGCGGCGAGGGGGCTCTCCTCCACCTGATCAAAACCTGCCTTGGCAGAAACAAGTAGCTTCGCAACTCCAACACCTCTCAGGTCCAGAACTGCTGTAGTGCAGAGGATTACAACTCCGGCAGGATCCAACAGCACCCTAGACCCAGCAAAGCTGTCGGTAGCAGAGCTCTGCTTCCTCACGGTCTGGAAACTCTTGCCAGTGAACTTTCGAGATGCAGTACCCGAGCTTCCAAGTTGGTAGATCCAGCTCGAATCCCTTGGGCTCGACCATGCAACACTCGAACATGCCAGTCATGGCTCCAGCTCAAGCATGTGACATGCTCCAGAAGCAAGTAACAACATCCTTAGAAAATGATTGTTGCTGTTGATTTGTTTCTGTTTGTCTGATGCGACAACTGCTAAGATATGAAACAAAGGTCTGACACCGCGGAAGCCTCGACCGCCGAACCCTGCTCACAAGCTCACGAGTGGCAAATAAAGCATAGGGGGCCGGTTTTGCCAGTCACGCTACATTCATACACGTCGACTGGGCCCCGAGTCGACTTTGTCTGACTTGAGCCTAAGTCATGCAGTGATCCGGACTGATTGGTGGCCCCAGCACTGACCTGAACTTATTCACCGCTTGTCATATGACATCCTAGCCAAGGGCATACCGCCGACTATGCAGCGTCATGTGAGGATCCATGAGGACGGCTCTCCCGGCTCAAACCAAGTACCCGCACCAAGCCGCCAACACTATCCACCTGCGCCCCCCAAGGCTCAACCGCACAGAATCGCAAGCAACCAGGATACAATGCCTTCACCAAAGCGATGCATGCAAGGTCTTGATGCAATCAGCCATGTCTCGAGTCTTATTCCAAAATCGGTGTGCAAGAACTTGTAAGTTGTCAGTTGCCCTGTCGCACTTTAAGCTGAAACCTGGAACAGACTGCCCAAGATCTTACTGCATGAGAAGATGCATCTCAAATGCATGGCCGTGATTCGTAAATACAAAGCAATTGCATACGCTTTGCATGTACCTGCTGTAAGACGGCCATTGCATGCCGAGATGCATCTCAAATGTATGACCAGTGATTCCGTCAATGACACCACAGCTTGGCACACGAGCCATTTGAATTGCACTGTGCTGCGTGTGCTTGATGAGCAGGTTGCCGAGGCATTCGATTTGGAGCTGCCCGGCAAGATCCTCAGCCAACAGCCGACATCGATCTCTTAGATTCGAGCGTCTCCTGTCAAAGCGCTGCCCATCTCTGCACAGAAGGCACCGGTCCAACTCGTGAGATCACTGACTCACAAGATGACTCTAACTGTGGGGGCGAAATTTAGGTGAGACTCCGGGTGAATCTCCGGGAAGTGATCTTCGAATGGCCATAGCAATGCCGACAGCAGAGCAGGTTGACATGACAACAGCGCCCGATCGTCACGTCCATAACAAGAATGGCAACGGGAATCAAGCAATGCAGGCCTGCCATTCCAAGCTTGCAAGACAGCAGCAGCACAACAGGCTGCCAAAAGCAGGAGAACATGTTTGCAAATCAGCTGCCTGTTTGCGTCTCCAGAATTGGCCTGCATTGCTTGGCTAGCAAGAAATACGGTCCCACCAAAGGACCAGCAACTGGATTGAACTTTCCTTTAAGTCTTCGCCGACGAAGAGCACAACTGACCTCCTTGGCTTCCCAGCTTCTGCACCTTGTATGCAGACACGATGGAAGCCCAGAGCAAAGCCCGATTCTTCAAAGAGAGGCTTGATTCCTTTTGTCGCCCCTGCGACAGCTGCCCTGAGCGCCATCGTTTCATAATCAAGGCCAGGGCATCATACTCAGCATCTTAAGGGTAACAAGAGAAACCACCACAAAACCGAACCCCTCACAGCACAGATCTGTTTCATGGAGCTTCTCAAGAAAGATCACAAGCAGCGCCAGTGGCGTAATAAAAACCAGATCTTGCACAGGCTATCCGTTGAGGACTTGCAGACCAGTAACCAGACCGACTGCCAGAATGAATAAGCCTGCATTTAGCAAGGTCAAACGTCCACTCTGGTACACCATGTTGACTCTCATCGACTCTAAGATCATGACCATGTCCCACAACAAACTTAAGACAGGAATGCTCTGCGCAAATCCATGCTGCACCAAAACTGCGGCCACGTCTGTAGTCTGGAGTGCCAGAAACAAAGCCAAAAACGTGAGCTCCATCACAAGCAGCAGTGGGCAAGCAACAACAGAGCCCACTGCAAGAGGCATCTCATCGAGGGGCACTCCGTATCCTTGGTAAAGAAGCTGAAGAAGGAAGAGCTGGCAGTTGTGCGAGGAGGTATACCTTTTGGGCTTCTCGGCGAAGAGCATGGGCAGAAGTATGGACGAGGATCATGCCGGTGCATGTCAACGTGCTGACACCGTTGCTTACAGGTGCCACGCATGAAATGACCTGCGCTGGTCTCCACCATGAATTTAAAGATGCTGGTTCTGATGCACTCGTGTTGGCAGGGAAGGATATCAGCATACTGAGAACGGTATTCCAAACAACGCGGCTCTTTCTCACTGAAATATCCGAAAACACGGGGCAAGACACATACGTGGAACCCATCACAAGCCCCGAACCAGGGAAGACCTGTGCCTACACCCTGAACTCTAAGAAGCTCAAAAAGTCTGCGGAGATTTGGGGCCTAAAGCGTGTCTTGCGCTTTAGGCTTGTGCTGTCGAGCCCAGACTGCAGGACTTGGCACTCTTGCGTTACAGTTCCCTTGTGGCTTCAGGGTCCTGCGGTTTAGAGTTGAAGCCTTATGTGCCCGCTTTTCTGATGACATCCTGCCCCGCCTCGACAACACTGTGAAGGCAACTGCCCGAAACCAGTCCTGATCCAGCTGATCATTAACTTTCGACAAGTTGCACACACAAGACTATAAGCCTTCAGCTGAAAATACAGTGCTCTCATCCTGCTGCCGCACTGAGGTCCCAACACGTGAGCAGCGAAGCCAGAAAGTCTGGGCAATCGAGCTGAAAGACTGAACGCATGTGATCTTTGGCGAGTTGATTTGGAGCCTTTCGACCGAGTCAAAGGCCTGAAGGAGACAGGGGTCGAAAAAACGAGGAGCCCGGTTTAGACTTAGAAGCTTTCAGGTGGGGTGGGTGCTGTCGGGGGCGTTCATGTGCTGGGCCACCTGGTAGATTGCACATGGTTGCACTGCTTGTGTGTTTTTTTTTGGCCTGACGTGTTAAAATTTGCAGACTGCTGAGCGTATGCGCTGAAGTTTGGGGCGAAAACTGCGTTTAGGTCCCCGGCACTTGCTGTGAGTGCAGCAGGGGAAAAACCCATCACAGGCCAAACGGAACATACGTTTCACCTTTCGGCCCCTTTTTCCGTCGAAGTACCGACAAACCTTTCACAAACTCGCCCATAGCGCAGCGAGCCGAACTGATATCACGTGGGGCAAAGGCCCTTCCACAAGCAACTGTTTCATCGAAGCAGCTCGACAGCTTATGTTCCAGGCTCTTTGCACTTATGAGCCGACATCTCCTTGGGAGATACACCAGCCAGCGTCTGTCGGCATGCTCACTGGAGTAAAGGATGCTGCTCGCTATGGAACTGAAGCAAGAACACACACTTCGTGGAAAAGTTGCACCATGAATGAACACCAAAACAAGGTCAATGTCCGGAAGGCAAAGCGCAGGCCAGCAACCGCAGCATCTGGAGTAAACTGAAGAACTTCGTTCGAAGTCTCCCTCAGCTAGACGAAATGCGCCGTCTTGATGGCAGCAGTCCTGCAACGCTTTCGGTCTTCTGAAACGCTTCCTCATTACAACAAACAACACGTTCCTACACCCAGTAGGGCAGAGAAGCATTGTAAGTTGCTTGCGCAACGCTGCACATGCAGGGCCTCCTTAGCATGCCAGCATCTGCAGTTTTATGCAGACACGATGTACCCCACAAGCACCACTCTAACAGAGGTTTGCACCCTCCCGTCGCCCCTTCGATAGCTGCTCTGGGCGCTGCGATCGTTCTAGAATCAAAGCCAAACAATCGATTGCAGTCCCCATCAGCCAGCAAGATCCAGCGGGCAAAAGAAACATAACATAAGATGCAGCTTAGTTCCCACACGAGCAATCGCAGAGTAGTAGCGGCGCCAGTAGCACAACTATCAACAGGTCTTGAACAGGCCATCCATTAAGGAATTGCACACGAGCAACCAGGCCGACCGCCAGAATGAACAAGCCAGCGTTTAACCAGGTCAAAGGTCGACTCTGGTGCACCATGTTGACTCTCATCGACTCCAAGATCATGACCATGTCCCACAGCAAACTTAGAACGGGAATGGCGGTCACCAGATCAGTTCCCTGACGTCTGAGATAGATGAGGAGAAGCACTGTGATCAGCAAAGCCGCAATCCCTGGAAGGTAGTCCAATCTGTTCTCTCGAGGATACCTATACGCCAGGTATGCCTCTGCGCAAATCCATGCTACACCAAAAACTGCGGCCACATCTGTAGTCTGAGTAGTCTGGAGTGCCTGAAACAAAGCCAAAAACGTGAGCTCCATCACAAGCAGCAGCGGGCTAGCAACAACGGAGCCCACAGCAAGCGGCATGACTTTGAGGGGCACCAAGTATCTTTGGCAGATAAGCTGCAGGAGAAAGAGCTGGCAGTTGTGAAAGAGCAAGTCATAAAAAGCTCCATGGAGGGGTACGCTTCGAGCCTTTTCCCGAAGCTCAGCAGGAGAAGTGAAGATACTTTGGATCAAGTCGGTGCATGTCAACATGTCGACACCATTGCTTTCAAAGGTGCCGCTCATGAGTCGACTTCCGCTGGTTTCCATGAAGTCCATGATGCTGATTCTGATGTGCTCGCGATGGCGGGCAAACGTAGGTGCATAGGGGCTCTTGCGGAACTCCTTCTCCGTTTTCTCAATGAAATCGATGACTGCTGTAACTTGCATCATGTTGTCTGGCGATCTTTCACTTGATCCTTCAGCAGGAGCACTGCATATTGGGGCACTTACGGGGCTTAGAAAGTGGGTTATATGTACAGTTATATTTGGCTAATAAGTACCCTAAACCCTCAACCCTAAACCCTTAACCCTAAACCCTAAACCCAATTACAATTGGTTACTAAGTACCATGATCCTCCAAGCAAGGCCAGCCGAGGTGGTGATGAAGGTGAAGGACCGCTGGCGGAGAAAGTTTCGGCAGCAGAGGACGCAGCATCGGAGAAAAAGTACGACCAAAGAGAGCCGGAAAGAGCCGCTGATTGCTGGGACAAGCTGCTCCAAGCCAGAGTGGGAACTGAGTGCAACCTGCGCATTTTGCACGTACACTCCCACCAACGGTATCCGTTGGGATCGATGGCTGTCAACTCCACTGAGTAAACATCTCCACTCTCAAAAATCCAGATTGAGGCCCAGTGGGAGAAGATGCCATCGCCAACAATGAGCACATAGGCATGACAAGAACTGCGGTCTAGTTCGATGTCTTCTGAAACCAGACTCTTCGCTTCTTTTTCAGCGACTTGAAGTTCAGCTCGGAAGGTGCTGCCAGCAGGACGCATGAACACAAGGGCGGAGAGGCCCATTGCTGGCCGACTAAGCGCTTACAGGACACGGAGGATCCTAGTACCAACTTGCATCAAGGGCCTCTGATGGTCTCGAGCCGCCTAACCAGGTTGGAAAAGTATCCGTGGGCCAGTGTGGGTTGAAAGTGCTGCGCACCTATCTGTTTATGCAACTGAACCTGGCCTCCCAAGTCTCATTCAAACGAAATGATTCTGCAGGCCTACTGTCACCCATGGACTGTGACTAAGACAATGGGAACGTTGACTGCATCGTGCAGAAGCACAGTGGTCAAGAAGCCCCTGATTTAGGGGGTGAAGCCAAGAACCTTCATCAACCAGAGCATATGCTTATGTGTGTGTGTGCCTGGCAAGGGTTCAGGTTTGGAGATCTTATCGCGCCCCCCCCCCCCCGCCCCCCCGATGGCAAGGAAGCCAGGAAGCCTCGTGTCGCGGCGTCCAGCAATGCTCTGCGGAGCATAGCGACCACCTGAGATGGGTTTATTTTCGGCGACATGGAACAGAGTCGAACCATGACAACCCGAAACGCTGAACTCCATATATCCAATATCCAAAAAACCCCACAACTTCCGAAAACTTAAGGCTACCTCTTCGGACTCTGGGCGGTGTTGCAACAATGAGGACTCCAGTGTAGGGGATTCTTCAGCTTCAGTTGAGTTTCGAGGATGCCTTGGGCTACAAAATCCCAAAATTGGGATTTATGTAGGGTTCATAGGGTTTTAGGGGTTAAAGGGTTTAAAGGGTCTTTTGGGTTTATAGGGATATAGGGTTTAAAGGGTTTATAGGGTTTTAAGGGTTTATAGGGTTTAGGATTTATAGGGTTTCGGGTTTAGAGCACCTCTCAGGAGCTCTTTTTTTTCTGCATCTGCTTGACCGAGCCAATATCTGAAATGCTTCCCCCGAAACATCCACACCCACCCCATACAATTCTCATCGCTACTACAGATCAATCGCTGACCCGGTCTGCGCCCTTTCTGGAGCATTGGCAGGAATCGAGCCGCACCATGGCAAAGCGAGGGCACGATCTGTGCTAGGCTTGGTATACCTGGGGGCGCATGCTTCAAGACCCAAACCTGAAGCTCTCAGCCGCACCATTACAAAACAGCACAGGTCCTTTCGCAGACCATGAGATGTCATGAGGGGTCATAAGGGATTGATGATCTTGCCGGACCTCGTGACCCCAAACCCACAGTCCAGTCGGCAGTTGAGCCTTCCTGCGATGCGCATCGGAAGCTACACCTCAAGCTTCCGCAGAAGAGGAATGGTGTCAGACAGCGGCAAGCAAGAACGTCTTTGACAGCGACTGGCAATCGTCGCTGGTCCGAGGCTTGAACCTGCGCATGTCCTTTCCCTTGCCTCAATGGCAAGGTTTGAACGCAAAGGGTCCAATTCCAGCTCTAAAGCTCTGAGCATAGCGGCGTTGCTCCTCAGGACGATGGTGAGGGACTCCTTTGGATCTTCGCAATACAGGCATCTTGGGCAGGAAGTTCTGCTGCTTAGCAGCACAACGTCAGGAAAAAAAGCACCAGTGAGCAGGAGTTCACGAGGAATGTTGCAGCAATAGCCTAGCATTAGCGTCAAACACAGGGCGCAACAAATCAATACTGGCCTGCTCAATGGTGGTATCTAGGCAACGGGCTTCTTTGAAAGGCGCCGCTGACACCGGCAGCATTGTCTAGTCTCCATCGGAAGGAAGCTGGCGTCGATTTTTCTGTATCAAGATCTCATGGGGCAGCCATAAGCCGAATAGAGCAAACACAGCCATGCCAACACCTGCCAAAATTGCCCGATCACCCATTACAAACGATGCTTGGACGATCATGCTTGCAATGTAGGAGATCACTCCCAAAGTCATTGCCAAGATGGGTGTGTGGTTCCAAAATTTAAGCCCATCCTTTTTGAGCCTCGCGTCGAAGCTCGTGGCATCTTTTTTCAATATGTGGTGAAACGCAATCAGGCGCGCAATTGCTGTCATGATCGCCAAGACATTGCCTTATCAGTCTGCGAGAAAAAACATGCGATAAAGCCGACAAATGCATTGAATGCTTATTAAGTCTATCTCTTTCATAGGAGACACTTGTCATGCTGAAGAAGGTGACGAGCTGGTAAAGCTCGAAATGTCTGAGCCAGCAAATGGATTCGCAGTACTCGGTGAGGTCTTTGAGATCGCGGGAATCAGCCAAGTTGGAAGCCAAGCAAGACAGGAGTAATGCAGATACCAAGCCGACGGTAGAATTGATGTTGAACTCATCCTACATGATTTCGTCGCTGCGATCTTTCGATGTAGTCGTGACCTTCTGTTCCGAGTCCTGATTCTCCCTTGCGACCACTTCATTCTCACCAAGCAGTCTCTGCCCTGTGCACGACATGTCCGGCATCGTTCTTTCAACAGTGCCTGCTTCAAAACCCGGCTTGAGCCAAACTCCAAGCGACAACGCATCGTTTCACGCTTCGCCTATCTCCGAAGCATGCAGCATGCCCAACATGGAATCAAAATGCCTGCATGCTTTCACTGATGTACTGAAATCACTCCACTGCAAGAGTCTAGTTCCTGTCCCCCTGAAAGAGGACTCCGTGGCTACACGTCTCCTTCTGGTAAGGACGTGTTCGCTGGGGAGCTCACCAAGTGCTCATGAACGAGCAGATGACCAAGCACAATGGGGTTCAATGTCAGAAGCCCCCTCTCAACAACGACACAGACCAAGTGTGGTTTGGGCCAACTCTTGCGGCGCCTTCAGCGCCGCTCTCATCGCCTCTCTCATGAAACAATGTCCAAATCTTCAAGTTTGGATAACAATCCAAATGTGCTTGGAGCTAACACAGCTTCCACTCCTCCCGAGCTCCCACACCTTCCACAACTCTGACCTGTCTGGATCCCCCCCCCCCAATGGATCCGATGTCTCCGAAAAACGTCCGAAGTAAAGGGTCCAGCGCAAGCCCTTCCACTTTTACCACGCCTCGGACCTCCCCGAGCCCAACCTGTTCAACTCCTCCCAACACTTCCACCTCTTGAGTCTCCACGCGAAACGCATCGGGACCTACACCTGAAGCTTCTGCAGAAGAGGACTCGTCAATGGTGTCAGACAACGGCAGGCAAGAATGTCTTTGACGGCGAATGGTTGTCGTCGCTATGTCTTTGACAGCGAAGGGTGATCGTCTCTAGCATGTCCCTGGTCCGAGAACCTGCGCATGTCCTTGCCTCAATGGCAAGGCTTGCGTGCAATTCCACCTCAGGACGATGGCGAGGGAGTCCCTTTGGATCTTAACTTCCTTCGGACAGAAAGTTCTACTGCTTAGCAGCACAACTGTCGGACAAACTGCGCCAACGAGCTGGAGGTCACAACAAAATGTTGCAGCACTAGCCTAGCTGGGCCTAGCATTAGCTTCAGATACAGCGCACAAATCAAAACTAGTCTGCTCAATAGAGGGGCCTGGGCACTGGGTCTCTTTCAAAAGTGCCGCTGATACCCCGCAAACTCCCTTCGGCCAATAAGGCATCTTGGGCAGAAAGTTCTGCTGCTAGGCAGCACGACGTCGCAGCTGTCGGGCAAACTGCACCAGTGAGCAGGAGCTTCAGACACAGGGCACAAATCAAAACTAGCCTTCTCAATAGTGTTTCGGCACCGGGTGTCTTTGGGTGGTGCCGCTGACACCGCAATTGCCCAATCAGCCATTTCAGAAGCCCTGGTCCTGTGGTGGCAGGGTCCAAACTTGCCTAGGAGGATAACTTCACAGATCTCTCGAACCATCAGCCCCGCCAGTAAGCACTAAGATGCAGGTCACAAAAAGGCAGGAGCGAATCCTCAAAAGGGAGGCAAGAGAACATTACAACCTCTCTACAGCATAGGGTCAGCCTTTTTTGGCTTCTTAAGGCCCCACTCTCTCTGTCTCAATTCTCTCGGGCCCCAAGTGTCGGATGTTCTCCGGCTTCTTGGTGGAGTTCATCAGCGTCACCGGGCTGAAGTCCTTCTGTCAAAGACACGCACACACAGGTGGGCTTGGGTGGCTTGACTTGGGGCCTCTTCCGAGGCGTGGCTTTTGATCCCTGCTGGTGCCCTCTTGCAGGCGATCCCTTTAAAGAGGGTGAAGGGGGCACCCGAATGCGGCTTCAGCCACCTTCGACTCCATGCTCGTGCAGCAAAAAAAGAGAGCGCGGAGTCGGAGCTCTCCTTCTTCGGAAGGTTCAGCGCCAGGGCGGGAAGTGTTTCGTCCGCCATGAAGCCTGAGGCAGCTGCCCTGGTCTCATGCTCTAAGCTGCCAAAGCTGCTTGACCTTGCAAAATACTGGCTCAACACCCCCACGCCATTGCATCCCAAACTCGGCCCGAGTCCCAACTTAACAGGTCTCTTCACTTCACTCAACTTCACTCAACTTCACTCAACTTCACTCAACTTCACTCAACTTTCGGACCAAGCCGCACTCCGAAGGCGGTGCCCGCCTGATCCACTGACCTCGGCTGCTGGGCTTCGATATGGGGGTCGACTCAGGAGTTTCGGAAGAACAGACTACTCGTGACTTCGCATGTTTGTGACGAGAGGTGAAGGGTTTCTGCCAAGACCGTCAGCCGCCAAGTGATACCGTCTACGGCGACTGTGCAGGCAGCGACGCGGTTTGGAGCTTCAGGTTTCGGGCCATTCGGCACCATGCCACCCCACAAGGAGTTCCAATACTTCATCCAGGTCGTAGTGAACCTGACTTCGTACTTGATCCTTGGCAGAGCAGGCGCTTTGGCTCCCTCTCTCCTACACGAAGCATGCTATGAATCGTTTGGACTACAGATGGCCAGTCCGTACTTGTACACCAGAAGAAGCGCAAGCTAGACACGGTGCGGGTAGCTTCTACCAACGTCCCCAGCGCTGGAGCCGGCAGGAAATGACAACTTTTGTGAGTCGACAAAAAGCTGGCTTTCATGAGGGGGAATAAACTCGATCGAAGCAACTCTAAGCCAAGCCCTGCCTTGAAAACGAACCTGTTGCAAAATTTGGGTTCTAGGTTTTCGGGTTTCAGGGTTCCAGGTTTCCCAGGTTTTTCATGGAGCCTAACAAGTCAAAAAATGCCACGGCGCCCTGCCGCGTTGAGTTTGCACTCGCGGCTGAGGAGGCAGGAGGAGGAGGAGGCCCCCAGGGCGTGGCCAGGGACGAGGCATTCGGAGCAGTCCTCTCAGGCACACTGGATCTTCGGGCTTCCAGGGTTTTCTGGCATCAAAAAAAGGGTCCTCAATAATTAGAATAGGGTTTTGGGAGGTCATTATGCTATTGTTACAGCGGGACCATAAGGGGTGGGCGATGATAGGGGTACTTGGTGTGACCAAGGAGCCCCCGATGGAGATGGTCGAGGCTTGCTGCGACCTCTGAAGGGTTGGAAGGGTGCCCTGGAGGAAGGCGTTGCGGTCAAGGAGTTCAAGGCTACTCTTTTTTGGAGAAGGTTACCTTCTTGACAGGTTGACTCTTGGGCACTTTGCATTCCCCCTCCCCCCCCGCCCAACACACACTCCTTCTCGGGCTTCGGCTTAGGCCCGCAACCCCACCACAGCTTTTAGACTTGTTAGGGTTGATCACGGCTTGTCCAGTCACCCCGACCACACCGGCCTAGTCAATTCTCGTGGCTCGAGTGGGCTTTGAACAACTCGACCAATTCATTCTAGTAAGAAAATCGTCTATGCCCGCCAGAGACGGTCAATAACCGGCCTGCCTGCCAGTCAACCTGCTCCAGGAAGAAGCATCGTCTGCAGGGCGGCGCGACACACATGAAATCCTGGAGCCCTTCAAGCCTCGACCGAAGACAGCCGCAGATCAGAACCGGTTTTCGAAGCCTTCAAATTCAGGTTGTGACATCACGCAGAAACCAAGGCCAAAGCCCGAGCCTTGCATCGGACTCGGACTTCATGACCTCCTCCCCACACAGGATCTGCTCTTTCAGGAGGACCCTTAAAGCAAGGAGGCTGAGGGCGCGCATCAAGAGTGCCATTTCCTGGCTGGTGGTCGACCTCCACCTTTCTGCCGCCACCTTTTGCTGCTGCTCGTCAATGCTACTCCCTACCTGTCACTGCAGCCTTCCGGTTCAGGCCCGCGGCCAACACACCGGCCCTTGACCTCCAACTCGGTATGACTCTGACTGGAACTCGACGGCTGCCACAAACCCGCAAACATCAGCAAGCAAGACCCAAAATCCCAGCAGGGTCTATGCACCGACCGCCCAAGAACGACAAAAGCAAAAATGCAATCCAGCTGCTGTGTCACGAAGAGAAAGGCCCCGAGGAAGTACAAACCTATGGGCATTTGGGGCGCGAGGGGCCACGTTCCACGAGAGTGGCCGTAAAGCCCGAAACCCCTATCCCCTAAATCCCGAAACCCCGAATAAACCCAAAGGAAGCTAAGGTAGAGAAAACGCTTCAGGCCCAGCCCAAGGGGCCCAGGGGTTGAAGGATGAACCCTCGAGGCTGCCAGCTCTTGATGTCCACGATCGAGTACCTTAGGACTCAAAGGGGGTTTTTGGTAGGGCTCCGGACTGGCTTCTGGGGGGACGTCTTCTGGCACCTTCATGTAGGGTTTAGGGTTTAGGGTAAAAACCCAAAAGGTGGTGCCCTTCCAGGGGACTGGAACTGCCAGAAGCGCTGGATCATGTCCACGTCGTGGTCGTGGACAAAGGCCGAGATGACTGTGAGGACTCCTACGCGGCGGCAGGCCCCCCGCGGCTTTCTAGGCGGTTTAGGTTTACGGTTTACGGTTGCTTCGGGGCCTTTGAGGGCTTTTGAAGGTTTAGGACAAGTTTGACTTGAGAGAACAGGATTGCGAGTTGGGAAGACGATGCACCTTGACATCAAAGCTCGAGCCTCTTGAATTGCCCCCCATGTCTGCCCAAGGTTGCTTTTTGCGGCCTTGAGGGTGCAGAAGCGTACAGGAACGGCGTCCTGGAATCCTTGCAGGAGAAATCACCATTCCCCGCTCTCCCAAGACCTAAACATCCTGCAGGTCCCCAACCGGCCGTCCTATGAAGCCGAAGATGTAGAAGCCGACTTTCCAGAAAGTGTCCACGAACACCAGGAGCCTTCAGTTAGGTTCATGGACTGGCTTAGAAGACTTCGCCAAGGCTTCTGCTGTCCGGCATTCTAAGGCAAAGGAATCAAGAGGTTCCCCCCTTGAGCATCTAGGGATTTGGGATGCTTCTTGGCATGGGCGGTGCTGCTTTCTAAGTCGTGTTCGTCAATCTTCTTGTCTTCAGTCTAGCGCGATGACAGTCCAAAGAATACGACCGAACAAGAGGACTAGTGATCGTGAACCGATGTGATGTCCACAAGTGAAGGCAGGGCTGAGAAAGCGGGGAGCCTGAGACCTCAAGAGACCAGGATCAAGGAGCATGGTCTCATTTCCCGCACAACTCAAGCTTGCGCTGATCAAGATTGGCCCTCTGATTGCCGCTGCCATAGCGTGCTGCCATAGCGTACTCTCGAAAACGAGGCTTCCCCCAGAAACTGCAGGGGAATGACAGGGATGTCAGGGTCCGAGACAAGACTTTTTGCTGCTCCACGTCCCTACACATTGGAACGCAACACTAAACGCCCCTAAAGGCCCTATAAACTCCTCCCTTTTTGCGGGCAGTGCGCCGGGTGGTCCATTCCAGGTGGTTGAACACGATCAGGGCCACAAGCATGGCCACCACCCCTGAGTGCAACTACATATACCGAAGAACTTGGAAGGGATAAAACGCGAGGCATCGTGTGAAGGGGGTACTTTCTTCGCCGTTTTTTTTTTTTTTTTTTTTTTTTTTTTTGGGGGGGGGGGGGCATGTTGAAGGTCAAGTTTATGGCTAGGACAGGGAAAGCTTCGCATTTCGGAGCTTCGGACCTTGGGGTTGTGTGAAACTTGTTGAACCACATTGGCGTTTCATCTCCTTGAGCAGGTGGAGATTTCGGGACTCAAGAAAGATGCGTGGGTTGCTCTAGGAAGCCCTGAGCCAAAAGAGTTGTCGATTCTGCAGGGACCGCATTCACAAGGACAAGTACAAACTGGAGATTTTGCACCGGGTATTCGGGCAGGCTCGAGCTTGCATCACGAGGACCAAGAGTCTCTTGAAGGTGAGCTGCTGATCGTTCTAGGCATTGTATTCTTGAGGTTGCGCTGTTGAGGTTGAGGCGGCTTGCTACACTGAAGATTCAGATGTCATGTAGCTGGGCAAGCTGGCAAAAAAACTGGTTGTTTGGGGCTTTCTGTTCTCCTAGGGTCTCGAAGGTTCACGACATGCACGGCTCCTCGATCCGGCTCACATTTTCCGAGCCACAGCTCGGGGCATGCAAAGCAATGTAACTCCGGGATCAGGACCTTCATAAACGCATAAACGAGCCCATAGCTGTAGTTGCAGTCGGAGATCCCAGGCTAGCCACTGCCAAAGCCACGGCGAATGAGAACTCGACCTGAGCCGCACAGTGGGGTTTTTGCGGTGTTGGGAGGCATCCAGGAGTTCCAGAGAAGCCCTTTTTGCCCTTGTAATCCTACCAAAATCACGTTAACACAAATGATGCTCAAAGGCTCAATCATTTTCTTTGAGGACCCATAGGGGTTTGGAATCTTTCTCAGTAACTGCGAGTGGTTCTGGTGCAAGGTGCCTAGGGCCTTGGCAGGTTTGAGTATCACGGCTTGTTGGGTGCTAGGATTCTCCTGTCCTTGGCCAAATCACGAGGGTCGAGCAGCAGCAGATGCAGCAGGCGAAGTAGCTGACCTGCTTGCCAAGCGGAAAGCACGTGGTTTACCTTCGTCGACATGAGATCGCCGCGACGCGAGAGAAAAATCTACTGCTGCAGCTTGTCAGGAAAGTGTCCACTTCAAAGTCGCTTTACGCAAAGCAACTACTCATCGGGACATTCCAAAATTTCGAAGTTGAGTTAGAATACACGCCCAGAAGGCAAATGTTCAAGCTCTTTGACCCAAGACACACATTCACAACATGAAAGAAAAAATGCCAAAGCTGACACAAAAGCCGATGAACTAAGACCCTGCAGTGAACAAACTAATGGATGCGCCTCGGCTGGTTTGTCTCCATCATGCTCTGAATAATCCCGATTTGGGCTCCATGAGGCCAGTGCATTTTGGAAGACCAACACGGCAATCCTCTCACTTCGGGGGCTCCCATGAACATCTCCTGCAGCTGTCGCTGGAAAGCCCTGGTCTCCCGATGTCGACTCGAAACAAACCGCAAATAGATGATCACGAAGACAGGGCAGGGCAAGGGGCACCTTGTACGGCTTGGCTCTGGTGGCCTCTGGCACCTCTGCCTCGGAGAATCGCAGAAGGGAAACTGTACCGGGCCCGAGAAGTGCGGCCCGGCTCCCGTGGCTTCTCGCAGAGGCTTTGGAAGCTTAGAGGAGATAACACTGAGGAAGCTGACAAACAACGCGGCTCGGAAGACAACCAACAACCCCTGAATGTGGTCCGACATGTCGGACCAAGGTTCCCCATCCATGTGATTGACGCTCCAACCTTACGAACAGCAACAACCTTCGAGTAGCACCGCACCTCGGCAGACGCTGCCATGGACGGAGCTCCCGTGGCCGGCAGCAGCTGCCGCAGAACAAGCGATCACGCTCGAAGCCGGCAGGCTGCATTCGGCTCTGGGTTGCACGTCATAACGTCGGGATAAGGCAACAAAATTGCTGTCTAAAGCAGTCTTCCGACTACCATGGCTGCTTAAGCTGATCACGGAATTTGGCGACTTCTGCACGTAAGCTGCCACAGAAGCTGTGATATGCAAATTCCAGGCTGAGCACCAACATGCATGCAGTTTGGTTGGGCATGGCCTTTCACAGTTGCTCTTCACTCGCAAGCCCTTTGGGATTGGACTTCTGCATGGGCTGCAGACTTCAGGCTCCTTAACCTGTGCTCGCTGTAGAGGTTTCGGTCATCTGAAGCCAAGAGGGTTTAGAGTCCAGGGTTTAGAGGAGGGGGTTACAGTCAAGGCTCATGGGCAAGCGCATGCAAGAAGGGAATCAAATACCAAGATATGTCGGCATATATCGACATTACAAGCTTTCAGCACAGGGGGACGTCAAAGCGAATCGCTTCAGAATTACTGGGGAGGAGCTTGAGCACCTCACCTCACACTTCTGCACACATGTAGCAAGTTTGCTCAGGTCTGCTTCTGCGTTCTTGCCCGTTTAAGGAACTCAAACTAGGCTACCATAAGAAGGATGCTCATCTTTTTCATTCTTCAGGAAAACAGGAACACACATCCCCAGACAAACTCCTGCTTTGAAGAGGTACAACATTGGGGGTGTATTTCTGCCCGGTGGACAAAGCCAAAACAACATCAGCCGCAAAGTGCAGCAGAACTTGGCTGGACCAAGCGAAGGCATTCGCAGGCTCAAGCACACCAGGAGACACTTACGAAGCAGACAAAGCGGAGGTCTATATGCACACTATGGTACAAGATGCGAAGAGCAGTTTGGCGGACCCAAGCGGAGGCCAAGACCTCTGACGTAGATGTGTAAGAAAAGAGCCGCCGGCTAAGATTCCGCAATAAAGAACCAGGATTTCCAGAATGCTTGATTTTGAAAGCCATAGGCAACCCTCAGCTAGCCTTGGACTGAATTGCTCTGAAAGGCTAGATCCCAGAGCGACAGGAATGAAAGAGTAATGAAAGGATACCATTTCCTGTTTAAAAGGGGCCTGTTATGGAGCCCAACTCCTAAACGAGTGGCATAAGAGCCCACTCTGGGTCCTAGTATGTAGATGTTCGGTGCTAGGGAGCGTGTCTGTGTTGCCAGGTCTAGGCAGAGTACTCTTTCTAGAATGTGCAAGAAGCATTCAAGGAAGATGCCGAGTGAAAGAGGCAACATTCTTGAAAGGAGCTGGACCCAGGTACCAAGACCTGGGGAGCAGTAGTGAAACCACTAAGAATGCGAGCAGACGCATGGCGCACACACGCACACACGCGCGCACAGACACACGCACCCATGCGCACGCACGCACGCGCACGCACGCACGCACACGCACGCACGCACGCACGCACCCACCCACCCACCCACACACACACACACACACACACACACACACACACACACACACACACACACACACACACACACACACACACACACACACACACACACACACACACGCACGCAGGCACGCACGCACGCACGCACGCAGGCACGCACGCACGCACGCACGCACGCACGCAAGCACGCACGAAAGCACGCACGAAAGCACGCACGAAAGCACGCACGAAAGCGCACGAAAGCACGCACGAAAGCACGCACGAAAGCACGCACGAAAGCACGCACGAAAGCACGCACGAAAGCACGCACGAAAGCACGCAGCACGCACGCAACGCACGCACGAAAGCACGCACGAAAGCACGCACGAAAGCACGCACACGCAACGCAAGCAAGCAAGCAAGCACGCACGCACGCACGCACGCACGCACCCCACCCCACCCACCCACCCACCCACCACACCCACCCACACACACACACCACACACACACACACACACACACACACACACACACACACACACACACACACACACACACACACACACACACACACACACACACACACACACACACCACACCCACACACCCACACCCACACCCACAACCCCCACCCACACCCACACCCACCACACCCGCACCCGCGCGCGCACGCGCGCGCACACGCGCGCGCGCGCGCACGCGCCCGCGCCCGCGCCCGCGCACGCGCGCGCGCACCCGCAAGCACGCACGCATGTACTGCACTTGCAATCAGGAGGAACACCAAATGGCTTTTGAGAAACTGCCATATCTGAGACTATAAGCAATGTCTTGTTCCTGCAGTTTACAGCACACATGTGTATTCGTAGTTCTCTCACTAATCCTCCCTTGCAAAAGCTGCGCAGACCTTTTGCCGACCAGCCAGCGATGCCCGGAGGATCGATGAAAGAGACAGCAAGTCGACTGTCACGCCTTAAGCGTGGCAAGGGAAGCTACAGTTGCTGTGGGCGTGCCCCTTCTTGAGAAGTGGCAAGCCCGAAAACGCATACCTAGTCCACATGTTTTTCTTACAACGCCACTGTGTGGCTCAGCTCGACGAGCCTGCCGAGGCTCACGGCCGTTAACCCACGCTCACGCAGCTGACATAACAGAGTTTGAAGGCCAACCCAACACCACTCGCGAAAGCCACGCTCCGGCATGTGGATTACGATGATGGAGCCGTGCTGTGCTGTTTTGCCTAGAAACTTACCAATAAAGTCACCATCCTGGATAACTGGGCAGCACGCGTATGTATCACTCATCACATTAGTCAAGCCTTTTCGCTTGAGGATGCCAGACATGGCAGCATTCAGCCTGCCATGCGGAGCGCGAAACCACCGGACGCCCTCTTCAACGCCAGCGCTCCGCTGCAAGCTGGTGATGCGGCTGGAGCACTCATCAACCGCATCCTCAAAATCTTCCAGAGGCCAGTTCATGTAGCTCTTGTCTATAAGGCAATGGTTGCCCAGCTCATGGCCATCTTTCAGGAGGTCAGCCAAAGCGTCCTCATTACCTGCGATGAACTTGCCCAGGAGCATGAAGGTTGCCTGGGCACCATGCTGCTTTAAGAGGGATCGAACCTGAGGCAGCATAGAGTTCTTGGGACTCAGCCGACAGGGCGCGTCGTCAATCGTCAGCGCCACGTAGTTACGAACGCCGGGGTGCGCATCGACATCAAAGTACCAAAGGGAGTCTGAAGATGCAAATGATCCGAAGAAACTGATGGAGCTTCTGAACGCGATTTTGTCCCATACCAGCTGCAGAGCTCCTGGAACGCCTGGGAACCGCTCAGGCGGAATGAAGGGAACATCCCCATGCTCCATGGCGGCGAGGGGGCTCTCCTCCACCTGATCAAAACCTGCCTTGGCAGAAACAAGTAGCTTCGCAACTCCAACACCTCTCAGGTCCAGAACTGCTGTAGTGCAGAGGATTACAACTCCGGCAGGATCCAACAGCACCCTAGACCAGCAAAGCTGTCGGTAGCAGAGCTCTGCTTCCTCACGGTCTGGAAACTCTTGCCAGTGAACTTTCGAGATGCAGTAGCCGAGCTTCCAAGTTGGTAGATCCAGCTCGAATCCCTTGGGCTCGGCCATGCAACACTCGAACATGCCAGTCATGGCTATGCTCCAGAGTAAAGTAACAACATCCGTAGAAAATGATTGTTGCTGTTGATTTGTTTCTGTTTGTCTGATGCGACAACTGCTAAGATATGAAACAAAGGTCTGACACCGCGGAAGCCTCGACCACCGAACCCTGCTCACAAGCTCACGAGTGGCAAATAAAGCATAGGGGGCCGGTTTTGCCAGTCACGCTACATTCATACACGTCGACTGGGCCCCGAGTCGACTTTGTCTGACTTGAGCCTAAGTCATGCAGTGATCCGGACTGATTGGTGGCCCCAGCACTGACCTGAACTTATTCACCGCTTGTCATATGACATCCTAGCCAAGGGCATACCGCCGACTATGCAGCGTCATGTGAGGATCCATGAGGACGGCTCTCCCGGCTCAAACCAAGTACCCGCACCAAGCCGCCAACACTATCCACCTGCGCCCCCCAAGGCTCAACCGCACAGAATCGCAAGCAACCAGGATACAATGCCTTCACCAAAGCGATGCATGCAAGGTCTTGATGCAATCAGCCATGTCTCGAGTCTTATTCCAAAATCGGTGTGCAAGAACTTGTAAGTTGTCAGTTGCCCTGTCGCACTTTAAGCTGAAACCTGGAACAGACTGCCCAAGATCTTACTGCATGAGAAGATGCATCTCAAATGCATGGCCGTGATTCGTAAATACAAAGCAATTGCATACACTTTGCATGTACCTGCTGTAAGACGGCCATTGCAGCTACCAGTCTATGCCGAGATGCATCTCAAATGTATGACCAGTGATTCCGTCAATGACTGGAAGGTTTCCCCCTGATGCGGCCTGGTAAGCCCTTCTTGGAACCCTGCAAAGTCCAAGGCCCTAAATCCGAAAACACGTGGCAAAACACATACGTGGAACCCATCACAACCCCAAGCCCCCGAACCAGGGAAGACCTGTGCCTACACCCTGAACTCTAAGAAGCTCAAAAAGTCTGCGGAGATTTGGGGCCTAAAGCGTGTCTTGCGCTTTAGGCTTGTGCTGTCGAGCCCAGACTGCAGGACTTGGCACTCTTGCGTTACAGTTCCCTTGTGGCTTCAGGGTCCTGCGGTTTAGAGTTGAAGCCTTATGTGCCCGCTTTTCTGATGACATCCTGCCCCGCCTCGACAACACTGTCAAAGCAACTGCCCGAAACCAGTCCTGATCCAGCTGATCATTAACTTTCGACAAGTTGCACACAAAAGACTTTCAGCCTTCAGCTGAAATACAGTGCTCTCATCCTGCTGCAGCCGCACTGCGGTCCCAACACGTGAGCAGCGAAGCCAGAAAGTCTGGGCAATCGAGCTGAAAGACTGAACGCATGTGATCTTTGGCGAGTTGATTTGGAGCCTTTCGACCGAGTCAAAGGCCTGAGAGAGACAGGGTCGAAAAAACGAGGAGCCCGGTTTAGACTTAGAAGCTTTCAGGTGGGGTGGGTGATGTCGGGGGCGTTCATGTGCTGGCCACCTGGTAGATTGCACATGGTTGCACTACTTCACCAACTTCAGGCAGTCCGGAAATTCACCTAGATCCGAGAGACTACGCATCCGGCGTCTCACTTATACACTGCTCTAAAGACACAGCCCCGGATTGTGGACTGGAGTAACGAAACGCGCAGATTCGGAGCTTCCTCACTTGGAGGCCAAGAGCAGAGGCGAGGACCGGGGCCGGCTGGATGGCAAGGGGAAACCTGTCAAGTGCTTTCCAGCACTCATGATGTGCTTGTGTGGTTTCTTTTGGCCTGACGTGTTAAAATTCGCAGACTGCTGAGCGTATGCGCTGAAGCTTGGGGCGAAAACTGCGTTTAGGTCCCCGGCACTTGCACTCATGCAGCACGGGAAAAATCCATCACAGGCCGAACGAAACATACGTTTCACCTTTCGGCCCTTTTTTCCGCCGAAAAACCGAAAAACCTTTCACAAACTCGCCCAGGGGCAAAGGCCCTTCCACAAGCAACTGTTTCATCGAAGCAGCTCGACAGCTTATGTTCCAGGCTCTTTGCACTTATGAGCCAACATCTCCTTGGGAGATACACCAGCCAGCGTCTGTCGGCATGCTCACTGGAGTAAAGGATGCTGCTCGCTATGGAACTGAAGCAAGAACACACAATTCGTGGAAAAGTTGCACCATGAATGAACACCAAAACAAGGTCAATGTCCGGAAGGCAAAGCGCAGGCCAGCAACCGCCGCATCTGGAGTAAACTGAAGATCTTCGTTCGAAGTCTCCCTCAGCTAGACGAAATGCGCCGTCTTGATGGCAGCAGTCCTGCAACGCTTTCGGTCTTCTGAAACGCTTCCTCATTGCACCAAACAACACGTTCCTACCAAAGACATAGTCACCCAGTAGGGCAGAGAAGCATTGTAAGTTTCTTGCGCAACGCTGCACGTGCAGGGCCTCCTTAGCATGCCAGCATCTGCAGTTTTATGCAGACACGATGTACCCCACAAGCACCACTCTAAGGAGTGGTAGCGGCGCCAGTAGCACAACTATCAACAGGTCTTGAACAGGCCATCCATTAAGGAATTGCACACGAGCAACCAGGCCGACCGCCAGAATGAACAAGCCAGTGTTTAACAAGGTCAGGCGTCCACTCTGGTACACCATGTTGAGTCTCATCGACTCCCAGATCATGACCATGTGCCACAGCAAACTTAGAACGGGAATGGCGGTCACCGGATCAGTTCCCTGACGGCAGATGAGACCCAATGTGATCAGCAAAGCCGCCAAATATGGAAGGAAGTCCAATATGTTCTCTCGAGGATACCTATCCGCCAGGTATACCTTTGCGCAAATCCATGCTAAACCAAAAGCTGCGGCCACATCTGTAGTCTGGAGTGCCTGAAACAAAGCCAAAAACGTGAGCTCCATCACAAGCAGCAGCGGGCTAGCAACAACGGAGCCCACAGCAAGCGGCATGACTTTGAGGGGCACCAAGTATCTTTGGCAGATAAGCTGCAGGAGAAAGAGCTGGCAGTTGTGAAAGAGCAAGTCATAAAAAGCTCCATGGAGGGGTACGCTTCGAGCCTTTTCCCGAAGCTCAGCAGGAGAAGTGAAGATACTTTGGATCAAGTCGGTGCATGTCAACATGTCGACACCATTGCTTTCAAAGGTGCCGCTCATGAGTCGACTTCCGCTGGTTTCCATGAAGTCCATGATGCTGATTCTGATGTGCTCGCGATGGCGGGCAAACGTAGGTGCATAGGGGCTCTTGCGGAACTCCTTCTCCGTTTTCTCAATGAAATCGATGACGGTGTAACTTGCATCATGTTGTCTGGCGATCTTTCACTTGATCCTTCAGCAGGAGCACTGCATATTGGGGCACTTAAGGGGCTTAGAAAGTGGGTTATATGTACAGTTATATTTGGCTAATAAGTACCCTAAACCCTCAACCCTAAACCCTTAACCCTAAACCCTAAACCCAATTACAATTGGTTACTAAGTACCATGATCCTCCAAGCAAGGCCAGCCGAGGTGGTGATGAAGGTGAAGGACCGCTGGCGGAGAAAGTTTCGGCAGCAGAGGACGCAGCATCGGAGAAAAAGTACGACCAAAGAGAGCCGGAAAGAGCCGCTGATTGCTGGGACAAGCTGCTCCAAGCCAGAGTGGGAACTGAGTGCAACCTGCGCATTTTGCACGTACACTCCCACCAACGGTATCCGTTGGGATCGATGGCTGTCAACTCCACTGAGTAAACATCTCCACTCTCAAAAATCCAGATTGAGGCCCAGTGGGAGAAGATGCCATCGCCAACAATGAGCACATAGGCATGACAAGAACTGCGGTCTAGTTCGATGTCTTCTGAAACCAGACTCTTCGCTTCTTTTTCAGCGACTTGAAGTTCAGCTCGGAAGGTGCTGCCAGCAGGACGCATGAACACAAGGGCGGAGAGGCCCATTGCTGGCCGACTAAGCGCTTACAGGACACGGAGGATCCTAGTACCAACTTGCATCAAGGGCCTCTGATGGTCTCGAGCCGCCTAACCAGGTTGGAAAAGTATCCGTGGGCCAGTGTGGGTTGAAAGTGCTGCGCACCTATCTGTTTATGCAACTGAACCTGGCCTCCCAAGTCTCATTCAAACGAAATGATTCTGCAGGCCTACTGTCACCCATGGACTGTGACTAAGACAATGGGAACGTTGACTGCATCGTGCAGAAGCACAGTGGTCAAGAAGCCCCTGATTTAGGGGGTGAAGCCAAGAACCTTCATCAACCAGAGCATATGCTTATGTGTGTGTGTGCCTGGCAAGGGTTCAGGTTTGGAGATCTTATCGCGCCCCCCCCCCCCCGCCCCCCCGATGGCAAGGAAGCCAGGAAGCCTCGTGTCGCGGCGTCCAGCAATGCTCTGCGGAGCATAGCGACCACCTGAGATGGGTTTATTTTCGGCGACATGGAACAGAGTCGAACCATGACAACCCGAAACGCTGAACTCCATATATCCAATATCCAAAAAACCCCACAACTTCCGAAAACTTAAGGCTACCTCTTCGGACTCTGGGCGGTGTTGCAACAATGAGGACTCCAGAGTAGGGGATTCTTCAGCTTCAGTTGAGTTTCGAGGATGCCTTGGGCTACAAAATCCCAAAATTGGGATTTATGTAGGGTTCATACGGTTTTAGGGGTTAAAGGGTTTAAAGGGTCTTTTGGGTTTATAGGGATATAGGGTTTAAAGGGTTTATAGGGTTTATAGGGTTTAGGATTTATAGGGTTTCGGGTTTAGAGCACCTCTCAGGAGCTCTATTTTTTCAGAGACCACCTCCTGGCTGTCGAAGCGGTGCATGGCTGGGGCCAACGGTCGTCCTTATGCACCGCTTTGCCGGGTCTTGGAACGTTGGGTCGGGTTCCCATGGGAGGTTGGATGGGCTGCCGGGAGGATGCGAAAATAGGGGACCCCCAAAATCGGAACGATCCGGATGGAAATGTGCTGGCGCGCAAAGCCGCGAGACTCGCGAGACTGAGGAGCCAGTAGTCCACATTTGCGCCAGCAAAACAACAAGGCTTGTGATCTCGCTTCCTGGACGAGTTGGCTTGGGCTCTGGGACAGGATCGAAAGGAAAAATGTCCTGGTCGGGTTCTGTCGGAAGCACGGTCGACATCCTCGCCGTAGAGGTAAGGTGGAGGGTGCAGATTCGCTGGACCAACGGACGTGGAGAGCCGTGAACATTTGGAAGAGAATCTCGTGTTGGCGAATGAGTTTTGGGACTTCTTCACTACTTGGATCAGGCTTCACGGCATCGTGCAACCATCCAGGCGGCCCGAAGATTTTATTGTCGGCATGGGCGACACGCGCGTCGAGGTTGGCACGAGGGGTACAAGGTTGTTGGCTGTTCGGGTCATGTCTTTTGCTGGGATGATGTACGCATGTCTAGGATGCGTGGCATGTATGTGTTGCTATTTTGTGTCGCTCTCCTTGCAAAGGTCATAGAAACGTCGGAGGCCTCCTACCGTGCGAAGCGGGGAATTGATGGTGTCAGTGAAGAGGTTCTGCGGGAAGATGCTTTGGCCCAGCGGGTGGGCAGAGCGGTGGACGCGGCGGAGGGGCTTTGACTTCTTGGAGTGACGCGGAAGCGAGGGAGGCGGAGCCTCACCGCCAGGTTTTAGAGCTCACAGCTTCCTGGATTTACATACCGTTATACAACTAGGTTAGCCCTTGTCACCCTCTTGTGTTCTCAGCAGCTTGGTCGAGAGCCCCTTTAGGGTTCAGGGGTTTCGGGTAAGAGCGGTGTGCTGCACTGATTTTCGCGCACCACAACTCTCGTATGCGTTGCGTGGAAGTCAATTGAAAGGCACCTAGGAGGGTGCACAACAAGCGCCTAAAGCCTAAACCCTAAACCCTGAACAATCCTCAACCATCAACCCCCGCCCCCCACCCAGGCTCAGTTTGGAGAGAGCCTCGAAAAACGGACTCCTCGAAAGAGACGCGTCTACAGTTGGGGGCCTTGTGCTCTCACATCGCGTACTTCGTCGGGTCGTCGTGCCGTAAGGTATGATGCTGGATACCTAGCCGATGCATCTGCTTGACCGAGCCAATATCTGAAATGCCACCCCATACAATTCTCATCGCTACTACAGATCAATCGCTGACCCGGTCTGCGCCCTTTCTGGAGCATTGGCAGGAATCGAGCCGCACCATGGCAAAGCGAGGGCACGATCTGTGCTAGGCTTGGTATACCTGGGGGCGCATGCTTCAAGACCCAAACCTGAAGCTCTCAGCCGCACCATTACAAAACAGCACAGGTCCTTTCGCAGACCATGAGATGTCATGAGGGGTCATAAGGGATTGATGATCTTGCCGGACCTCGTGACCCCAAACCCACAGTCCAGTCGGCAGTTGAGCCTTCCTGCGATGCGCATCGGAAGCTACACCTCAAGCTTCCGCAGAAGAGGAATGGTGTCAGACAGCGGCAAGCAAGAACGTCTCAGCGACTGGCAATCGTCGCTGGTCCGAGGCTTGAACCTGCGCATGTCCTTTCCCTTGTCAATGGCAAGGTTTGAACGCAAAGGGTCCAATTCCAGCTCTAAAGCTCTGAGCATAGCGGCGTTGCTCCTCAGGACGATGGTGAGGGACTCCTTTGGATCTTCGCAATACAGGCATCTTGGGCAGGAAGTTCTGCTGCTTAGCAGCACAACGTCAGGAAAAAAAGCACCAGTGAGCAGGAGTTCACGAGGAATGTTGCAGCAATAGCCTAGCATTAGCGTCAAACACAGGGCGCAACAAATCAATACTGGCCTGCTCAATGGTGGTATCTAGGCAACGGGCTTCTTTGAAAGGCGCCGCTGACACCGGCAGCATTGTCTAGTCTCCATCGGAAGGAAGCTGGCGTCGATTTTTCTGTATCAAGATCTCATGGGGCAGCCATAAGCCGAATAGAGCAAACACAGCCATGCCAACACCTGCCAAAATTGCCCGATCACCCATTACAAACGATGCTTGGACGATCATGCTTGCAATGTAGGAGATCACTCCCAAAGTCATTGCCAAGATGGGTGTGTGGTTCCAAAATTTAAGCCCATCCTTTTTGAGCCTCGCGTCGAAGCTCGTGGCATCTTTTTTCAATATGTGGTGAAACGCAATCAGGCGCGCAATTGCTGTCATGATCGCCAAGACATTGCCTTATCAGTCTGCGAGAAAAACATGCGATAAAGCCGACAAATGCATTGAATGCTTATTAAGTCTATCTCTTTCATAGGAGACACTTGTCATGCTGAAGAAGGTGACGAGCTGGTAAAGCTCGAAATGTCTGAGCCAGCAAATGGATTCGCAGTACTCGGTGAGGTCTTTGAGATCGCGGGAATCAGCCAAGTTGGAAGCCAAGCAAGACAGGAGTAATGCAGATACCAAGCCGACGGTAGAATTGATGTTGAACTCATCCTCCATGATTTCGTCGCTGCGATCTTTCGATGTAGTCGTGACCTTCTGTTCCGAGTCCTGATTCTCCCTTGCGACCACTTCATTCTCACCAAGCAGTCTCTGCCCTGTGCACGACATGTCCGGCATCGTTCTTTCAACAGTGCCTGCTTCAAAACCCGGCTTGAGCCAAACTCCAAGCGACAACGCATCGTTTCACGCTTCGCCTATCTCCGAAGCATGCAGCATGCCCAACATGGAATCAAAATGCCTGCATGCTTTCACTGATGTACTGAAATCACTCCACTGCAAGAGTCTAGTTCCTGTCCCCCTGAAAGAGGACTCCGTGGCTACACGTCTCCTTCTGGTAAGGACGTGTTCGCTGGGGAGCTCACCAAGTGCTCATGAACGAGCAGATGACCAAGCACAATGAGGTTCAATGTCAGAAGCCCCCTCTCAACAACGACACAGACCAAGTGTGGTTTGGGCCAACTCTTGCGGCGCCTTCAGCGCCGCTCTCATCGCCTCTCTCATGAAACCAAATGTTCAAGTTTGGATAACAATCCGAATGTGCTTGGAGCTAACACAGCTTCCACTCCTCCCGAGCTCCCACACCTTCCACAACTCTGACCTGTCTGGATCCCCCCCCCCAATGGATCCGATGTCTCCGAAAAACGTCCGAAGTAAAGGGTCCAGCGCAAGCCCTTCCACTTTTACCACGCCTCGGACCTCCCCGAGCCCAACCTGTTCAACTCCTTCCAACACTTCCACCTCTTGAGTCTCCACGCGAAACGCATCGGGACCTACACCTGAAGCTTCTGCAGAAGAGGACTCGTCAATGGTGTCAGACAACGGCAGGCAAGAATGTCTTTGACGGCGAATGGTTGTCGTCGCTATGTCTTTGACAGCGAAGGGTGATCGTCTCTAGCATGTCCCTGGTCCGAGAACCTGCGCATGTCCTTGCCTCAATGGCAAGGCTTGCGTGCAATTCCACCTCAGGACGATGGCGAGGGAGTCCCTTTGGATCTTAACTTCCTTCGGACAGAAAGTTCTACTGCTTAGCAGCACAACTGTCGGACAAACTGCGCCAACGAGCTGGAGGTCACAACAAAATGTTGCAGCACTAGCCTAGCTGGGCCTAGCATTAGCTTCAGATACAGCGCACAAATCAAAACTAGTCCGCTCAATAGAGGGGCCTGGGCACTGGGTCTCTTTCAAAAGTGCCGCTGATACCCCGCAAACTCCCTTCGGCCAATAAGGCATCTTGGGCAGAAAGTTCTGCTGCTAGGCAGCACGACGTCGCAGCTGTCGGGCAAACTGCACCAGTGAGCAGGAGCTTCAGACACAGGGCACAAATCAAAACTAGCCTTCTCAATAGTGTTTCGGCACCGGGTTTCTTTGGGTGGTGCCGCTGACACCGCAATTGCCCAATCAGCCATTTCAAAGGATGCTTGGACTATCATGTTTGCACTGTAATAGATCACTCCAAGAAGCCGTTGCCAATCGCAATAGTCGTGGTGAAAGAGTTCCTCCATCATCGAGAGTTTTGGGCTTCGTAAAACCTCGACCCAGACCAAGATCTACGTTGACAACCGTATAGCTGCCATCAAGAGTGAAGTCCTGCCGCCTACGGTTTTCAAAGCTGATCTTACTAATGCTGGCCCTGGAATTCCAGCAGGAGAAGCTCAAGCCATGCCGCCCCTATTCCCCCCACCATCAGAGTCATAGCCGTCGCGTCTGCTGATCTCGTAACCTCCGTTGTTGTTCCGGATCAAAGAAGCTGAAGACATCTTTCACCAGATAGAAGAGCAGCCCAATGACCAGCGCCACACCGAACACAACAGCCACACAACATAGTGCAGAATAGGCCAGCCACAGAAGGACAACGATTGGGGAGGCACTGAGAACTGTCATGCAGCAGCAGCGGTTCCTCAGCCACGTGTGCCTGTCAAAAGCTGCCCGCACGGGGAGGAGCAGGTCCCACAAAAGATATCCAGATTATCCCAAAGCACTTTGCCATCGTGAGCATCTCGAGCTGCACCAGCCGCGAATACACCTCAATAAAGAGAATTTCCATGTCCAGCATCAGAGGGGCAATCACTGCCCCTATGGCCCTATGTTCCACGGCAAGTGATGCTGTGGAAGGCCCGACGGCATTCCCCCGTTCAGCAGAGCAGGGCTCCAAGACAACTCCGTTCCCCAAGCCCATCCAAGAATTGCACATTGCACCTGTGAATTAAGTCCGACAAAGAGGAGGCCGGCGGTGAAGGCTCGGAATGAAGCCAAGCTGGCCGCGAAGGAAGCTGGCAGAGGAAGGGGGCGTGGTCGCGTCCACGGGCGTGCTGCGCAGCCGTCTTTCGAAGAGAAGACTTTTCACTTGAGGATGCCAGACATCACAGCGTTCAGCCTGCCACGCGAAACGCGAAACCATCGGACACCCTCTTCAACGTCAGTGCTGCGCTGCACAGCTAGAGCACTCATCAAACGCGTCCTCGAAATGTTTTAGAGGGCTGTTCATGTAGCTCTTGTCTACAAGGCAATGCTTGCCCAGATCATGGCCATCTTCCAGGAGGTGAGCCAAAGTGGCCCAGGAGCATCAAGGTTGCCCAGGCACCATGCCGCTTCATTGCGGACAGCCTGCAATTAGAGCGGAGACCTCCGTGCGGGATGCTGTGCTTTTATGCTGCAACCACCCTTGCATCCTGCCTTGGGGTGCTTTGCAAGGGTCCTTGTCAGCGGGGGGTTTGCCGTAAGGTAAAACAGGGAAAACGAGAAGGAGGCGACATGAAAAGGCTCGTGAATTTCAACACTTCCTCTAAGGCTGCTGGGCGATCCATGAGTGATTTGCATATCGCAGGTGGAAGCCACACCCAAAATCACGTGCAAGCACAACGGTGCAAGACTTTGTCATTCCGCCTGAAAACAAATCTGTTCGAACGTTGGCAGACACACGAAGATCATGGCACACAGTCATACTGCTCTCGCATGCAAGTGCACAAAGTTGTGAAACTTCAAGCTCCAGGTAACACACGACATACGATTTCTGCAGCAATCTCCTGGCTCGTGCTTGTGCGCCTTTTTTGAATATCTATGACGGCGCATGAAAATGCTTGCCATGAGTTGCGGAAATGCACGGCAGAACATACCCCTTGTTGAACTGCCAACAAGGCATTGTCTGAACACACTCATCACGAGTATAACTTTCGATGACATTCAGCCTCCAGCGTTCACTTTGTGGACTGCCATGCTCCAACTCAAGGCTCAGGTTCATGCGTGATTGTATGCATAAAACACAACAGGAAAACAAGGTAAACCATCATGTCACGGAAGATCCCCTGTCTGTGTTATGCAAAGTATGCCTTTCTCAGGGCCTCCTTGGCTTCGATGGCAGCGAGAAAACCGCGATTCTTCAAGCTAGCGGTTTGCTCCCTCTGGTCGACTTTTAGATAGCCACAGCTGTTTCGTTTGCTGCCATCATTAATGAGCCAGCACAATCCATAGCAGAAATATGGCATACATCGAAGCAGCGAACACCACCACACAAAACTCATGAAAGTGGCAAGTCGTCTGAATGCAGACCAATCCAAGTGCAAGTGGCAGCATGAGCCACAGGTCTTGCACAGGCCACCCGTTGAGGGCTTGCAAACGGGCAACCAGGCCCACGGCCAGAATGAACAAGCCAGTGTTTAACAAGGTCAGGCGTCCACTCTGGTACACCATGTTGACTCTCATTGACTCCAGGATCATGACCATGTCCCACAGCAAACTTAGTACGGGAATGCTGGTCATCAGATCCTTTTGCCGAAAGATGAAGAGGCCTGCCGTAAATAAGCAGGCCGTAGCCACTGGCAGGTAATCCAAAAGTGTTTCTCGAGAGTACCTATAAGCCAGATATACTTCTGTGCAAATCCAAACGACACCCAGACCTCCGACCCAAACTGTATTCTGGAATGCATGAAACAATGCCACGAACACAACCTCCATCACCAGCAGCAATGGGGAGGCAACAATACAGCCCACAGCAAGAGGCATCTTGTCAACCTTTACTTTATATTTTTGGCAAAGTAGTTGCAGAAGGAACAGCTGGCAATTGTGGAATAGCAAATCGTAAAATGATCCGTGGAGAGGTACGGATTCAGCTGCTTGGCGAAGGTCATTTGGAGAAGTTCTGACGCGGATCACGTCTTTGCATCGAAACGCGTTGTCTTTATCGAAGGTGCCACTCATGAGGCTACTTCTGCTGTCTGCCAGAAACTTCATGATGCACTGGTGAATGTCATCGGCCGGAGATGATGTGTAGCCAGCTACTGGTTCTTTTATTCCATCAATATCTACTGCAGGTGCGTTGGATGTGAGGTCGAACGCCCCCCCGCTCAGGATCTGGAATTCGAGATCCACATCGTCTTGCCAATCATGCCCAAACATCTGGATATTTGTGGGAACACAACGTTTCTGAATGAGACCAATGACTGCCCAAACCTTCAAGCTGTTCTCGTCCACCGTCGACGTTTCACCTCCTTGCTCGCTCTCGCAAGAAGAACTTGAGTCTGACTGGCCATCGGCGGGAAGGCCCGAACGAACGAAACCAGATAGAGCCTCTGATGGCCGGGACGAGCTTGTGCTTTTTGAGCTGCTCGAACCCAGAGTGGCACTTGGGTACAGCCTGCGCATCTTGCAGAGACCTGCTCCCCAACGGTGCCCTTTGGCCTCATCGATGGCGGTCAACTCCACTGAGTACACCTCTCCTAGCTCAAACATCCAGATCGATGCCCAGTGGGAGGCGCATCCACTACCCACAATTAGCACACAAGCATCACACGTTTGCTTGCTTAGCCGCGTGCTGGTCGAAACACGGTCCACATCTGTCTGCACTTCTGCTGCAGAGATACGACCAACAGGTTCTGTTGTCCAAGGGCCGGAGAAGGCCATCACTGGCCGACTGCGTCTTCGAAGGATGTCCGCGGTTCGAGCATCTGATGGCCATGGCCTCTGACGAATGGTTCTAAGAAGCCCCTAAACGACAGGGTACGAGGATTCACCGGCAGTACACCTATCATTTGCCATCATTTCGTGAGACGGAAAAAGCACTGAGTGACGCCAAAAGTCTTTTTCAACAAGTTTCTTCGGGCGCTGCACAGCCCTGAAACTGCACGTACGAAGAAGCATCCTGTTCCCGCACCCTTAAGTGGCCCAGAGCAACAGGGTCAAGCAGCGTTTTCTGACCTTGCGAGCAGAATGTGACTTGCGAAGCAGGCAAATAAAAATTGGGAAACAAGCTTGCGGTACTTGATGCAGCAGCTCACAGGCCAATACTGGCCAAGCGCTTGGGAACTCGTCCATGCCGAGTTGTGGGGACAAAGCTGTACATGATAGGCAATTGCGGCCAGCGGGCTGAGGAAGCGCATGCGTTCATGCTCTCTTTCCCGCACACTGGCAGGCGATTGCAGCGGCAGCAAGGTCGTTCTCCTTCCAGGCATGCGTGTGGCCTGCAGAGGCTCCCAGGTGAGCCGTCTTTCAATACCGGCGCCTATTTGAATGCCGGATTCCCTGGCCCTGGGCGTAGAAAAGGCAAAAAACCGGCGATTCGGTGCAAGAGTTGGTTGCTTTCGGAAGCCTCTTCCAGTACAACCTTGCAAAGCTGGAGCCACAGGCTGTCAGACATCTACAACTGCGAGCGATTTCTTTGACGGAAAAAGGGAAAACATTCACTGCGCAGGCTTCAGAGTAGAAGCTTCGGTGAAGAATATCTCAGGATCACCATCATTTTGATGTTGAAATCTTGCGCACAACGATCACCACAGGGTGCATCTTCCGATGGGGGCTTCAGAAACATCACCGTTCTTGACCGATACGTACAAGAACTCGAAGCACTCCACCCTTCAGCTAGACCGCTAAACATAACTGGCGGCTGGACAATGCAAAGCCCCCAACCCCAGGTCGTACGCCACAACTCTGAAGCCCCGGAACCAAATTACAAACAATTATGGAATGGGCAACTGCCGTACTGATGGCACCAATTCATCCATGTCCTCCGATGCAAAGAGGTGCAAGACATGTCAAAGTGCACGAAGCTGGTCTTGCTTTTTCAGGAAAGGCTCAAACATCGCACTCTGGGATTCATGTTAGAGGCTCCGTCATAGATGCTCACTCCAACATGAAGAGATCCAATGAACCGGCCCGTGAGAACCAACAACCAAGCTTGAACATCTCCGTCCCTCGGCCTCGGCCTAAAAAGTCTATAAGGACAAGTCGGACCAACAATGACCACCATCCACAGGGGGTGCAAACAGCTTTTGATATCGGATAAAGCTGACAAGGCACAGACCTACGAGGAACTAGACACACACAACACAAACACAATGAAAAGACAAACTCCAGTCCTCCGGGGTTTTGAAGTGGCGGGTGACGACGCTCTCATGCCGGCAAACCTGCTGCAAGAAGAAGTACATGTACATTCTGACTGCGAACAGACTAAGCGGCAGTCCTTGCACGGCTGCTGGCACGCCGCAACAGTTCAGAGATGCGTTCATGGAATCAACCCCTAAGGCTTAGAACACGTCTACTGCCGTGGAGGCCAAAACCCGAACCGGACTGAAATCAAAACGCGCTGGCCATGACCTTGCAAATCCCGATCTCATGCGGAAGGCATTGTTTGCCCGGCCATTTGCTCAGGCACCTGCCGTCGGGCTGATGGCGTGGGGTTTGGATTACAGGTTGTCAGATGCACTTGGCCTTCGACTGTCGACTTAAGCTGCTTGGACATAATAACAAAGTTGGTTTGCGCAAGACGGACGCATGAGTGTTGCCCTTATTGGGGTTGTTCCCGAAAACATGGCGGAGGGTTTTCAGCGGAGGTGGTTTTCGACTATATGTCGTCGTTATATATTGATGGCGTGGATGATGCCTGGATGGATGGCGTGATGGATTTCGTGGGCTTTCTTCTTAAAATTAGTATGTTTTGAAGCACGGGGTAGGGTTGGCGAGAGCCGCCGCACCAGGTTAACAATGGCGCGTGACTGCCTACCTTCTGCATGTTTTGGTGTTTGCGCGGTGTCGTGATCGCGTGAACGCCAACCCTCTGCGTGTTTTCGCATTTTGGAAATGCAGAAACGACGACCCTCTGCGTGGTCCCCGCGCCTCGTGATTGCGTGAACGCCAACCCTCTGCAAAAGCGACGACCCTCTGCGTGGTCCCGGCGTGTCGTGATCGCGTGAACGCAAACCCTCTGCGTGTTTTGCGCTGTCAAGACGCAAAAACTGCGTGTTTTTGCTTTGTCGAGACGCAAAACGACGACCAGCTGCCTGTTCGCGGGGTGTCGTGATCGCGTGAATGCCAACCGCATGTTTTTGCGTTGTCGAGACGCAAAGGACGACGCTCTGCGTGCTCGGCGCGTGTCGTCGTCGCGTGAACGCTAACTCTCCGCGCGCGTGCGCGATCGCGAGAACGACGACCCTGTGCGTGTGCGGGGGGTGTCGCGCGGCGTGAACGCCAACCCTCTGCGTGTTCGCCGGACGTCGTGACGCACGCGCGTGGGAGGCGTTCGCATTTTCGTTCGCAAACGACGACCCTTTGCGTGTTCTTGGGGCGTCGTGAAGCTTCGTCGTCATCGTTGATGCATGGATGGATGCAGTGATGTCGTGATGGATGGCGGGCGGTCTTCGTGAAGGTTCTTCGCTATCGTTGACGCATGGATGGATGTCGTGGTTGACGCGTGACGGGTGAAGGTTCTTCGTTATCGTTGGTGCATGGACGGCTGTCGTGATTGATGTTGTGATGGATGGTGGGCGGTCTTCGCGAAAGTTCTTCGTTCTCGATGTCGTGATGGATGTCGTGATGGACGGCGGGCGGGCGGTCTTCCTGAAGGCTCTCGTTATCGTTGACGCATGGATGGATGTCGTGATGGATGGCGGGCCGTCTTCGTGAGGGGTCTTCGCTGGGTGTCGCGATGGATGTCGTAATGGATGATGCAAGGATGGATGGTGTTATGCGAGGTTTTAATCGTGGCTTGAAAACGCTTTCGGGACAACCGTTCTTGGTGCTTTTTGACAACTGACCATGTGAGTAGATCAAATGAATAATGGGCCGTTTTGGGGGCCCAAAATATTAGGCTCCGCACTAGAATAGGAACCCTAAGCCCGAAGCCCTAAACTGCCTGAACTCAACTGGACTGTGGACACAAAGATACGACACATAAGATGCGACACCAGGCGCGACACGAAAAGACGACACGAACGCATGACCTGAAAGCACGACAACAGAAATGAATACACGACACGAGGACTCACATGGGGTGGTCCAAAAGCCAAGCTCGCGACCCGCATGGGCCCCATCCGTGTGATGACACGTTTGAGGCGACTGTCCAAAGACACCGACAGTTACCAGGATCAACTGTCAACACTTTTTTGACGCGAAGAAGGTACCAGAGTCCAAAGCGACGCGGACACGAGCGCAGAAAAACCTATAACTGTCGGCAGTCTTGGGACGCGAAGACATTTTTTCACCACCGAAGACCCCAAACAGCAGAAGGAAATTACACGTGTGAAGTGAGGTTCCTTCACACTACACGCGAGCCGCCGCACCTAACTTGGCTGGGGCAACAACCGACAACGCAGGAACCTAAAGGTTTGTTCCAGCCAGACATCAGAACCCTCTACGGAGTTTCACCACGCGCGAGCCACACCGCGCGAGCCACCGCCGCGAGCCACCGCGCGCGAGCCACCGCGCGCGAGCAACCGCGCGCGAGCCACCGCACGCGAGCCACAACACCTTAATTGGCTGGGGCAACAATTGACAACGCAGGAGCCTGAAGGTTTGCTCCAGCCAGACTTCATAACCCTACGGAGTTTGCACGGTACTCACACAGGCAATAAAGAAAATGGCGAACCACCGTGCGCGAGCCGCCGCACGCGAGCCACCGCGCGCGAGCCACCGCACGCGAGCCACCGCGCGCGAGCCACCGCGCGCGAGCCACCGCGCGGCCGCCTGACTTTCCTGCCGCGAAGATGCCGGCAACGGCCTCCGCATCCGGACGAGGGCGCAGCTTGCCACAGTTGAGCTCGCACAGTGAGCTGGATGTACTCGCCCCGCTCAGCTTTTGAAAAGAAGGGGTCTCAGAAACCCTGGGAAGCATCAGCAATGGCTGCTGCAAGCTCCTTTGGAGCTAGTCCAATCCCGTAGGCGGCAAACCACAACCAGATTCGGACTCAGAAGCCCAACACAGGCGGGATCTACAGCATGGCGCTTTTCGCACCTACACCCCTGTGAAAGGCTACATGGCAAAAGCTCGGTCAACATCACGACATGGGACGAATGCACAGCTGCGCGTCTTCATGTCCTGTGCACCTGCAACGTACGCCTGTTGCCGGTGCTTGGAATGTTAGCAAAAGTCCTCGACAAGTAGGTTCTCCAGCATGAGCCGGTGTAATGGCATCCTCACTGTCGCCCCCTCGTCTCTCGGAAAATAGAGTCATCCTTGATTACGAGGAAGCCAAAGGCCTAACAATATGACCCTGAGCACTTGGCCGTTCACATCGTTTCGCTCTGCCCTTTAATAATAGTCAATAGTAATTCCTGGAGAGATAGTAGAACTAGTGCACTAACCTCTTGTTTATGGTGTTCACTGGCGATGAAAAATACTGAGTACAAAGGGGAAGGTTAAAGACCAACAAAGAATGGTGCCTTGGGAAAGATGAACTACATTCTCAGGAATGAAATGGACATGTACTAGAAAATAGTTGTGTGTTGGGGAGTTTTTGCAAGGATCTTTAGCAGCACACCGTCTCTGCGAAGAAGGATGAAGCTGCAAGCATCGGCGGGCTCCGATTCAATCGAACCTGTTCAGGCCTGGGAAGGCTGCTTATTGGCACACTAAGACACAGAAGAATTTGAGTAAGAAACCCTATGCAAATACGCTTACATGGTTTGGTCTTGAGACAATGACTCAATGTTATACAGTCGGTCTCTGCGCAAAAACCGTGAAACAATGTCTCTCGAGTCCGGGCGCACGAAAGGAACTTCAAGATGCCTCTTTGGCGCATGGTTTCCCGATGTCCCCTTTAGGGTGTTGGGTGGTTTAAGGTTTTGGGGCACACAGATTGCAAGCCAGAAACCCACGTGCCAGGGCTGCCTCTGGCACTCGTCGATCATGGCATATGGCTCCTCGTTCAACATCATAAATTTGCTAAAGTGTGCTCCTGCACACAACCACACCATGAGTAGAAAGCCGAGCTTACATACTTGCAAGACTTTACCGTCGAAGTCTCCTACATGCTCAACTTCATGGGGTCACTTCTGCCTGATGTCCGCTTTCATGACTGTATAGAGATCGGACAGAGTTATGCTTTCCTCTAACTCCAAATCGGACTTCCTCAGGGCAGTTTTGCAAGGTTAGCTTAGTATTGGAGCCCAAGGCTTACACTTTGAGCTTAGAGAGCCTCAACCCTAAGTGTTTGTAGAGAGTTGCAGTGACAAGCAGTTCAGCCTTCATTGGGGATGTTCGTGCGCAAACCCTGACTGCGGAGCAGACCTGTCCCAAGAATGTTATGCCTTCCCTCTCACCCTCGTATATTGCCTATTCCCAGTATCGTCTGCGAAGGAACCCCTCAGCCCCAAGTCAAAGTCTCCTGCTTGGCCAGGTAGATTGCCGCCCAGCCCTGGCTGCGCAGCAGCCAGCTTGAGGGTCTTGGGGCGTAAGGCTGTAGGGTTTTAGGGTCTCAGAGCTTCATAGGGATTAGGATTCAAGGCCTCAGGTGTGGAGATTAGGTCTTAGAGCGCTAGGGTCGAAAGGCTTTAGACGGTGTTGTGCTCTTTTGATTTGCTGAATTACGCGCGTGAACAAAACCATTACTGCACGCTCTGAATGTACACGGGCCCCAAATTTTATAACACGTCTAAATATAGTACTTTGAAAATTTTAGCGGCCAAAAGCTGCTGTATATAGGCCCAGTCATAGACAACCCCAAGAAAGATAGAATGCTTCTTGGATGATTTGTTCATCTGCAGCCAATGGTCTCTAATTCTTGGTTATAGACGGTTATCCGGTACATCCCTGTCAAAATGCAAAGCCTGATTTGCAGATTGAATACTGTCACAAAGAATCACATTCTGAATCTTCCCATTCGCCCACCAAATGTCATATCACTTACTGTAAAAAACCGCTTCTGATTCAGCAAGGGCTCATTGCGATTTGTTAACTTCCAAGCTGCGTGCCGACCCTGGGAAGATGTTGCTGCAATTTTTCCTTTTCAGCAGCTTCGCATATGTACTTTCCTGAGCCATTTGTTTTCCGGCGGCAATTGCCGATTGCCGTAGGTCCTGCATAAAGCTCCTTCGCAACCGTTACAGTGTATGAGCGAGCAGAGGGCTTTTTTTGGGTGGCACTGTTTGGCAATGTAGGACCGTGGGCCACTCAGCAATAGCCAACAAGATGGAAGCAATGGACTCTTTATCACAATGGCTCCCTACTGTGAGGAACACAAGCGCGATGTGTCTCTGCAGGTGCAATGTCCAAACTGAACAATGAAACCTTGAGGGGCCAGCTTACATACCCTTGGCATGAGGGTGAAGACGGAATCACAGAGCATGCGCGCGTGTCGGCACATACTCAAGAAGGCACGCCAACCGGCTTGTGAGGAAGACACGACAAGAAACCACCTGTCTGCTACAGCGACCCACCTACGAGGAAGACGTAGCAAACGCACGAAATAGGAGCACCAGATCCCAACAAGCACATGTCCCTTGGCATGTGCACATGCTGCCGCTGCGGATACCTGCCTCCAAGCCCCACTTGCGGAGCCACTTCCCGATCAGCCAGATATTGAAAATAATGGCAAGGAGAAACAATGCTAGGCCTGGGCTGCAGTTCGGCTTTGCTTCTATGAGAACGTAATGAAGGGCACAGGCAAAACGGAAGGAGGTTCGAGATCACAGACTTTAGGACTCTTATCTCAAACTGCGGCTAAATCTGCAGCAAGGCTCCACACAAGCTTTTTTTCCGGTTTATCCGTTCAGCAAGACCAGCATTCTCCGGATTCTCGTCGCCAAGGTTCCTGCAGATACGCACAGGATGCTGGAAACACAGGCCAACTGAGTGTCACACTGAAAGTGCAAAATAAGAAATGTTGAGCTCGTTCGCTTTGCAATATGACGGGCCTTGCCAAAACAAGAACAGCAATGGAGATGCTGATCATAACCTCACAGGTTGAGTGTTGGCACCACAGTGACCTGCTGGCCTCCACCAAATCCAAAAGCATTTCGTCTGCTCTGCGACTAGAACAACTCAACATGCTTAATGACTTCTAAGGAGACTGTAGTGCGCCAAGCAACGTAGAGCAAGCTGGTCGCTAGAAAGTACGTGTCGGCCAACGTCAAGAACGTCTTCCTCTGCAGCAAAGGTAGGGTCTCACAAACTGATCCTCATCTTTCAATTCTTGGGTTGAGGACCCATGTGACCTCAAGCCACAAGCCATATGTCTGAAAGATCTTGACCTCCGCCTACCTCCCCCCACGCCCCCTTGCCGCCTCACCCATTGACGTGCAGGAGTCGCCAGTACAAGAAATTCTGGCACTCATGCATCCCACCTACGAACAAGTTCGAGCTGTGCTGTGTTCCTTGTTTTGGGTCTTCTTCTACTCGGACCTACCCATTAATCTAAGCAATACTGTTTGATCTGTTTATCTACACAAACGGCTGTGCAGCTCGACTCTTTGACGCAAGCCATCGCTGCTCAAATGCAAGACCAAACGAGATGCCCAGCCGCTCCACCGCCCCCCCCCCCCACCCACCGGACGTTTAGGGTTCAGGGTTTAGGGTAAGGCCTGGGCAAATCGTCGCTGATGATGTAGCGCTGGGCAAAAACCGCCAGGAAGCAGGCGCTTGTCAGGGCCAGGCTTCCATCAGCATTCTCAATTGGGAGGACGAAAGCCAGGAATGCCATCAAAGTCACCTTAGGAAGACTAGACAAGGCCTTCCAACAGTTCATTCCGAAACTTTCCGAGGCACCTGGGAGCCTTCAGGGTTGGCAACTGGCGGGAATATCCCACTTTAGTTTCGGACGATGCAGTCCCAAACACAGCTAGATGGCATGCCTCGTATGCACCTGGAGGGCGGATGCCGCATCCTGCTTTGCCGCAAGTTTGCGCAGCCAACTTTGTTGCTGTTCATACTCTCGCAGGAATCAGCCTTATGCACACTGCCAATAGTTGTTGCTGAGATGTTTATCGGCATCCTGCTCCTAGCATGGCCTGAAAATCACTGGGACAGTCACAGACTCACTGAAGCTTCGCAACCCCTACCTCCAGGCTGTTGGAGTGTCCATGCTTTCTGACCAAACCAATACATCTGGATCTTGACAATCTCGATACCTGTGGCAGTCTGCTAGTTTTTGGCCACGTGACAAACATCATGTTGGGCACAACGATCTTGAAGAAGTGCCCACCTCGCCAAAATGTCTGCAACGCTGTCAGCAATGTTTTCAAGGCTTGGCGCATGTCACGCCACAGCCCCACGCCATTCCACATAACGGCAAGTTCATAGGTAGTTCTGAGTCGGGTGTTAGGGCCCCCACCCAAACAAGATTGTTATGATTATGTAGTTCTGCTACTGATAACTGCAGGTAAGCCTTGGTATTGTGCCCACTCGAAAGTACCTTTGGGAAAGCCGGGTGCTGCGCGCTTTTTCACTACGAAGCATGGCACAGCAGCCTGGGATATTCTGTATCGTAAGTGTTGGGAATCACCGGAAGGGTTTTAAAAAAAAAACCAAGTATTTAACCTCATCTGCTACTGGTACTGTAATAAAAGCAGGTAGCGCGCCCTTGCAACATCTGCACGGGCAGGGGCTGTGGCTGGCTGGCCCTAGAGGCGCCGGTCCGAATCTAGAGCGAAAGTTTTCACACATCTTTCTAAATCACAAGTAAAGCCTGCTTCAGCATGTTTTAGATGAATGAAGCAGTCTGATAAAACGACCGTATCATGCATACTCAAAAAATCCCACAGAGGGGTTGGGGCGTTAAAAAACACAGAAATTTTCTCCACACTGTTGTGAATAACAGTTCTCGACATCATGAAGCAAACATAAAACATAACAATACGAAACAAAAGATGAAAAAGATAAACATAGAGGGAGAGAGGGAGAGAGAGGGAGGGAGAGAGGGAGAGAGGGAGAGAGGGAGAGAGGGAGAGAGGGAGAGAGGAGAGGGGGAGAGGGAGAGAGGGGGAGGGGGAGAGAGGGAGAGCGAGCCAAGCGTGCATGAAGAAAGAAAGCGCTCGCACTTTGGACCCGGCTGTCTTGAGGACAGACAACACGCCGCGCCGCGTGGCCGACTTGACCGGCACGGCCTCAAAGGCGCCGCCAAGTCTCCAGAGGCCGCCTCCGGTACGGGTGTGCTTGGGCCGGGCTCAGCAGGAGCGACGCCGCCGCCAGTAGCCATGCGAGCAAACTTTTCAAACCTGGCATCTTGCCTGTAGGACCCCGCCGCACGTTGCAGCCAGTCATCTGTGACATCCAAGTACCGTGCTCCCTCCAAAGGCCCGCCCTTGACGACCGCCAGCCGGAACCGCTGCCTCCAGTTGTCCATACTCATGCAGGGCTTGGGAAACTTGCTCAGCAGACAAAGGCACCGTGCACCGAAAAGTGATGCGTTGGTGCTCCCGCAACCCGCGCCGGACTTCGGAAGAAGGCTCGAGCAAGAACAAACCCTGCAGCAAGACGGACCTCAAGTACTGCGAAGTGCTATCTGGAACATGCAACAAGATTTGCTGCGCGGTGGCAAATTGAACATAGTGCGCAAGCGTGGCCTCACTGGCCCAGCGTCCGAGAAACTTGAGTGAGGCGATTGGCATGCCAGACTGGTACCAGTAACTGGCCCCGCCTGCCCGCAGGCTGGCGGGCGTAAAGCGACAGTGACCAAGCCCCAAACTCGCAGCTACAGTATGAAACCTGGCACGGAAATCTTGCGGAGAGGGACCCCACAGAAACTCCTGAGGTTGCATGCCGTTGACGAAAAAGGTTAACCACATGCACGCGCAAGGGTGTGTGACCACCACAAACTGCGCAGGCTTCAAGGCACGACGGTTCTTGGGGTGAGCTATGCGTAAGGTGCAATAGGAAAGCCCAAGGAAAGACTGTTAAGCGTGCTGACCTCCGCGGCGCGGAGGCCAAAGAGTTCGCATGGCCGTAACATGGCAAAGAAGGCGACTCAAGCAAAGCTGCAAAACCAACCATTTAAACCGACTACGACCCGTAACCCGCATACCGCGTGCACGTGCAGCTATAACCATAGCAAGGAGCAGCGGCAAAGGAAGAGGTGTGCGCACACCGCGGGGGCGCATGTCTTCAACCAGACGCAAAGCCGCCCAGGTCTCGGGCAGGTTGTGACGCAGGCGTGGCCAAACGGCCTGACAGAACAAAACCGCATGCTTTGCATCACGCAGAGCCCTAGGAACAGGGCTTGCGCAAGCGTGCTCAACGAAGCGGCGTAGCACATCGTCCGCCAGGCTTCTGCGCCTCATCAGCTCACTTATCTGGAAGTGCCCAACGCCACGCAGGAAGCTGCAGAGACACAAGGCGCCTCTGAGAAGACGCGCACGGTAGGCAGCTAGCTTGAGCTGCCATAAAGGCTTCTCAAAGCCGCGTGCAACCGGACTTGAAGAACCAACACGCGGCATCAGCAAGTACGAAAACGCCAACTCTAGACTGCAAGCACCCCTATTTAGAAGGCTGCCAACGCAGCATACTTTCTGCAGAAAGATCGTGGATACCTGTTAGCAAGGTCCCGCCTGAGAAACCAACCCTCACGCAACCTAACAGCTCCTGCCAAGCCAACTTGGGGGCGCGAGCAGCGACATCGGCGACACAAAGTGTGGAGTCTTGGCAAGGTGCCGGCTACACGAGAGGCCCTGTTAGCACACCCCCAGACCCCAACCGCATCCGGCACACGAAGGTTGTAGCAGCACATGTCACGGTCAACTTGACTTGCACGAGTGTCACACATCAAGGCCTGCATCTCAGACGTGACCCAAACGTGACTCTGCACGTCACTCTCTACTGCGTACCAGCTACCCTCCTTGCTCAGCATGCAACACAACACTGCGACACGGCGCAAGTACTCTTTTTCGGCCGCCTGCTGGCGTGCACTCGAAGCGCAGCTACGGCACGGCAAGCGAAAGTGCCACAGCTGGTTGGGGCGCCGGGCCCTGCCCAACAATGCCTCAAACGTAGCGCTTCGCAGTAAAAGCCGGAACGGACACTTGCAACTAGTCGAAACAAAGCAAGGGTCCTGCACAAACCAACCTCGCACGCTCCTCAAACATTCGGAAAGACCGGCCTCTACGGTAAAAAGCTCCTGGAAGCATGCTCGGCCACGCGCTGTCGACGATGCCCCAGCAGCCCCAGGGCGCGAAAGTGCTTGGCAGGTTTCGGCGTTGCAAAGACCCCACAAATCTAGTTTAGACAAGGGCTCTTGCAGACTCATCCAATCCGGCCCCAGCAGTTGTGCTTCGGTCGCAGTTAACTGTGCAGGCGGAGGCAAGGCTTTGAAGCGGGACGGGTAATCAGAGGGGTTATGATGAGTTGACACCCACAAGTTGTAGATAATTTTACTACTAGCCAAGCTGACAGCCAAGCACTTCCGCAGCTCCGACTGCTCGATCGGCCCTTGGCCACAGCACCTAACACTACACGAGAATCTGTAAGATTAACTGCACGAAGACCACCCTTCACCCTCGAAGCCACATCAAGATACTCCCTGTGGAGAACCTCAAGCTCAAGCAGGTTAATGTGACGCCTAACCTTGAAGGGCTTAGATTCGGTTACCACCCATTTGTGAACTGACGTTAGCCTCTCCAGGTGCTGACTAGGCCTTCTCATGTCAGTAAGAGGCGCAATGCCTTTGGTGCCCCAATCCAGACGAACTCGCTCCCCAACGTGCTCAGCAGCACGGTGAAGAAGTCGACTGACACTTGGTGAAGTGCGAGTCGCACAGCGCCCTGCCCCGGACAAACTTGCGTCCGTTGATGACAAACGCTGGCTGACAGGCCACCTAATGTTCGTATGACATAAAGGCAGAATAAGACATGCTCCAACAAATTCTTCTACGAGACTTTTGGGCAATGCTTTGCGACCCCGACTTGGCCAAGTTTCAAGCAGTGTATACTCGCCAAACACTGACATGCACAGGCGACGATGCATGAAAGGGTGGATGAACCACCCTACGAGCTGTTCTAGGCATTTCTTGCTGATCCGGCGCAGCTTCAGAACACTGCAGGTAACTTGGCACAGCTGTCGCAGCTTCTCAAGAGGAGTCCCCACACGTCCGCTGGCACTGTCAACTTCAGTACCCCAAACCTTAAATTTTCTAAGCTTGGTGAATGCTTTGTCAGCAGACACGGGGAGACCAAGCTTGGCATACTGCTGCCGGCTGCGGGCGATGAGTTCCTCATCCAGAGAAAAGTTTGGGTCAGAAGCACCTTTGCGAAACTTTTTCTTTGGTCCAATTTGAAGCACTACATGGTCGTCTATGTATAAGCCTTCAAGGGTATGTTCAAAAGGGAGGGGTGAGTTGTATTCTAGGACGTGTTCTGGCCGCATGACTCCGGCGTCACGCAGGATTTCGACGTGCGTTTGCTGGCAAATGTCGACGCCGTTTACATCTCCCATACACACCACCCTAAACGCCAAAACATACTTGCGCGAAGGCGAAGCCCCAAACTCAGTAAAGAACTTGCCGCTAACAGCTTTACCAACGACGTTCCTGGGCAACCATTCTTCCCTGTGCTTGAGCAGACAGAAAAAAATTTTCAAATCATCGCCCGAGGCCCTGATTGAAAGCTCGCCGCTGAGGACTAGCTGCGTCAAAAGGGTTCCGTGAGGGAGTTTGGCCCACACAAGCCTTCTTTCGTTGCGATTGAAGGGCCGACGATCGTTTATGACACGATCGCTGTGCTCTTTGCGCGAGACCCCGAACAGCCCCCCTGAGATGAGTTTTCCGCGCTTGTCACACAATCCCTCTTCTTCAGGCAACAACACAGCGACCCCTGACCGAAGCAACTTTGCGTAAACCCCAACTACGTCCTGATCCTTGACTCTGTGACAGGGCTTGAAGGTTGCAGAAGGCTTGGCTTCAATTGGAACCTAAGTTATTGCACCCCTTAAATTCCATGATTTTCTTGATGCCTCTACCCGGGGTCTGGGCGACCTCGAGGGACTCTGGTGCAAGGCTGACAAGGGCTGAGCCAAGGCTCTACGGCACCAGCTCTCAGCCTTGTTGAGCGTAGCAGGGCACCCCGCTTCGAGGAAGTTGAAGTAAGCCCATAACACTTGACACCAAAGCGTGCCCTGTTGAGTCACGCCTCGTCCCTTCTGGCGCTGACGCCACTTGCTTTTCCTAGAGAGGCTGCCGAACTCTCTTAGGCGCAACAGAGACGGAAACATGCAGTCACCAGTCTGAGGTGATGGCTTGGTCCCCTCCTCTAGCTTATTACAGCAAGAAGAATAACATTTGTAAAAACCTTGCAAAAGATCCATGATGCTTATTTAGCAGATCTACCAAATTATGGATATCACCCTCAGCCTGCTTGGCTTGCGGCTTCAGGCGTCCGCTCTCACAGGGTCGGAATTCTTTCCTTTGCCACGGCCTCCTTTCGGAGGGGGGCCCTTGAAGTCTCCTTCTGCACTGTCGGGCACTCGGCCCCGCAGCTCTGTCTCGGCATTGTCCGCGTTCTGGTTCCAAGTTTTGGTTCGCCTCTCCAAGTCCTGAGAAGCTTTGAGGAAGGCTGCTATGGTTTCCAGAGATTCTTCCTCCCCCCCGAACTTGCGTCGAGCGAATGGATCGTCCAGTCCTGTTAGCAGCCATGCTAGGGACCAGTTGCCTTCGTCGATCACCACCTGATGGATGGCTCGCAAAGACTGCACGATGAGCAAAGCGGCTTGCTCTGGCTGCCCTCGGAGTTGCCTCTCCAGGATCGCCCCTAGCAAGTAGTAGACTCGCTGAAGTGACTTCTGTCGATTCCAAGTTATCTTTCGGCCATGGTCTGTCAGCTGGTATGGCAGGCCATCTGTCACCCCCAAGTCGTGCTCCGAGCTCCACCTGCTTCACGTAGCGGCGGACATGCTTCACTGGGTGCTTCTTGAGACTGCGCTTCCATCTTCTGAAGTTTCCCACAGCTTTGGCGACTCCAGTAGCTTTGTGTCCTCTGTGACTTCCGCTCGAACTCGACGCCGTCCTCTGTCGGCTTGAACTTGATGAGCTGGAGTCTTTGCTTTTCCTTCTTGAACGCCCGCGCAGCTGCTTGAAAACTCCAAGCGCAGCCAGTGTCTGCAACGTGTCTGCTGACGAACCGCCCGCCAACTTCTGCAGCAAGCTGTCCTCTTCGTCTGCTGTCTTTCGACTCGCCCACTGGTCTTTGGACTCCAAGTGCGCGTACTTCTTCTTCTGCTTCTTGTGCTTTTCTTTCTTTGTTAGCTTCGCCGCGACCTTGGCATCGCTTGAGCTGTCGTCGTCGTTGGTACCCCGTCCTTGCCAGCTCTTTTGCATCCTTTTCAAGTCTTCCAGGAGATCGACCTCGCCCTCGCTTGAGTCGCTGTCCGACTCGACTTTCGAGGAACCAACTGTTCTCGTCAACGGGCCCGCCTCTTCCGACGCCGGGGTGAAGACCAGGTCGTGGTGGCTGCTCAAAAACTCGGACGCCGCTGCTTGCAGAGAAGCTGTTTGGACCTCCAAGGCCAGAAATGGATCCTGGCATGCTTTCCGCATGCTCGGAGTGCTCCCTTCCACCACCATGAAAGTCCTTCCTTCCAGCTCGAAACTGCCTTCTTGGTCTGTGGTTGGGCCTTCTACCCTCACCACTAGCAGCCATCTTTCAGAATCCAGTTTCTGGACGATGAGAGCTTGCCGCCAGGGTGGACCAGAGAAAGACTTGCCCACCGGAGCAAAAACCGAACTTCCCTCCTTCATGAGGCGTATGTCCTAGCTAAGCTGCCCCATCGGTCTCTGACTACACTTGACCCCATGAAAGCTGCGATTGGCGCATCGCTCGATAACATAAACAAGTCAGAGAGAGAGGGAGAGAGAGGGAGAGAGAGAGAGAGAGAGAGAGAGAGAGGAGAGAGAGAGAGAGAGAGAGAGAGGAGAGAGAGGAGAGAGGGAGGAGAGAGAGAAAGGGAGGGAGAGAGTGAGGACAGAGAGAGAGAGAGGGGGAGAGAGAGAGGTAGAGAGGAGAGGGAGAGAGAGAGGGAGGAGAGAGGAAGAGGGAGAGGAGGAGAGGGGAGGAGGAGGGGAGAGGGAGAGAGAGGGAGAGAGGGCGAGAGAGGAGAGAGGAGAGAGAAAGAGAGAGAGGGAGAGGAGAGAGAGAGGAGAGAGAGAGAGGGAGAGAGAGGGAGAAGAGAGGGAGAGAGAGAGAGAGAGAGGGAGAGAGAGGGAGAGAAAGGGAGGAGAGAGAGGGAGAGAGAGGGAGAAGAGGGAGGGAGAGGGAGAGGAGAGAGAGGGAGGAAAAGGGGGGGAGAGAGGAAGAGAGAGAGGGAGAGAGAGGGAGAGAAAGGGAGAGAGAGGGAGAGAGAGGGAGAAAGAGGGAGGGAGAGGGAGAGAGAGGGAGAAAGAGGGAGGGAGAGGGAGAGAGAGGGAGAGAGAGGGAGAGGGAGGGAGAGGGAGACAGAGGGAGAAAAGAGGGAGAAAAGAGGGAGACAGAGGGAGACAGAGGGAGACAGAGGGAGACAGAGGGAGACAGAGGGAGACAGAGGGAGACAGAGGGAGACAGAGGGAGACAGAGGGAGACAGAGGGAGACAGAGGGAGACAGAGGGAGACAGAGGGAGACAGAGGGAGACAGAGGGAGAGAGGACATTCACGAAAGCTGAAGTATTGCAAAATGTTACAAAATGTCATGACAACTTGTCAAACATGGGGTGGTGCTTCCATGAATTGTGCTTGCTGGTTTGGTTGCATGCCCAGAGGTTTAGGCGGATTCAAGCATTGAGGGTGAGGGCTCTGGGACCCACGCATGCTTCGTTCGGGCAATTCTGAGTTGAGGCAGCAGCTCTCTCTGCAAAAAACAAGCGCCTCGGCGTTCCAAGTGGAACAGGACGTGGATTCTTGATCTCTGTGTCTTGAAAGGAATCTCGGCATCGGCCCAACGTACATAACTTGTGCATCTGCGTTGGATGTCCTGGAGCAGGCGCCGCAGTGTCTCAACAATGCTTCCCCTGCTGCTCCTGTCTCGCTTGAAACTCCAGACTTCAAAGAAAGCTGCACCCAATATGGCCTATCACATATTGAGAAGCAAACTAAACAGGCACGAGCTCCTGGTCCACCTTGAAGCTCTCACAGGTTCTACGTACTCCGACTAGTCTGTGACTCCTTAGGGGTAACAGCTGTCAAAGAAGTCTACCGAGCCATGACTTTCCAGCAAAGTTCAGCATCTTTACTCCAAGTTGCATCTAACTATAAAGGTGCCCTCCGTTGATGCATGCAGTCCAGGCAGCAGGCTACGCACTGTTCGCTGGCGAGTGTGTCTGCAATACACTTCTCAAACAGGGCTGAGGTTCGACATGGCAAACTGGTACTCTTCAACCGGCCTTTCTGCCGTGATTCTGATCCTGACAAGAGCTGAGCTTGTGAGCGCAAGAACTGCTTAGGATAGCTGTACGGACTGGGTTAGGGCGCTGCGTTTGTCCGAGCATCTGCTTGGATATGCGGATCCTATGGCCGGAGCAGGCAACGAACGATCCATCATCAGGTGTTGTGGCAAACTGTCGCAACTTGGCGCATTGGCGACTGCGCTAGAACACTGCGCCGGCTACCGCGGCCCAAGACCGTCGGAACGCTATGGTCCAGAGTTCAGGGTTCAGGACAGTGTAGAACATAAGATTCGATATATCGTACAATAACATCAAATCATATCATATCGTGCGAAACAATGTAGTACCCTGAGCCGACCTGTTCCGCCTCAGCTCGAAACCTCAGGTCTGGGCAGTTCTGATGTTCTGCCTCACTGGGCCCCACTCATCATCTGGTATGAGCCTTTGGGCTGCTTTGTTTCTGGGTGAGTCGTGTTCCATCCGATTTGTAGAGTTGTTTTGGCCCGTACGACCCAACAGCGCGGCCGAGGTTTGTGTCATGTTGCTCCGCCCTCCGAAGTAGGTGCGTTTGCTTTGGCGCCTCCCAAGTGCCAGCGTCATGTCCTTCGGAACCTCTATTTACCATGAATGTTAAAGATTATAATGTTACGATGAAATTGATATGATGTTTTGCGGTCTGGGGGTAATAGCCCGGCCTGCAGAGCTGCCGATCGATCGGGTACCTACGCAAGTCGAGGTCATCAGTGAAAATCGCATCATACCTCAAGTGGAGCTTCAAGATTCGAGAAAGAACTAAACCCCGAAATCCGGAACCCAAAACCCTTGAAACCACACCGACCAAGACTGAAGTCTTCGACCTGCAGGTCGAAGATCTGCAGTCCAGCGGCTTCTTTTCCCAGCGCAGGAAAGATCCTTGCTCGGCATCACTCCACTCCATTTGATAGCCTCGGTTCGCAATGTAGCCTAGGACAAAAACAGATAAACGTGTTATCTTTCAAGGTGCCAAAGAACCTAACCCCAAAAAAAGAATGGACAAGAGGGTGCCACAGGCGACCTAGCAGCGCTCAAAGATCGTTATCGGATACTCATTGGTGAACCGAACATTGAGGAAGCTGAAGTCCGGGAAGAACCTGAACGATTCGATTTGAGGCATCCGCCTTCAAGACATCGGCAATCTCTTGCCAAGCAGCTGTTTGCTCCAGTCAGGATTGCGTTCGTGTTCAATTGCGCTGCAATCCTCCCGCTTCAAAGACTTGGTCTCGCCCACTTCCGTGATGAACGTGATCTTTCCGGTTTGGTCCAACCTGCACGTGTGTTCGAACCGATTTGCAAGTTGTACGGTACATGCTGTTTGAGTTCACCTCTGTTTAAGTCAACCCCGCCTCCTCTCCAGAACCCGAAACCTCAAGAACCGTGGGATGTCCCCAACAGAAAGAGCGCGGCATCAAGGGGCCCCACTCCTGTGTGCCAAGAGGGACGTTCCCCAAGCGTTCAAATGGCATTTCCTGCGCCTTGGTCACACCTCGAAGTCCCAAAGCTTCCAATTCGGCTGGCTGGCATCATCATCATCATCATCATCATCAGCATTGCGATGCCCTTTGGATGGGTTGGAGCACCGGAAGAGTTCGTCGCTCGGAGCATGGCTGCGCAAGCCCACCACGGAAGCCGCCAGCCTTTTGTTTTTTGCCTCTGCCGCATCGTGAAAAGGATTCGATCAAGTCTTTCCTTTGGTGGAGGAGCGCGGAAGGAAGGCGATGTGAGGCCAAACTCGATTTGTGCAGCTCAGGGATCAAACTTCCAATATAGGACCACGAGCACAAGCACAAGTCACTCGCGAGACGCACCACTACCAGCCTCCAACCCCGGAGTTCATCGATGCGGTCCCGATGACTCGAAGTGGCTCATGGACGACGGAGTGGTGTTGGAGCCCCTTTTGGGTAACAGGGCTTACCACAGAAGATTTTTGGTTTCGAGTGTAGCAATGGCAAAATGCGTTTTCAAAAGCCCAAAGATGCATCTGGCTAGGTTCCAGAAGAAACAGCCGAAACTTTGCCATTTGCCCAAGACAATGCTGGAAATTGGGGTGGAACGGTGCCAAGGCACTTTCGGAAGCCCATTCTCTGCATTTAGCTAGAATTCGTCAGAAAATCAAGCCAAGCCTGCTTGTTGAACTAAGAAATCGACGTCAAAACGTGCGAGATGCGCTTGTGGAAGCCGAGGCCAAGCCTGCTGTTCGAACAAGGCTTTAGAAAGAGCTTGGTGCCGCCGGTCAAGAATTGGAACCAGATTCGTAGGGAAGCCAAGCTGGGAATTTATGCCAAACCATGCCGAAATGCACCTGGCTCTGTTTCTAGAAGGGTAGGCCAAGCATGCCGAGCGAACTTGAACCGAACAACGACACGCTGCCGTGCCCAATACCTTTTGGAAACAAGAATGCACCCAGTTTCGCTCAGCAAGCTTCTCCAGAAATGAATGCCAAGCTGGGGATTGGAACCGTGCCAATTGCGTCTTTGCGTCAATTTCCGTCATGGCTTTGCTGGAAAAGCTGTCCCGGCCTGAATCTCGAAAGCCGTAATACATTTGCCACGCTTCCATCTCGTAATTGGCTTAGGCTTTACTCGAAGAGCAAACTTGGCCTGCCCCACAGCCAGTCCAAGAAGAAGAGTGCAACAAAATTGGGGAGCTCCGGTCGCGGACCTGTGGGGACCCCGAGTTTGTAAACCACCGGCCATCAAACAAAAAACCGACGAAAGAATGTGCGCGGACTGGTGTCCGGGCATGTCGGAAGTACAAAGGTTGACAAACAGGCAAACACCGATGCTTCACATGGCAGACTTGGCTGTTGTATGGGGGAAAGGGGGTGAGGGCCAAACTCCGGATCCTGGAACTAGCTGAGGGGCACGCCCCATTCTACTCAATCCTTAGATTGGAGTGAAGACCCCTAATCTCACGCAGTTGGGGACAAACAGAGAGAAAAAATTGACCCGAAACCCAAAATCCCCAAAACATCTTTTAAACCAGTGCTTTAACCTAACCCCCCCCTCCGTACCCGAAGTTTCAACTTGGGGTAGTTCAAAAGACCCCTTTGGCCTCTGTATGCGTCCTTTCAGCTCGCGTCCATCCTTCAACTTGAGGATGGTCTCGATGTTCTGCAAAAAACGGAAGATGAAAGAACTGCAAATGTGCAACATTGCAAACAACTATATTGTGGAGTTCGTGGGATGTTCTGCCCAAGCTGACACTCACGGATGTTTTTCTCAGGAAGGTGCAGTACCAAGTGGTGCTGATGCACTGTCTGCACGCAATAAAATCACGTCCCAGCATCGTTTCACCAGTACCAAGCCGGCAAAGCTTTACCAGATCTGAGGCAATATCCCGCCTTGAGGTTCGGGTCGAGCCAGCGGAATCGCAACACGAAAACAACACTGAACTCGTCTTTCTTGTCATCAACATCCCTCAGCTCCTTCCAGCCAAGATTGTGCGCGTGTCCTTCGGGCTTCACACCCGAAGTGTTCTTAAACAACTGATGTCTTATTAAAGCTTTGGAATACTCACACATAGTCGGTATAGCATAGCCTTGTTTCAATCAAGGCTGGAGCAACAGCATGTGGCATCAGCACGGAAGTTTTTTATCGTAAATCCCCTGAACTCCGGCATGCAATCCGACAGTGGTCGCAAAAACATACGCATGCACGGAGTCCCATGCCCAAACTCTCCTAAACTCGATAATTCGAAGCAATACATTTGACCCAAAATATTGCCTGTGAAAAAGCAACGAGCCGCGAACAAGCTGTGTATGCGGCTGAGGTGCATGAGGGTTGATTTCCACTATGACTTTGATTGCGTTCTTGCAGTCCACGGTCTCCGGATTCCGATCACAAGATCTGACATACTTCTGCAGCATGCTGCCCTCATAGCCGGGCAGCTCCAGGTCCTGCAGCCGCACTCGTCCCTCACTCAGCCATCAAGAACTTACATGTTCCAAGACCTTCGGTCTTTCACATGCACAAAAACTGGTTTTGACAAGCTAGCGGCATCCGCCTGTCTACTGCCACATGGCAAACTGTAGATGAGACTTAACCCTGATAAAGGCAGTTGCGAAAAAAGCTATCACTCTGAAAGCGCAAGCTCCTGCTCGGGAAGTAGGCTGCTGTCGTTTGCAGCCAACCACAACGCCATGCTTTTTGGAAGCCCCATGCTGTTGATCTTACAACACCTTTGGCTCGAGCCTCCTGAACAGGGTGCACAGCTTAGGGGTTAGGGTTTAGGGTTTAGGGTTTAGGGTTTAGGGTTTAGGGTGTAGGGTTTAGGGTTTAGGGTTTAGGGTTTAGGGTTTAGGGTTTAGGGTTTAGGGTTTGAGGTTTACTCCGGCGACCATGGCTTGGTGGGTGATTCCACATTTACCTGAGTTTCTGTCTCAAGATTCCAAAAGATTTGACAATCTCGTCGTTGCCTTAAACCGCTTTGACCTTCCATCCATTTGTTGCACTACTCGGCACGAGGCAGTAGGAAATCGCAGCTGCTATTGAACCTGGGCGTGAATTTGCCTGCCCGCATGTTGCAACCATAGTCAGATGAGCCTAGATGTGAACCTGGTCCATAGCAAACCAGCCTGGCAACAATGGAAGCTCTGTGCACCATGGTCGGTGAAGTTTCAAGTATGATGTCACGTGTTATGCGTGTGCCACAAGAAGCAACTCATGAGAAATCCTGTACTCTCATAAAGGTGTCGTGCTCTGCAAACGCTGTTGATCGCAGCCCGACGAATCATGATGCTCCTTCTGTCTTTTTGTGGTGGTGAATGCTCTTGATGCCTGGACTCAAGGTCGCCCCATTTTGCATGTCTCAATATAAGCTTCAACAGAGCGAAATGAGATGTTAATCGCATGTCTCAGACAAGCTTCGACTCACGAAACACTTTGGCTCAAGTGCAACAAAGTGTGTGTCTGGGTGCGTAGGGGCTTTCCCTGAATCGTGAAAGGCGCCGCTAGCTATGAGGCCGCTATCCCGCAGACTGCTTCTGCGGGGGTTATTACTCTGGGGAAGGAGTAACTGATGGACGACGACGATGACGACGACGGCCGCCACTGCGGCTGTAGTAACCCTCGAGGAAACAACAACCCGTGACGTGACATCCGGCCACTCGAGGTTGTAAATCGACCAGAAGTGCTCCCAAAGACCCCTACTCCTCTCGTCAAGTGGCAATGCATCACATGCCTTGTTGCTGTTGCCACAGGCCCCTCGAGTCTGGGCGCGTGCTCTCTATCCGGGGGCTGAGGGGAGCACTCTGCCGGCCGCTGTTAAGGCTAGAATAGGTGCAGTGGAGGCCGCCCTCACGATGACACCAGCTCTCGCCCACTTGCACATGCCACATACGGCCGCATTGACGGCTATGCACATCGGCCTGGGTGCCGTCAGGGCAGGCGAGTGCAACCTGCGCCTCAGAGGCTTCTCCGCTGGCTCATACACGGGAGCAGCGGTGGCGATCGCATGGCATGAACGGCAACAACGCCCTAGTTGCAAAGGCGACTTCTTCCCGATTGAGGCTCGCCTGGGAGGCATCGCCATGCCACGGGCGATGTTGCGGTACATCCTTGAGTCCGAGCCTCGCTATGCCATCAGGGGGATCAACTTTGTATCTTTCGGCCCGAAGCGGCAAGCGAGATTGCGCGCCACCCGGGAGGGGGCACGCCTGTATTTCTTTCCTGAAGCTGGCACGCTCGGCAACGGGGGACACTCCTATGGACACTTCCTCGACAGCGATGAGCTTTTCCGGCTCACTCCTGGTGACTACCTTTACAGTGAACTGACCAAGCGAATTTGTGGGCTAGCTGACCCCTATTTAGATCGTGCTGTCAGAGCGTCGCTGATGGGGGTAGCATGTGCCTCGGTCCAACTGACAGGCCGTGCGAGTGCTTTCGTCAGGGACTTGCTGGGCAAGAGAGTGACTAGGCCAGCTATGGAATGGTTCCTTCAGGTGTCGCCCCCCTCCCCGTCGAGTATATTGGAACTGAGGGTCACTTGCGCGGAAGCCCTCCTGCGTGAACTGAAGCCCCACGTGCATGATCTCCCTCTCCCATTTCAAGATCTCGTGCCCACCATGCAGCTAGTACTGGAGATGTGGCTGCCCCACCTGGCACTGGAGCGACTTATAGACATGCTAGGCTATCAATTCTTGGCCATGGCCTCTGAGGCCGAAGTAGAAGAGGAACCCTCTGAACAGTATCACTTCCCGCAGCAAGCCACAGTTAAGCGAGCTGCCACACCGGCGCCGGTGAAGCCCGGCGCCAACACGTGGCCTATCCAGCTGTTGCATCGGATATATCCCAAAGCCACGCTCATTCAGGTCACGCCCGACCTTGCCGGCGTCCCTGAGACGCGTCGATGTGGTTTGCCGTTGCGGGTAAAGTGCCGGCCAGAGGGACCGCCGTGTTGGTCACCTTGCAGGCGGAAGGAAAGAACACCACCTTTCCTGGGGTCTTCACTGAGCTCACTTCCCCTAAAAAGCTGAAAACGAATGCTGGTGAAAACAAGGCGATGCAGCCTGTGAACCTTAAATTCGCCCTCCTCCTCACGGATGAACAGCATAAAGGCTTAGTGAACCTTCTGGCCCTGCCCAGCATCAGCCAACTGGTGGTGCTCCCTAGTGGAGCGTCCACCCATTGTGGGATGCGCTACTCCACATGCCTACTGAGAGGCGGCATGTAGCTCTTGGCGTGCCGGTGGAAGACAGCCCCGTAGACACATTTCGCCAACCCTCCTGGTTGCCCGGCTTTCTCGTTGACTTAGTGCTGACCCTGGTCATTGGACTTGTGGTAAAGGGATATTGGCATGAATCATGGGCACACCTGGTGCACGCTAGTGTGCTCCCGGTTCTTCGGGGGCGGCACCAGGCACAGGCCCAGGAGGACTCCCGTTCTGGCGGAGATGCGTATGAGGACCCGCTCCGGGATCATTTGCAGGACTGGCTTGACACGGAGCCGGTTTATGGTGAACAATGGACACTGCATCTGTTGGCGGGCATCCTTGATACCTTGCCTTCGACTTCCGTGCTCGGCCAGGAGGGCGCCCGCCCTCCTGCGCTGTGGCAGGCAGATAAGCTCCATTTGCCACCGGATTCTGTGAGGCTCGAACAGGATCCTCGGAGCAGAGCAATGAGATTTGCGCTTGCAGCAGGGCCGGCGTTTCTTGCCAGCCTCTGCGATACCTTTTGGGGCGCTGACGGGCACCTGGCTGCACTCATAGGCACATGTGCCTATGGACTGAGCGCAAACCGCTCTTCGGTTTTCGTCACAGGAGCGCCAGGCAGCGGAAAAACCCGCTCATGTGCCTTCCTGGGAGTCTTGGTAGCGTGCCTCACCGGTAATGAGTCGGTGAGGGCTTATGTTGAAGCTGCGGACAGGCTAACCACGGGAAGCCACAGCTTTGTCCGGAGCCGTATCGTGCGAGTCCCGGCCAACAAAGAGAAGGATATGCATAAGCTCCCATTTGACGCTCATGACGCATGGAGTGGACTGCTAGTCGCGGCCACGCATGGCACAGTCGTCGCCCGCCTTAGCTTCCCATACTCTGCGCTAATAAACAGGCTGAAGGATGTCGAGATCCTCCTAAGGGATGAAGCTCAGCAAGTGGGGACCCCAGAGTCCAACTGCATTCTCGCCCACATACGGCACGCGCTAGACGTTATGATAGGGGATCACAGGCAGCCGGCAGGAGGATCTCGCCCGAATTACCATTTCGTGACGGAGTTGCTTGAGAAAAAGACTTGTGGCCTCAACGCTATCCCATCGACACTCTTCACACCGGCAACGTTGCCCGAGGCCTTGAGGCAAATACAGCATGGTCCGGGGACCTGGAAAAAAGGCCAAGGTGAGATGCCCTCTTGGGGCAAATCCACGGTGCAGTTAGGTACTGATGAGCCGGTGTTCACTGCCAGGTCTATGCTTGAGCCTCTTCTGTGTCTCTGCCATGCAAAGCCTAAGCAGGCGGAAACTGTTATGCAGGCGGCAGGCCTCAAGTCTATCTGCGAGCCTGCGGTCAACATTTCGCTCAGCACGTCTACGCGCCTCCCACCAAAGATTTCCGCCATCCTGTATGCGTGCAGGTACCCAGAGGCCTGTCTTTTTGCACTAGGGGGGCGGGATGCCACCCTCTTGATGCCGCAAGGGCCTAGCTTGCATCACATGTCTGCACGCCCCTTACGTAGTCCAGCTGGGAGGTGGCTAGAGACTTGCAGATGGGTCAGCATAAAGGACCATCCTGAAGGAAAGAGCAAACTGGGCACCAGTTTGGAACTCAGCTGGTTGATCGCAGACATAATGCTTACCTTCGGACACCAAATTTACGATGATGCCCCCATCGGTTTTGTCTCTCAATACGCCAAAATTGTGCTGCAAATCAAGTTCTTGCTGCGGTCGAGCTACCCTGAGGAAGAACTGGGCGACAAAAACATGAGCCTCATGGAGGCACGCCAAACCTCCTGTGACTTCCCCCTCAGAGGACGACCCAGCACGTGGGACATGGGGGCTTTCAAAAACTTCTTGAACGCCAACTTTGGAGCGTTAAAGCGATACTTTACAGGGGCCCTCCGGCGTGGGCTGCACACAGAAGAATTTTGGCGGCATGGCTCACGTTTCTTCAAGTCTGCCGGGAGTCCAGCGTCTCCGTGACCGCAGGGATCGAATTGGATTTACCCCCTACAGGCGAGCCACCGCCCGCCGCCGCGCGTGCACCCAGGGGCCGGGCGTTTGAACGCAGTCACCGCATGGCCGCCGTGGCCGCGTCCGCAATCTCGTCGCAGAGGGCCGGAGGAATGGAGCACAACTGGTTCTTGGAGTTGCTGCCCTCGTAGCCCTTGCGGGAGCCCCGCTGCGCGCTCGACGGGTGCCCCCGGCCGTCGAAGGCCTCACACCTACTGCCCTTCCTGCAGACGCCGCGGGAGGGCGTCCAGGGCAGCGTGCCCCAGATCCTGGTGGGCTTCCTGCACGGGTAGCCGAACTTGCAGTAGGTGACGTCGTGGTAGGGCAGCCCGGCCATGTACTTGCGCGTCTTCAGCAGCCCCGTGGCCGGGTTCTCGAGGGCCCACCACCTGGGCCTCAGGTAGTCGATGATCTCCAGCGCCTTGAGGACCAGCGCGTCGCCGGCCGGCAGGTTGCGGGGACGGTGCCTCAGGGCCATGGAGAACTCGGTGCACACGGGGCTCGCCCACACTGCATCGAAGTGGCCCGGCTCGTACGCCTCCTTGTAGTCCCAAGTCATGACGTCCGCCACGATAGCGGGGCAGGCCTTGGGGTTCAGGTCGAGGCTCGTGACCTCCCAGCCACGGGAGCGGAAGGCGCGGCCCACGGACCCCGTGCCCGAGAAGAGCTCGAGGAGCCGCATGTCCTTTTTTTACGACCACGGTTCCTCCCACGGTCTCGCGAGGACCCAGAGCACGGCGACGCCGCCGGCCAGCGTCAGCGCGACGCAGAGAAACTCCCCGAAGCCCACGGGGCTCTCGGTGCGTTCGCGGAGCAAGCGCATTTATCTGTATCGATACAAAACCGGGGAGCCATGCCGATCCAACTGGGCAACATCCTGACCAACTCCAAGGGAGGCAAATTCATCCCGCTGCGCGGGGAGGGCAGCGATGCGCCCACGTGGAAGAGCGACTGGCTGAAAGTGATTTGGAACCCCTCCTGCTACGGCGAACCCGAGGCGGCGCGCGTCTCCATGTGCCTGGAGCCCGACGAGGCCACCAAGGCTTTTTTCCGGGACACGGAGGAGCGGGTGGCCAAGGCACTGTCGGAACACTCTCTGCGCGACTCCCGCATCTTCGGCAAGCCCCTCAAACCAGAGGAGGTGCAGGAGCGGATGGCCAGCGCGCTCAAAATCAGCACCAAGGAAACGGAGTTCCTGAAGCTCAAACTCCACTGGGGCAAGGTGCGGTTGTGGGGGCCTGATGGTGAGAAACTCCCAGCACAGAAGCTGCACCTGCAGGGCTGCCTGTGCAAGGTCCACGTGGAGCTGCGCCAGGTGTGGCTGATGAGCTCCCAGTGCGGCGTGACGGACGTGATGCTGCAGCACTGCGCGAGCCGCCGGAGCCGCAGCGCCCGTTCTAAACGCGTTCGACCGACCGCCGCCGCCGGGGGGGCCCGTAGTAAAATCATGTCTTGGGCACAGCAACGCCAGAGAATCCGGCAGGCCGTGGAGGCGGGCGTCTCCGCGCGCAGCGCGCACCTCCCTGCAGGGATCGGAGCTCCTTCGTCTTCCCAACGCCCAGCAGCTGCTGCTCGCCCGGCCGGACGGGCAGCCCACGCGCGCGGGGCGGTTCTACTACCAGCTGGTCGGGCGGCGCCCGCCTTCCCGGCGTTTTGTCGAGGCGCAACCGCTCGTGCGCGACGGCCCGAATGACTTCATTCTGCTACGGGGAGGCGCCAAGAAACTGGTGCGCAGCCTGCAGCCAGATGGCAGCTACCGCGTCACGAAGCTGGGCAAGGCCTTCTTTCGTGAGAAATGGACTGACTACATTGCCCACATGCCCGTGAGGATCCGCGGGAGGCGGCGCCGCGGGCAGCCGTACGTGAGGGACGACTTCCTGCCCGTGACGCTCGATGGCCTGGGGCGCCAGAACGACGGGCTGGGCGAGGTGCAGGCGCACCGGACCTGATAGATCCAATGGGTGTAAATTTACACCCCCGGCCAATTTACACCCCCACGGGGGTGTAAATTAATTTACACCCCCAACCCCGGGGGTGTAAATTTACACCCCCAAAAACGAGATTCGGGGGTGTAAATTTACACCCCGGGGTGTAAATGAACATCATATGGGACTGCAGGAGGTGCTGGCAGAATTGCTACGTGGGCAGAAAATCCCCGATGAGCCCTGGGAGTCGCAGGTTGCCAGAGAGCGCTTTGTCCTGCCTATCGTGGACCGGGGAGCAGCAGGAATCTTTTCCGCGTCCTCGCACAGTTTGGTTGGGATGGAAGAGTACACTCGAGATGAGAAGATCCCAAGCTCCCATATGGACATGGACCTGGACCTGGACATGTAGAGTTTTGGATGGAAGCCTTTCTGCCGCACAAAACGGCCGGACGTTTCCTGTGTGATTGCGAAAAAGAACTGCTCACAATGCCGTTTTCTGCTCTGGGCTGGATGGCCCCTTTGCCCAAACTGTGTGTGAGGTGTATGTTTGGATCAGGACTGTATCTAGATGCAGGATTGTGTGTACATAAGATTGTATGTAGATGGCCCCTTTTGCTGGGCTGGATGGCCCGTGTATGTTTGGATCAGGACAAACCCTAAACCCTAAACCCTAAACCCTAAACCCTAAACCCTATAAACGCTGGATGGCCCATTTTGTGATGGGCTGGATGGCCCTTTTTTAGGATGGGGCGGGAATGGGAAAGGGTGTGGAGAGGGAGGTGGGGGCGGGGGTTGTGGGGGGTGGTGGGATGGGTTGTGTGGGGCGGGGAATAAGGCAAACCAAAAGTGTATACACTTTTGGGTCGGCCAACCCAAAAGTGTATACACTTTTGGGTGTGGCTGGGGGTGTAAATTTACACCCCGGGGTGTAAATTCAGACCCCAATTTTCCCCCCCCGGGGGTGTAAATTTACACCCCAAATTTACACCCCAAAAGGGTGTAAATTCTTAGGGGGATGTAAAGTGTAAATTTACACCCATTGGATCTATCAGGGAACGTCGTCGCGGCTGCGCTCCGCAAGATGGGGAACCCCGAGAACGGCGACGTCGTCATGGAGCTCTCGGACGAGCAGTACACCTACGACGCGTCGCGGGACTGGGGCGTCTCCAAGCGGACGATGCAGGTGGCGCAGAACCAGGTGGAGAGGTGACGCTGCGCCAGCCGCTGGGCGCGCTGCTCCTACCAGCTCTACAGGGGCTCGGAGATCCTGGAGAGCGCCTTCGAGGAGCGCGCCGACAGGCTCTGCGTGGTGCGCCAGGTGGCGGAGCTGCTGCAGCTTCGACGCGATCTGCCCCCAGGGCTGGGAGCAGAGGGGCGTCACCGGCAAGGAGATCCGGCAGTTCTGCGAGCGGCGCAAGGCGCCGATGTTCATCGTGAACTGCCGAGGGCAGATGATGGACTGCTACGAGCCGCCCGTCAAGGAGGAGCGGGCCCTGGCATTGTGCGTCTATCGCGACCACGCCTTCTTCTACCGCAGCGCGCGAGCCGTGGCCTGGTGCGACGGCGGCGAGTCGCTGCCCGCGGTAGACGAAGCCCAGCTTGCCCATCCACGCGTCCAGCACCTCCGCGTCCTCGGGATGCTCGTGGATGACGCAGTCTCCTCCGCGCACGCGCAGGCGCCGCCCGCGCATGACGACCTTGGGCTGATGGCCCTCCGCGACGCGAGCAGGCGGGAGCGCGCGACGTGCAGGTCCTTCGCCCAGTAGTGCCCGGGCTCAAGGGCGCCCTGCCACTCCCGCCACTCGCCGAAGGGCGGCACGGTGGACGCGCTTGTCCTCCCGCTTCCGCACGAAGGTGAGGTCCGCCAGCTGCCCCTCCGCCGGCCGGATGCTTTCCAGGGGGCAGAAGACGGGCAGCGGGAAGGGGGCATTGGCCAAAGCGTTCTTCCGACAGCGCACCACGTCCACGCCCTGGCACACCTTCTCCGGGTTGCACTTCGACAACCCGCGCACGAGCGGGGGCAGCCGTGGGGAGCAGGCGTCGCTCTCGTAGACGTGGCGGCAGAACCGGCTCTCCAGGCTCGTGGCGTGGGAGCTCCCCGCTGCTCCTGCAGCAGCCGCTGCACGTCGCCGCGGTCCGGGCCTCCTGGCGCGGCTGCCGTATGTCGGCCCGGGCTGGTACGGGAAGCCGGCGGTGGCCTACATGCTCGACACGGGCCTCGCGAGATGGGCGGACCTCGAGTGGTCCCTGCAGGCCACGGCCCACGTGGCGCGAGAACCTCAACCCCGGACACACATCGCTCTTGAAGTGACATGTAAAATGGAAAATCTTTCTCTCCACCTTTCCAGTGTAGGCGGACTCGCACAAGCCCGTACCAGTAAACCTTAGCTGTCAAGTGGGGAAAAAGGTTACTGATTCTCGTCTCTTCGGAGAGAATTTCCATACCAGGGGGGCTGATTCGGCAACATAGGCTACTCGAGTACGACCGAAATTGGTCAGACTCAGATCCATTGGATCCTGGGAGGCTTTGAGTAATGTCGTGGATCAAGACTAAGCTGAAAGGAAGGTAGTGGCTCCTTTGGCTTGCTGCGGTGAGCCTCCCACTTCCCGTAAAAGTGGAAGTCCACCACTTGAGGGCCTGAACTCCGTCCTTCTGTCACGGCATCTGCACCAGTGCCTCCAAGGTGGTCCTCTCAATTTGACTGCGCGCTTGGTGCTTCTCGAAGGACAATGCTTGATCCGTCTGCGGATGCTCTGCTTTCCGGCTGCCACCCTGATCGATTGGGAGTATGTGCGGGGTTGTGCTGCGATGTGAGTGTCTCAACCTCCGCTCTAGAATCAGGGCACCCGGTGCTTTGCTGGGAGGGGTTTTGCGAGTGACCTGCGTCCCGGGAGAGAAACTCATCCCTGTTTTGTCTGCTAGAAGCGGAAGTACTGCGCAGTTTGACCCTGCGTTCCCAGGGGGTAGGCTGGTCTGTAGGCCAATCCCTGGCGCCGTCAGTGGGGCCGGTAGGCACAGCTTCCGCTTGAGTGCGCCTGCTTGGCGGAGGTGCAGGCAGCTTGGGGCGTGGGGTTGAGTTCGCTCGGAAGCGCTCATCGCTTTCCCGCTAAGGCTTGATGCCTCGCGTGGCTCCTGGCTTTGCTCCTTGAGATCGAACCAGGACTCTTGGTGGGAAGGTCACGCGCACTTCTTTCTTGGTTTACCTCCCTTGCAGCGTCTAGTTCATCCTGTGGCCTTCTAGACTGCTTGCCCTTGGGGCCTTTTGCTTTGCCGTAGCCTTTGTCCCAGCCTTTTCCCATAGCTCACTTCCTAAAAGAAAGAGCTGTCTGCGTAAGGCCATCCTTTTTTGCTTTGGTTTTATTCTTAGCTTTGGGCTTGGGAACAGCAGGAGAGGGCTGAGGAAACGGGGGAGGGGCCTGAGGGAGCATCTCCCCTGTGCTTCTACCTGCCTCTGTTTCACACGAACTTTGGTTTGAAGGCAAAACGGCTGCGGAACGCGGCGAGCAGCTCGGCCTCATGCCAAAAAAGGCTTTTACACCTGCCTTGGGATCAAGACTTCGCTTTTGGGCTTCGTGGAATCTGCTGTTAGGTTTCTTGCAGACCTGACTGCACCTGCCTTGACATCCAGGTTTAGCCTTTAGGACTCTGACAGATTGGAAAACCCCACAAGTTTTGCAGACCACAGACTCCCCGAGGTTGATCATGGTGTGAGATGCATGTAGACTCCACGGGTTCGAGGGGGGCACCGGCAGAGTCAGGCACGGGAAATTAACTACGTGCTCAACTACCTCAAGTGGGTCGACTTGTTGCACAAGAAGCCCACAACCCTCGCACCTGATGCACAGGTTGTTGGTGCCTTCACCACTAGAGACTTTCCAATTGTGCATGGTCTGGGGGTTGGCCTCCTTGACCGCAAGCAGAAGAATTTGCTTTTTGTTGGGGCCTTTTTTGGGGAGAGTCTCACCCTTGGCTTTTGTTTTCCTCTCAAATTTAACCTCATTTGCTGAGGGCAACGGGCAGTTTGCGAGGAGAAACTCAGCTCGCTTTCCTAGGAAAGTGGAGACTTCCCTGGCTATGCTGTCAATTTGCTTGACTTTTGCCACATGCTCTTGTGACAGGATCTCATTGGCCTTTCGCCCACATAGCCAGTCTGCATGCCGGTTTGCTTCCCAGGCCCAACAGAAGAGGGCGCCATGCTTAGCTGCATGCTCTTGTTTTGATAGGTGCCCTTTTGTCCAGACCGGCTTCAGTCTGTCTCGGTCTGTCTGGTCTGTGGACCAGTCCTCTCAGCCAGAGGCATTCTGGTGCCTCCACCTTGTTTTTCCACTCTGGGTCGGGGCCTATGTCGTGCGCTGCCCAGGCAGGGCATGCATGGAGCGCAGCACAAAGGTGTTAGCCCCCCCGCACCTGGTGCACACTACATGGCCTCCATGTCCGTGGAAAGCTACTGCTCCTTGCCAGACCATTCGCAGGCCGGTTGCCGTGTTCAGAACAACCCGCGCTGCAAGACCTAACCCTAGTTGCAAAGGAAAGGGGGAGTGCGAACCTCCCAGGCCTGTGGCACCTAACGGGAAGAGGCCCAGGGGATAACAACGCCCTCCCCACTGACGCTCTCTTGTTTTCACGGGCGCTGCTCTGGGCGATTTGGCGGCATGGCCGGGGGATCCCCAGGCGAGAGATCCCCCGGGGCATGCAGGCAGGCAGAACCCCCCGCTTTGGGAGGATTCTATAGGCGGCCTACTGTGCTAGGCTACTCCACTTTGGGAGGCAGGTATGCGGCAGTGGCTTTATGTAGAGCTTTCATCCTTTGAGGCGATTTGGCGTCTGTCCGTAGGCATTGCGGCGTGGCGATTGAAAGGAGGACAGAGGCCTGAAGGAGGTGTTTGATACCCAGTGCGTTCAGACAACCCGCACTGCAAGACCTAACCCTAGTTGCAAAGGAAAGGGGGAGTGCGAACCTCCTAGGCCTGTGGCACCTAACGGGAAGAGGCCCAGGGGATAACAACGCCCTCCCCACTGACGCTCTCTTGTTTTCACGGGTGCTGCTCTGGGCGATTTGGCGGCATGGCCGGGGGATCCCCAGGCGAGAGATCCCCCGAAACATGCAGGCAGGCAGAACCCCCACTTCAGGGGCCCAGGGCAGACCGGGAAAACTAAAAGGCCTGGTCACCCCCACCGCGAGTGGTCTGGCCGGGGCTCGAAGGCGAGGAAATGTCCAGTAGGCCCAGTAGGCCTTGGCTCCAGTTAACCGAGGTCGGGGCTAGTGTGACCTCGTGGGCAGACTTTTGCAAGTGGGCCAGGTGCACGGGGAAGCGTCTGGCAATCTTGGGTTCTGTGAACTTATGTAGGCGATTTCGGCTTAGATCGTCTGCGTCCGTGTTCTTGACGCCAGGAATGTGCCCGACTTCCAGCTCTGGGCCGCGCGCATGTGCCCAGGAGGCCACCTTTTCCAAAAAAAGCTTAATGGAAAGGCGGTGGTGAATAGTTTGTTCACCGATGCTTGCGTTGGGCTGTTGTCGCTGAGCGAGGAAACGCAGAAGCGTAGGCTGGAGCATCCAGTGGCTGCACGAAGGCGTGGAAAGCCAGCCCCCTATGCCCACGGTGGAGCCGTCAGCCATGGCGTCAGCTGCGGCTAGGCACGGCAGTAGGGGCTGTTTGACAAGGGGCATAGTGAATTCATATGAAAAGCATTGAGCCAGCCAGTGTATCGCGGCTTTGCTTTCGTAGCGGAGGGTGATCTCCGAGGCAGAGGGGTCGGCGATGCGGACCCAGATGGTCTTGTCGGCGGCGGGTATGGGCCATAGGCAAGCCCGCACGCACCTCTATGACTCTGGCGTGAAGCGGGAGCTGCAAGTAGGCGGCGTCTCTGCAAATCTTGCATGCGGAATCGAGGCACCAGAGGAATTGCGACCAGCTTCTGGGCGGGATGGGGTAGCATGTTCCCGGTGGGCTGTGCAGGTCTGCGTAGATTGGGGCTGTGAAACAGCGCAGGTGCGTGCAGGTACTCGTGGCCCACATGAGGAGGCCCAGGCAGGATTCCAGCTCCTTGCGAGGCGCCCGCTTGTGCTGCAGGAGGTGCAGGAGTTGTTGGCGCAGCTTGTCAAGTTTGGGCTGAACAAGTTTGATGGTTTCGGTGCGGAAGCAGAATTGCCAGCCGCACCAGGTGATGTGCGGTCCAAAGGAGGCCTTCTTCCAGCGAGAGATAGGCC